CCTCGGACCGAACGGACAGTCCGGTTCGGAAGGGTTTGCGTTCGACCCGAAGTTCTGAACCGGACTCCGGCATCACTAGTGGATTTGTGAGGGCAGCTTTCAACATCAAGGGAGAGAAACTTAGGATGCCGGAAATTATGCCCACTCTCGGCCAGTACATAGCAATGTTGGATGGAAATGGGATGTGTTGATATGTTGTTAGTTCAAATTCATTGCAGGGAGTACGTCAGTAATGAGACAGGTGCAATACGATAACGAACATACCTTGCAGTAGTGTCAAGACAATATTGAGATGTTCGGGCGATGCGAGAGGGCCTAAGTAATTATGTACCATAAGTGATTAGCTAAAAGGTAGCCCAGAGTATAGTCTTGCAGAGGTATCATGATATGCCATATGGTAAAGAAATCAAGAAGTCGCTACAACACGTGATATTGTCGAAGGTGAACACCAAGATGACAACATAGCGTACGAGACTAGTAAGGGAGCATCCAAGAGCATCCAACATGTGTGATTGTTGTAGGGTTGAAGTTGGAGCTCTACATGTTTCATCATCGATCCGAGATTTAAGGTGCCTCGAGCCCTCTGACGTTGCAATGAGGATGCAGCGAGGTGTCGAATTTCTAGCCAACCGGCCCACAATTTCACAATATTGCAAGGTCTGAGCGTGTTAATCTGGTTTCATCAAGAAAGTATTACTCCGAGTCGCGTGCTTTGGCAAAAAAAATATGTATCCCATCGATGAGTGGTGAGAAGGGTTGCGCTATTGAAATTATGTAATTTTAGAAGTTTGAGGCATGCACAATGCACACTAGCACATACCCGTTGTGCCTTCGGCACAGGAAGCAAAAAAAGAGCACTTTGCGCTCTTTTTTGGCTTCCTGGCCTTCGGCTTCATCCTACTTTGGGTGTCTTAAGTCTTGACCTTGAATACTTGCTGTGCCAAAGGCACAGCAAGGCAAAGGAGTGCTTCGCGCTCCTTTGCGAGGTGCCTGCGGCACTTTGCCTTACTAATGATCATAGTGCATTTTGAAAACAATTACATTTTTGAGCAGCATTTCAACACAACTAAAACTACATGATACATCACATCCAAGTCGGTTCTCTATATAAAAGTACATCATATGTACATCAATCATCCAACAGGAATCATAATTCTTCTAAGCACTTCTGTATACACTACATTCGTCGTCTTTGAGCCCTCTTCACTCTCAGGAAAGATAGCAAACACTCTATCTGGGTGAGTGCAGCGAGATAATGCAACATAGAGCTGTCCATGGCTGAACACAGGAGTCCGCAAATTAAGCCCAACCCACTTGACACTTTGACCTTGCGCCTTGTTGATGGTCATAGCAAATGCGACACAAACGGGGAATTGGCGACACTTGAGAGGAATGGGGTTATCTTCAGATGTGGCATCCAGGGTCATGCAAGGGATTAGGACTGTGTCCCGATCATCTTGGTGAGCTTCATTGACTCCATCTCTAAGAATGCGACACTTGAGGACGCGAACGGTCCAAGACAGCAGGATCATGCGAGTTCCATTATAGAGGCCCTCGGAGGGGTTCAAGTTGCGCAACAGCATCAGGGGAACACTTTTTTTGACCTCCAATTTGTGCAAAGGGAAGCCTGATGGGGTGAGGGTATGAAGGAACTCTGTGGGGATGTAATCGTATTCCCTCTCGCTGACTGAGTCTGCACTGGTGAAGACCGCTTTATCTCCAGGGAATGATTCAAGAATGGTGGTGTTGATCTCATCCACATCGGTGTTCTTTGTGGAGAGGATGGTGCATTCCAGGAAGAAGGAATCATCCACTGCAGGCTGCCCAGGGAGCAGAACTGGAGAGTATAGGGTGTTGATGAGAGACTGGACATCATTGTTGGGGCAGCGCATATGAATAGGGAGGGTCACAGTTCCGTCTTCATTTGTGCCCTCGCCAGCTCCAATCTCAAGGAGCCACCTTGCAAATTCATCAGAGGCAGGGTCTTGACCAAGCCGCATATTTCTCTTGAGGTGGAAGATACGAAGCTTTCGCCAGAGTTGAGATCTGCAAAGGGTAGCGCCCACTATCTGCTCCCTGGATCCATGGGTCACCACTGGCAGGGTCTGTCTAAAGTCTCCGCCGAAGAGCACAGTTATTCCCCCAAAATCAGCCTCTTTGTTTAGAAGATCACGCAATGTGCGGTCAAGGCACTCCAGAATATGACGATGGAGCATCGGAATTTCATCGCAGATGATGAGGGAGGTCTCCTTGAGAAGCTCATGGACGACATCTCCTTTTTTAATGTTGCATGAGCTGTCCTTGTTAATGGGAATGGGGATTTTGAATTGCGAATGAGCCATACGTCCACCTGGTAGGAGGAGGGAAGCAATTCCAGAGGAGGCCACACAGAGGACAATCTTTCCTTCAGCACGGAGTTTTGAAGCGATGAGTTTGCAGAGATACGTCTTGCCGCATCCCCCTGCACTATGGACAAAGTATGCGCGTCCGGGTCTTTGCTGATTACGATTCATTGCATCCTCGACCACAGCATTATAGACCACCCTCTGCTCGACATTAAGCAAAGGGACTCCTTCATCCACTATCTGCTGAAGCTCCTGCGGGTCATACTGACGCTGCTCAGCGATGAGCTGGTTGCCCTCCATGGCCCCCCATCTTTCTGCCATTCGAGCTACTGGCATTTGAGGAATTGCTTCCAAAGACTTGCCATTTTTGCGGAGCACCCCATCAATGAGATGAAGACCATAGTCGTGTACCTGTTCCTCCGTGGGGTCAGGCATGTTGAATGGTGCGTGAGTGAGGCGGTGACGCAGATCATCGCAGAGATTTTCCTTGAAGCGGTTCCAAAAATCATCAGGGCTGGTAGGGTTGCAGTGCAGCAGGATGATGGCAAAGAGATTGCGCATGCGATTTCCTGTGTACATATGAGAAGCATCCCGCAAGCACTGGATCCATTCGTAATCGTCATCAAGCAGACCCCTGTGCCGACATGCTTCCTTGAAAGTCTCATAGAGAGTCCCATCATGTGTCCGAAGGTGTTCGAAGGAGGTAGCCCCTTGAGATTATGGTGAGCTTGATTGATAAAAATTGTCTTAGACATCATACCTTTCACTACAGTCAAAAGCAATCTCAGATAGAAGCGCTCTCCGGAGCTGGGTGCAGCAGCGTACATTCTTCCAATCGCCATTCCTCGCTCCCGTATCTTCCATGCACCTTTGCTCCAAACAAATTTTGAGGGGAAATCCTGATAGAGGCTGTCGTGGGCTCCAGCTGCCACCAAGTTCTCATTGGCATTGGCTTTGAACCATCCAGTGAGGCAAGTACCTTTCACTTCTGCGCGCTCAAGGACTTCCTCAGCATCATCATCAGGGTCATAGAACACCATCTGTTCATTTTTGAGATGGACCGGCAAACGGTAGACAGAGGGCCATTCGAGATGCATGGAAAATTTGAAGATGCGCCATGCAGCCTCGGTAGAGCTGATATATCTCGAGTCCAGATATGATTTGACCTCATCCACCGCTCCTCTCATCTCCAACGTAGCACGGTCGTTTCCCTTATAAATGTATTTGTGGATGTACTTGACAGATTTGATAGAGGCGCAGACCTCGAGATTGATGTGGCAGTTGAATTCCACCAGCAGTTCAGGGGGATGTGGAACAACATCCTTGTTGGTGAAGATGATGTCGTTCTTTTGGATGGTGCGACCATTGTCAGGTCTCGCATACTCGGGATAGCCATCATCCTTCATCAGGGTCTGGGGACAGAATGTTTTTGGAAAGTGCTTTTTGCACCACGAATTCTCTATGCAACGCTGCGGACTGCAAGGGCCATGCAGCATGTATTTTTCCACAACCTGATAGAGCTGAGGATGGATGTTCCTGTCAGGGATCTGAGCAGAGATGAAGGAGTCGATTTGCTCAGTGGTACGGATCTTATAATCTGGCTCCAGGAAGATGAGAAGGTGCATATGAGGCAGGCCCCGCTTTTGATATTCGATGGTGTACACCAATCCAGCAACCTTCCCATAGTAGCCCTTGCGAACCTTCTTCAGCAGCGCTTGCTGCTTCTGGTAGAAAACCCGAGCCACCAAGTCTGGGCGGTCCACAGTGCTCTGACCTATATAAGAAATTGTCAGCACAAAGTCATACACAACACATCAAATAAGAATCATTACCAGGAAGGAGATTCTCTGTGATTTCAGGCCAACTTCCATTGGCGGTCATCGTCAGGAAGAGATCCGGCTTTTTGCAGGCACGGCAAATGGCTAAGGAGTCTTGAAGCAGCTGATGCATATATTGAGGGCTCCCTGTGTGAGAGGAGGGAAGAATGATGGAGCGACCTGTCTGAGCCAGATCATCTACACCCTCGTTGCGAACATTATCTGCTAAGCCTTGATAGCAGTCCGCCCTCAGCCACTCTTGGTTGCTCCTGATCCAGTTCAAATTGCTCTGTTCGATGGAGGCCCAAGCATCGACGATATACTGCTGGAACAATCTTCCACCGTGAAAGATATTGTTGTGATAGATGGGAACAGGGTGTGGATGAAGTCGATAGGCATAGTACAACAGCTGAGTGACATTCTTTGCAACCGTGCGGGTATTTGGGGGGAGAATCAGAGGTATTCCAAGGTGCCAGCCCTCCTCTCCAGATGGAAAGAGAAGGACATAGTGAAGTGGGGAGTACGCATGGCTGAGCTGACTTATACGCTGGAGTCGACCTCCTTGAAGCTGCAAGACAATGTCCCGTTTTTCGGATACCTGCTCAGATCCATCTCCAGGAATGATCACAGCAATTTCATCAGCAGTGGGAACATTATATCTTCGACCATCTGTGCCTTGCTGGAAGTGAATGCGTGCACGAACATCCGTGTGCTGCTCTGGAGGCTTCTCTCGCATGACCTGATAGGCCTGCTTGTAAAGAGCGGCATAGGGATTGATTCGATACAGCATGTCATGGAGCTCCCTGAGAATGCCACGATCAAGACCTTCATTTCCAGGTCAGGTGGCGCGAATGTTGGTGGCTCCCTCGGGATCATAGATATAAAGTTGCGCATATGAAGGCTGAATGCCTTCTGGAGGTATGAGACTACCCATGAGGTGATGGAGAGATCCATGAATACGAAAAGCATTGGGGCCAGAGCCTTGGAGGGCTCTATCCTCGATATCGACACCGACCGACGTGAATGCAAGAGCGCTGTTGTACTGCCGAATCTTGGAGACAAATGTCCTGTCAGTATAAGTGTGCTGCAGTTCTGGCAGCCATGGTGGAAAGGGTGGGAGGACAACTTTACCCTCCAAGCAGCATGTACCAAATTTTGGATTCCGTAGGGAGGATTTTGAGAGTCTTTCGGATGCAAAGTGCAATGCATGGCACTTGGTGCACTCTACATTAAGAGGACCAAGATTATGGATGTTTATAGGCTCCCTGTATGGTCGAGCTCCATCAGGGATAGGAACAATGCGGTTGATAACTTCTTGAACCTCTGCCTCATGCTCCTCACGCTGTTGAAGCTCTTGAGCTCTTCTCCTTTCTTCATCAGCAGCATGATTTTCTTGAGAAGCAGGATCATTATATTCATGCAGTGCCTCTTCTAAGTGCTCTGCCTGCTCACAAATCCTTTGTTGTCTCCGGCGTTGGATCTCTTCTTTGTCTTGATGTGCTCGCAGACGATCCCGAGCCAGTCTATTCTGCTGCTCCTCTTCGTGCTGACCTGCTCGCAGACGATCCTGAGTTTGTCCATTGTACTGCTCCTCCTCATGTTGACCTGCTCGCAGACGATCCTGAGCCAGCCTAACCTGCTGCTCCTCTTCCTGCTGCTGCAATTGAGCCTCTCTTTGGATCCTCTCAGCTTCTTCTTGCTGCAAACGAAAATTCTCCCGCTGCTGCAATTGAGCCTGTCTTTGGATCCTCTCAGCTTCTTGCTGCTGCAGGCGAAGAGCCTCTTGATACCGCAACTGAGCCTGTCTTTGGATCTCAGCTTCCTGCTGCTGCAGGTGAAGAGCCTCCTCATGCCGCCATTGAGCCTCTCTATTGATTCTCTCAGCTTCCTGATGTTGCAATTGTAGCTGAATTTCATGACGTTGAAATTCCTCCTGTGCTTGCCTTTGAAGTAAGTCATTTCTGATGCGCTCATTGTCCATTTGCTCTGCCTGTAAATGGTGTTGAAACTGAATATTAAATTGATGATAATCAGGTTCAGGTGGTCCATGTAAAGGCGGTGCAGGATTAGGTGCAAAGTAATGAAGAGGATTGTCAAAGTTGTGAGGACCAACTGCGCCCTCATAATGAATAGCACCATATACAGGAGGAGCAGGAGCAGGAGCAGGTTGAACAGGTTCATTATAAACATGAGGTACCTGTTGAGGCTGTATTCCAGCTGCCATTAGCTCTGCTTGCGCCTGCTCTCTTATCTCCTCTCTGTCCTGTTGCCTACGACGGTTGCGCTGGCGGCGTCTATCATTATGAGCTGCATTCATCTGTTCATTCAGGCGTGCATTATAATCAACAGGAGGGTGCTGATGAGCACGTTGCACATGCGCAATGGCATTACGTGGCAAGCCAGGATATTGTCCAACTGGTAGCGGTTCATATGGAAAGTGAGGAGGAGGCTGCCATGCAAAAGGTCGCAGAACAGGCCCTGCTTGTGGTTCATTAGCTGGCATGAAATTTGGCTGTGGTATATGAGGTGGAGGCCTATCGTGAGCAGCATGTCGACGATTGCGCCTGGTAGGGGACGTCATCTGGAGTCGATTCAGTCTATCGCGTTCGCATTGGGAGTGACGCTCGCGCTCTGGGATAATACGTTCATTATTTCTAAATAGCATGTGCAGACATTAGCATCATGCACCTTGCACATAGCAATATATAGTCAGCAACTCACGGAATGGGCATATTTCCGTCCATGTTTGATATTTAAATGGTTGTTTAGCAAGCGTAAAATTTGAGTTGCCTGAGCCCATCAATAAGTCATTTCTATCTTTGTTGATAATAATCAAAACCCACAAAAAGTGTATCACACTTTGTTACACTTGGCTGCGGGGGAGGGCAATTTAATTCGAGAATTCTATACAAAAGCAGCAGCCAATTGTGTAATGATTTGTGTCACCAAGTTATGTAACAAATTGTGTAACCAAAATCTGTTATGCTTTTGCTATTCTCGATGCTCGCTCCCTTATAGTAGGAAAAGTGAGTTGTTTGTCCGTATTATGGGCGGGGCGCAGTAGGCGTGCAGAATGCTGTCCACTATATCGCGTTTGGCAGCATTTTTGGACACCGTGGAATTTTACCTCTCGAAATTCTGAATTAAGAATTTTTCGTAGTCACCATTAGCAAACTCAAGTGAGAAAACCACGCGAGATTTCCAAAGTAAGGATTAAGCGAGGTAAGCGAAACCACATGGCCTTTGGCGAAATAAGCAAGGTAAGTGTATCTATGCGGTGCAAGCGACCCAAGCGAAAACCACGCGAGCTCCCAGTACTTCCCTCACCCATCCTCCCTTACTTTATAGACTAGCACACACCCGTTGTGCCTTCGGCACAGGAAGCAAAAAGAGCGCTTCGCGCTCTTTGTTGGCTTCCTGGCCTTCGGCTTCATCCTACTTTGGGTGTCTTAATAATCATTGCAGGTTTTGAAATAAATTATATTTTATTCACTGAGTTGTGATCAAAATTTCAAAATAAGTTACATACTTTGAGCAGGATTCAAATTGACAAAAGTAAAAGTACAATTGAATATATGTATTTTCTCATCTACTGTTGTGTCTGGTGTTCTGTGCTCCCTCCTCCCGTCCTGTTGTCCTCCTCCCGTCCTGTTGTCCTCCTCCCGTCCTGTTGTCCTCCTCCCGTCCTGTTGTCCTCCTCCTGTCCTCCCACTTCTCCTGTTTTCCCATTCTTCTATTTTTTCCCATTCATCTGTTTTCCCTTTTTCACTGTTTTCCTGTTCTCCATTCTCCTGTTCTCCAATTTTCCCCATTCTCATTTCTCAATTGTCTTTTCTTCTTAAATTTTTTTCTTAATGTAGTTAAATTTATTATGATTTGAATTTCGTAAATAATAAATGTTTTTCAATGAGTGCTGCCCTAACGGGCAGCGGACGCACGTGATGCCACGCGAGTTTCCAAATCGAGCTTTAAGCGAGGTAAGCGAAACCACATGGCGTTTAGCGAATCTTAGCGAATCTTAGCGAATCTAAGCGTATCTAAGCGAATCTAAGCGTATCTACGCGGTGCAAGCGGAAACCACGCGAGCGTCCGTCCCTTCCCGCCACCGTTCTCCCTTACTTTATAGATGGTACCAACTCGTGAGTCGCCATGATACAATCTACCACTGAGCGCCAGTCTGTGCCCCAGGCTTCTACCCTATACAACGCTCAAAACTCAAATTTACCAAGATCAAACTCTGGAAATTTTCAAAATCGAGTTGAATCATCTTGTCCTTGAACGACGAATTGCGATTGTTACTGCCAATACTTAGGTTCACGCTGGAAACTGTATCGCTAGTTTTAATGTTCCGTCTCAGGTGCGTGCGTATATATAGCATGCTTGCTTCGAATTCCCTGGAACTCATGATATAGAATTAGTAATGTCTTCTTCCATTCCATCATCAAGGTTTGACCGGGAGGGATTAGGACCTCACTGTGGCTCCATTTCGCCTGTCATGGAATGGCGAACCGGACACAACCGTTCGAATCTTCTTTCGCGATGCGCGACGGGCCATTGATGATCAAGGACATCATCCGGTCCAACTGGCAGAGCCCGCACTTTGCATTCTTATCGGCCTGTCACACTACCGTGGGCGATGAGGAGAGTCCCGATGAGTTTATCCATCTTGCTGCGGCCATGCAATTCTGCGGATTTCGCAGTGTGATTGGTTCTATGTGGTCTGTTGAGGATGAGGTGCTTGCCAGGTTGCGTCTGCTTTTTACCGCAACCTCGTTGATGATTCAGGGAGACTGGACTGTACGCGCGCTGCGGTAGCGCTGCACGAGGCCTTGAAATCTTTGCGCAAGAAGAAGATTCCATTAGAACAGCAGATTGTATTCGTCCACATAGGTGTGTAGTTAAATAATCGATTCGCTATATTATTCCATCTGCTATATCTCTAGTTGTTTTCATTCCATCGCTTTCTTATTTCTGCATGATCCTTTGTTATTCTGTACTGTACTAGAATCATACACAGCGTCTCGTTGAATCAATCTGATTTACTTCTGCATCGTCAGTTCTAAGTCGTTAAGCAAATTTCCCTCGATCCTTCTTTACTCACGAATCTTTCAGCTTGTCTTTGCGCGCGTCGGCATCTTTTCTGAATAGGACGATTTGATCAGCATGACGATATGCACGTCTAACGGAACAGTGGTCCAGTCAAAGTATCGCAACGTAGTGCGCATCGCCAGAATTGTTGTTTGCAGGAGAGTCCTACTCGCGTTTCTACCGATGCTGTCACCGCTAACCAGACGTTCAATTTTGTGCCATGTAAGGGAACAAGGGATTCGAACTTTCATTTATTGAGCGATCATTCCATATTGTACAGTCTTTCCTGGTAATCTTTATTTATGAATAACACTTATCTTGTGAAATAGCACAATGTACAACGTTTCGTTCAGCAGCAGTCAAAACACGAAAACATGTAGATCCTTCATATCCCCATCAGCAAACGAGGGGCTCTGAAAAATGAGACAATTAGTATGGGATCACGCATTCTGCAGCACAGCCATAGCTTACTTTCAAACCAATCAATCTTTGCTCGTCGATCATCACGCCCGAAAAACCTTCAAGTTCATCTCTCTGACAAACGCGATAGGGCAAGTTTGTCTCAACAGGGTCTGGGAAAAGGCAGTCCGACAAGATGGTCGTGGGGTAATCAATGACCTCAATGCTCGCTTTGGAGTCCGGCTGCAGAGGGAAGACATGCCGCTTAGTTTTGCGTACATTGAAGTCCAACACTTGCATGCTGCCAGATAGTAACGGAAAGACTACTCGATAGCCATGGACGTATCTACTCAAAGACCGATCAGCGTGGGTCGCGGCAGGAATTCTCAGCTCCTTCTTACCTCAACCACTGATATGGGGCTTGATAATGGAGCATGCGGCTCTCATGCGGGCCCCACTCCTCCCAAGGCACCTCCAAGGAGCTTGTTTCTCTTTGTTCGTGGTATTTCCGTATGTACCTGAGAGGAGTGCTATTCTTAAAGAAGAGAAAAAACTTCGGCCTCGCGCTAGGGACATTCGGGTCCACCTGTATATAATTCATGGATAGAACATACATCCGTTCCTCCTGATTGGTCCAGAAGGGCGTGTTTGGAAGACACCTTGCCACAAAGGGACCGGTATGAATCGTGCAGTGCACCAAATGGGTGAGGGACTTCAGGGGAGGCAGTAATAGGGTCGCGACATGGGCGATTTCCTGTTGATTTTCCCCAAATGTAAATATTTGGATCGAGCCCCCGTCTTTTCCGCGCGTGATCATGTACGCACGGTTCGAAATGAAGGAAAAGTCGCTGATATGATTGGGCAATTCGTCGCCGTCGCGATCCTGCAGAGCCAGTGTTGGCTATCAGCTGCTAGGTGTTCATAGACAGGCGCTTACGACAAGTATTTGACCTTTCTTCCAATTCCAGATTGTAATGCGAGGACTTTCAATCTCCATCCAAAACATCATCCCAATCACATCATCCACGATCTGTATGAATGCACTGGTCATCGTAAATGGGGTGAGGGTGCGAAGAATAGGAAATGTCGCTTCGGGGTGCTTGACGTTGGAGGAGATAGTGCGTATGTGTACCTCTGTGTAACTAGAATCATTCACGCTACATACAACGATCGGTTATCTCTGCGACGCAAAGCGAAACACGACAAAGACGCACAAGTTGTCATCAGATTGGACAAGAGCGATGAGGTCTTGCGATGGATCGATAGCGAAGTCTCTTGTCGAGATACCTATGTCTTTCCGAACCAGCGTGTGTCCAGGACCCGACGAGGATGGCAGCCAGGAGGAGATGAATTTTTGTGAACCAAATTGGTTGGCAGGGCCTCCCGAAGGTGATGTCTTCGCAAATATACCTCCTACAAGCTCATATGCGTGGCAGGAACCAGGCATGGGTACCCGAACCTCTTTCTTCCACTCAAACAGGGTCCACGCACGACGGAGGGTACGCAGTTGTTCCAAACGCTCTGAAATGGTGACGGTGCTCTGGGGACCATCAACCATGCAATCGAGAGCAAGCTCAATACGATACTGGAGCTCTGCAGAGGAATCGATCACGCTATTCAATTTGCGGCAGACCTGGAAATTAGTCAAGTTTGATGTCACAACAAAAGAGTAGTATGGCATACATACAGAGGAACATCGCAAGATAGATCGACCGTCTACATGACGAAGAATTTCTACCAATAACTCAGAGGGCAGGAGGATAAAAGTAGGTGTTTCCGAGTCTACTTTTGTTGTTGGCAGGCTGTCCACCACTGTGGTCGGCCTTGTATCTTGCTTCGGTGCGATCATAGTAGCTCCTGCTGTGGGCGCTTAACTGTACTTGGTGTAACTTTGTTGAAATGACGCGGCTGCAATTGAACGTTACGTAATTGAATTTGTGGCGCGCCGCGCATGTACTATCCCTTACGCTCTATTCGTGACGGTCCACAATTTCGTGAGTCACACTCAGGTCACGAATAGTAACGGACAGTCACACTGGCCGAATCTACAGTCCGCTCGGCAGACGTTAGAATCTTCGTGATTCGTGATTCGGGATTCGTGAACTTCAACAGTGATTGATTAGGACGCTACTTATAAGTCTGTGAGCTACAGTATGTACCGAAAAATTATATAGAACTAAATGCAATCATTAATGATGTGTAAAATATTGCTGAGGGAATGTATGTGGATGTGGGTATTGATGCATACTAGTAGATGGATTATGAAGTCCGTGACTCGGACTCGGATGCGCGGGTTGAGCAAAAAAATATGGTGGATGTGGTGCAGGGACACTGAAACCAGTGTAAAAAGACGGATGTGTGGAATGTGGTGGTGGCAACACTGGCAAGTGCCCAGGCTGGAAGGAACTGGGGGTTGTGGAAAGTTCTGGCGGCAAATTCTGTTGTCGCCTCGAAGTTGAAGCTGCCGCTTGTAAGTGCCATTTGTGACACCCATGAGTGCAGCCTGGATCCTGGACTCGTACTTGGGGTCAGTAGATGCCGCCAGCTTGCCTCTGTGACGTCCCATGGCATAGCGATTGAGCCCAGCTCAGCGCTCGCTACTTGCTCACGCGCTCACGGATTGCAGCTGCAATGAAACACGCTGTTAAATTCAATGTCCGACGTCGGCAGCCTCGGCAGGTGACACTGAAATCGTGATTTTGGCTGCTGTCACGCTGAAAACACGATCTCCACCATTTCTCAACAGATTTGTTTCATTCCACTTGGAATATGCTAGTATATAATATATAGAATATACTGAGTGAAGTAGCTAAGTAATTACATTGAAGTTGAGTGCTGCAGACAAAAATCACGAAATTGTGGACCGTCACGAATAGAGCGTAAGGGATAGTATGGAAGCCCGGACACTCGCGCTCAATTACTAATCTAAAATTACTACATATGGCAGTCGGACCTCGAACACCATACGTGTTGTATTTGTTGTAGGATTCATACATCTAATTTCTCTGTACCCGCTCTTGTGGGAAAATTCTCATCCTTTTCATCTGTGCGAGCCCAGTTGAGTGCGTTGGCTGATGATGATTTGTTTGCAATGTGTTTGCCAGCAGTGAAAGGTCACGACTTGACACTTTGCCGGTACACTGTTATCTGTGGTTATCTAGAGGTGTTATATGGCAGCATTGTCTCTGCCACGCTGCACCGTGTCCATAACAAATTGTTCAACAATCCGAGATGTACTTCAACGACAAGACATACTTCAACGAGTTCCAGTGCAATTAATAAAAAATGTCTGAGTTCAAGCCCCAAATGCCTCAAGTGCAAACCCTGGCCATTTGCAGAAGTTATTGCAAATGTGACCCTTCTCAAATTCACTAACCGCTTCACTAATATTCCCCTCCCCAAAGATATCATCTCCATCACTGACTGATGGGTCTGTCATGATCTGTGGGTCCGTCAAGAGCTCTGTATTGCCTATTTTTATTGGTAAGAAAATCGAGTCAGGAATGAGGGTAGAATACCAAATACCTTGATAATCAGAGATGAAGGCAAGCCCGCTGGTCTTCACATATTGTACATGCTGCATAAAGGCCAGAAATAAAGCAAAGTCAGTAGCCATAGTCTTCTGGGTCAAGCAGCAGGGTTTGGATCCATGTTGTGAATAAACTTGGTGAAATCACGACCCTCATCTCCTGCAATCAATAACTTCCTCAAGGAGGAAAACCGCACATGTGGTACCAGTCTTTGCTGAAGGTTTAGCACCACCTGGAAAGAAAGATATTGCAAGGCCTGGCCTCAACAAAGCATACATGTGGGATATTGAATGGCGGAGACTCAGACGTGCTGGCCACAGCGCGCTCAATGAAGTCATAGACAAGACCTAATAGGGCCTTTGCCCAGTATAAGACGTTCGCCTCCCTGAATAGCTTTGGCATCTCGTCTATCAGTGCAAAGCATCCAATTCTGAAATCCGTACTGGTAGCAGACACGCCTGGTGGATGTACCCTGTAGAATGGGCATTTCACAACTATGTCCTGAAGTGTCTCGGACCCAAGACCCGAGCTAGGAGGAAGCATCAGTGTGAGCCATCCTTTATGGGCTGTTTTGAATCCAGCCTATCCCAATGATGCCATCAGAAGATGTATCAATGGTCAGGTGGCCGACGGATGAATCAGCAGTGTTGATGGAAAATGAGTGGTAATTGGCATGCTCCAAGAGGTCGCTGAGGGGTCGTGTGGGTATTGAGTAGAAACAAATATTTTCGTTCTGTAACTTGCCGACTAACAGACAAATGAGTGACTTAAATATGTTGAAAAACTGAAACATACCCTGCTTGATATTTAAGTCAGTGCCTCCCCCAATTTTCAAGACCTGCTTGAGTTGGTCGCGATTCGGAGAACAGAGTTGGGGTGTGGGAGGAATACTTGACTTTTGGGGAGGTGATGTGGTACTGGAAGTAGAACTTATGGCCCGTTCATGTGTTTGTTTGATAGATATGACAGTGGACACCCTTGGTACTGGTGCACTTAGTATGGTGGTGCTGAGCTGAGGGGTCGCAGTGACAGAGCCCCCCTGGATTATATGAGAATAAGTTGGTGCGAAGACTAAGGTACAACTATTAAACTCACTGCTACAGATACCCTTGGTACTGGTGCGCTCATGGTGGTGCTAAGCTGAGAGGTCACAGTAGTAGAGTCCCGCTGGGATTATATGAGAATAAGTCAGCGCCAGGACTAGCATACAATTATTTTGCCAACTCACAGTAGCAGACACCTGAGAAGAAACAATGTTGGCACTAAGCTGAGAAAGTTGGTTGGCCCTGCTGGATGATATGAGGATAAGTTCAGTACCAGGGACTAGTATACAACTAGCAAACTCACCGCTTCAGATTCCTCCTGCCAAAGTTCAAATTCCCTGCCACTGACTCTCTGGGACAACCACCATGAGTGGGAACTGCTTTGTCTTGAAGATCGGAGGTTTGGTTCCTTGTGCTGGCTGCATGCACTGCAAGAGGAAGTATGGTTCCAATGGTGGGTGAGTTGAGAGGTCCCACCCATGCAGAGTCTTGCACTGTGAACTCCTTGTCGCACCATGCAAACAAGTCAGCGATGGTATGTAGTTTGGGTAACACCATATCTAAAGCCAGTCTCATGAGACCTGGCGCATCCATGCGGGCATCTATATCCTTTTTACCCTCACAAATATTCTAAATGTCATTAAGTCAGTGGTACTGTCAAGGGAGAGTCAAATAGAACTCACCGCAATAATACTTTTTTCTTACGGCCCCCTGCTTCATGGATAGCAGAAATTTCAAGTGAGATGGTGTCAGCAATAGCAATGGGAGTTGAATACGCAGCCTTCGCCCACTACTGATGCTCAGCAGCATACATGTCATGGTGCGACAAATAACCAACAGGTCCTCTTGAGCCCCAAGAGGTAGGAATGTTAACATCGGGGCCGGAAGTGCGATGTGGACAGTGAGACATAGGTGGTGGGCCCATAGAGGCATTGGTCCAGTTGGACACCGCGACCACGGGAGGCGGATTGATACTGGCTATTGTGATAATTATCAGCCTGAGACGGTCCTATGAAGTATTTGAACTTACATCTTCTTTGTGCAGCATTCACTGATTGCTGAATTATACGAGGATCGGGAGTAGTTCTTTGCACATTCACCAATTGCTGAATTATACGAGGATTGGGAGTAGTTCTTTGCGCATTCACCAATTGCTGAATTATACAAGGATCGGGAGTAGTGTGACGGGATGATGCTGATGCTGAAATAAAGAGTTAGTGAGACTGATTGATGCGTGCCAAGCCAACTCACCTGCAGTTATTGGTCTCCTTGATGTTGCTCTCTTATTTTCGTATCTTGCATAGCAAGCGGCACAGACATTCCGGCCAGCCTGTCCAGGGTTGATGGTAGCAACATACAAGCAAGGCTCGCCTGCCTTGATCAGAATAGCACAAGACGGATGCTCACAGACTCGGTCCTGTGTAGTGTATGCATCTTCAGTAAACTGGGAGACAAGTTCAGTGTTTGTGTGTTCAGCCATAGAATAGAGTGGACAATAGAGTTTGTACTTACTACTGAGACAGAGCATGGTTTAAATACAATGAAGGACACAGATACCATGAGATGAGATGCGGCCTACAGAATGTCAGCTTCAAGTAAATAGACTTCCCACTCAATATGACTTACCATACTGGCAGTGACATTGACAGAGTGAATCGTATGTTTGGATACCATGGAGTAAGATGCGGTCTACAGATACCAGCTACAAGTAACTAAAATTCCTGCTGAATATGACTTACCAAGAGTATTTTGTCAGAATATGATGTACCGGAGACACAGATCAAGTGCAATGCATGTTTCTCAGGGATCAGAATCCTAAAGCGTGAATCAATGTAGACCCGCAGGATTACAGATGGAAGTTGAGCTTCAAATGGGTAATTTGAAACACTTGAAGGATCGGGAAGAGGCACTCAGGATAGCTGCATGGATGCCATTCAGCGGTTGAGAATGGTAGGAGTGCGGAGGATTGCAGAGGATTGCAGAGCTTTAAGCACCTGATGTTACACCATGATAAGCTGACCTTGTATCGGTGTTTAAGCTGCCCTTGTATCGGCATTTGATCTTGGATGTATCTGTAGAATAAATACACTGGCAGTCGCCCTTAGACAGACCAATCTGATGCCCAACCAAAATAAACCCTCTTGTATGTCCATTCCTGATTCCTGTTATTGTATTGCACTCAACACTGACTTGTCTCTGACTCAGCGCCACTGGAGGTCATTGTGCCGCACATCCTCCATCTCTGGAAGGCACGTCGGACTGACAAATAGATTATCCAGGATTTACAGAAACATTATGATACCTCGTGATATGGTTTAGGGTGCATCATTCACTACTTTCCTCTGATGCTTATGTTCTTACAAGGACTATATTAGGCTCACTAAATTTCTCCAAATTCGCAACAGAATGGGCCTTCGAAGGACGCAACAGCAAGGCCATACGGTCAACACTATCCGCGATGCAATGGCCGACCTGCATGAGACATATCCGAACGCAGGAGCACGTGAAATGGTCAACTTGCTATTTTATGAGCGTAGCCAGGTAATGTTTTTTCAGTCAAAAACATAATTTTAACTTATTCATCTACTCTTATTGTGTAGGAGCGTCATGATATCTTATTTCGCTATACATGAACCAGAACTTGTCCGGCAGCATAAGGCTAGTTGCCTTCGAAGGAGGTGATTCTGGGCTGCAGGCGTGAATGACATATTTGCAGTTGACCAACATGACAAATGACTCAAGTACGGTCTTGGTCTCCATACCGGCATCAAGCTGTTTTCAGGTCACATCATGTGGATTAGGGTATGGCACTCAAACCGAAACCCACAGCTTATCCTTAGTTATTACCTTGACACGCTCGAGAAACTTGGACGTAAGTCTTTTGTCTTCTAAAATCATATCTTTATTGATCTACCTACTCAGATATGCCTATGGTCACCCAAAGTGACCCTGGATCCGAAAATTTTGGAATTGTCAATGCCCATACCATGCTCCACCAATGGCATGATCCTGCCCTACAGGGTACCCTGCAGCACCGCTGGATGCGGAGTAAGAAGAATGTAATGCCTGAGATTACGTGGTCACAACTACGACGTCGTTTTATGCCAGGATTTGAAGCGCTTTTGGACCATGGTGTCCTGTCAGGCTGGTATGATACTAACAATACTCTCCAGCTGTGCATCCATTTTTTTGTTCGTCTCACATTGATACTAACTCAGGATCTTAATATTAGGATGTTATTTCGTTGGGTAGTTATCCCTTGGTTACAGCAAGAGCTGGATGCATACCAGGACCAGCTTAATAACACTGCCAAAAGACGTGACTGAAACAAAGTTCTTCCTCACGGCATGCCAAACCTTATATACCAGTCAGCAGAGGATTTCGGCATGCTGGACTTCAAAGTAAGTGGTATGCACACTATCATTGTTTGGGGTGTGACAGGACTTTTTAACAGATCAAGGTGGAACACGAAGCACTGGACCATGTGCGCAACATTTACATTACACCGTCTCACCCTGTCTTCGATCTGGTGCCACGCCCCTTTGGTGACAGTGTCCAGCACTGCTATGATGAACTAGGATGTCCGTTAGTCACGAGGCACACTGTCTGGGAGGTCTATCTGCGCTTGCTTGGCATGCTGCGCCGTGATGAGATACCACATCATATTGACAAGCTTGGCAATGTAGAGGAGGATATTGATACACTACAGCTTCTAGAGGATCACGATGAGTTACCGTATCGCGAGGAAAGTGACGGAACCTACTACATGGGTGGAGTAGGCGGAGGTCTCGGACTTGGTATGTTGTCCTCTTCATGATGTGAATCAGTACTAACATTTACCTAGGTATCGAGCATTTGAATCACCTAGAGCGCCTCGCTCGTGATGAGGAGCCCGAAATCACTCTTAGTGTCGATGAAAACGATGGACTGGATCATGCAGGGTTGGTGGTGTGGGAGTTCTCTGATGACAGTGGTTCATCAGATACTTCAGACGCTGACTGGTGACTTAGATAATTATTTCTTGTACTCGTGAAATGCTGCCTGTGTTAACTGGAACCTCGCCAATGTGTTAAAAATATAGTTGTTTTTGATTTATTCATCAGCGGATTCGCATTGGCAGTGTCCATGGTCCTGACCGTATTTCAGCTTAGTAATTGAGCGCGAGTGTCCGGGCTTCCATACGCATGGGCTTGATTCAGAGATTAACACATCTAACCACGTCCACGTGAGTAACTTATGATCTCGCACCTAACAAATGATGAATGGTTTTGAGACAACTACAGCTGATTACTTTGCCTTTGAGCTCTCTAGATTTAATACAGACTCAGTCGCAGTCGTCCTCTTTGCCGATGGCACCAAGATTGGGGTTGCTCAGCTTGTCGCCGATGATGTTTCTGCAGCAGTTACAAATGTGATTTCACATGAGAGATCGGCCCTAGTGAGTGCTTAAGGCCCTTCAAGAACTCTCGCGTTCTACTAACGAAATTCAGCTGTCGCAGGCCATTCCTTTATTCGAGCCCCCCCCGTCCCATAGCATCGCACAGTGAGCTAAACTTATTTATACTGACGACCAAAACTCGATGTCACATTGTGGTGTCTGGATGTATTGTCGACACCACGCTACAGCACTCCGTCATGCTCTCGCACGTATTATGCTAATTTTTTAATGCACTGGCGAAAACAAGAGCGTCAACACTCAGTCTCGGCAATAGGGCCGCCTTACTCGAACACTGCAGGGTTGAGCAACGCTTATGCGCAAACGAAGTCATTTATGGAGTCAACCACCATACAGCCTTTTTGACATTGACACGGCACATGGGATATAATTTTGCCACTGTATCCACAGAAGTACTCGAAATCACTTTCGTTGTTGTAACCTCCGAGACCCGTTGAGCACCTCGTCTCATCTGTGCATAGCCGTAAGCAGTGTCTAGGCAAATCAAACACGGTCAGGCTTTCTGACCATTGGATTCTGCTTGTACTAATCCTCCAAATTTGCCCTGCCAAACAAATACTTGCAATGTGCCGCGTGTCCGCTATTTTTGTCGCCCACATAGCGGCTATTTGTGGTTGAATTGCAAGTACAGTTCCCAAGTAATTGGTCCACCTTTGGACGATGAACGATGTTCAATTGGCTGACTGATGTCACTCAGCCTGCCACAGGTACTACATATAATAATAGTCTCTCTGGCGTCGCTGCGATGCGTCGTCATGGACTCCTAGTACTTCAGGGGATTCACAGCTCACCTTTTCCGACGTGCAGATCCTCATTCGGGGCCGGATAGTGTTTCGCGCTCTCACTCACTTTCTTAGTCTGTCGTACCTCTGCTCCTGTAGCTCCACGTTAGAGTAGAATGCATTTATCTAACGATCTCTCTTACAAAACTTTGGCGTCTGAGCGTCAACCAAAGACAGTCTCTATTAACTATGGAGGGTATCTCATCAATGTAATAATTCAATAGTATCATTGTAAAACATTGTCACAATGTGACTGGGAGTTTTACCAAATTGTGCGCCTGTGCTGGCACTTTGTCAAAACTCAGCCGAAAGTTGGCCGAAAGTGTTTTTTGCTCCCGACACTAGGCCCGTACTCCACAAATTGGAATTTACAGACGAGGTGTTGACACCGACCTCCCTAACGCAGCTCACCTATTTGTCTAAAACATGAGGATGACGAGAAATTCCTCTGGGAAGCCACCCATTCGTGTCTCTAGATGAAAAAAAAATACCACGGACTCACGGAGAATGAGGTGGCACAGTTTTTTCCTGAGCGTACGACAATGAAAAGGTTTTGGCTGCACCATACACTAATCGTGTAATATAAAAGCCGTGCTCCTCGTTTCGGCTCAGAAAACATCATCAATATTCTACCATGAAAGTCACTTCACTCACCACTATTGTCATTTCTGCCGCAGCAATGGCTGGAATAGTTATCGCATCTGAAGACCTGTATATAGCACCTGAGGGCCTACCCTGTTGGCCCAAGGGTGAGTACTCTCGCGGCCTATTACGCGCAGAACTGAGACCGCGCATTTGCGGTTTATCCACAGATACATTACAGTGCTCGACGGCCCTCAAAGGTTACAACAACGACAACGATTTCGCGTTTTGGTGCGGGGATTACAACGAGATCGTATCAGACATGACATGTGACTGCAAAAACTGTTGTGTCATAAGTAATGATGACATGGACTACAGCTGTGGTTAATGAGTGAGTCTGTCTTTCCATGCTGCCTTTGGAGTCTGAGTGTTAATGTGCTTGTCTAGCATGTTGTGCGTAAGAGGGCGGGAATGCTGCGACCTAGTATTAGGGTTTAAATTTGTAGCGATCGTTCCTCCTATGGGCTCAAGCTACTTCTTGCGGCGTGTATTAGCAGCCGGCTCATCCGCGTTGTTTGGATCTGAATCCCGCGAGTCAGATAGTATTTCATGATCCAGGCCCTGCGGAAGTGACAATACCTATGTGTGCGATCGAGAAGTTCAAGACACTAAGGTCCTGTTGTAACTCGGGTACCCCCCTACGCCTACCGTGACAGCATGACCAATCATGTAATTTAGCCATATTAGGTAATAGTCGTTCATCGCAAAACGACAAGTCAAATTCTCATTTTTTCACTGACATTGTCGACACCACGCTACAGCACTCCGTCATGCTCTCGCATGCATTATGCTAATTTTAATGCACTGGCGAAAACAAGAGCGTCAGCACTCAGACTCGGCAATAGGGCAGCCTTACTCGAACACTGCAACGCTTATGCGCAAACAAAGTCATTTCTGGAGTCAACCACCATAGAGCCTTTTTGACATTGACACGGCACACGGGATATAATTTTGCCACTGTATCCACAGAAGTACTCGAAATTACTTTCGTTGTTGTAACCTCTGAGACCCGTTGAGCACCTCGTCTCATCTGTGGATAGCCGTAAGCGTGTGAGAACCAAATATCACCATGAACCTAGACTCTACCACAATTTTTGGGAGGACAGTTGGATACATATTAAACCATAGTCCAATATGACATACAGTGCCCGAATGTAAAATTACATGATGAGTGAGAGAGGGGAGCAGAAACCATGAACATGCCATCGTATAAATTAGTCTGACAGGAATAGCGTTAAAATGCAGTAAATGAAAAAAAAAAAAAAAAAACATCGACAAACTGGAATCGATATCATACAAGTGGACGCAAAACCCGAAACAGCGAAATAATACAAAAACAGTAGTCATGGTGCCGTGAGAGCAGGTGGCATGTAGTGGAGGTAATGCCGCATGGCTAACTGTGCGCGCCAGCTTACGAGAGTGTTGATCGAATTCAAGAGTTCTCCAGGACGAAGGGGCTCTGGAAAATAAGCATCGGTGAGACTCGGAGAATGTATGGGTAGATGAGGTACATACTGGCGATGTGATCGTCCATACCTGCCTGCAGGCATCGCTCGCGATCACCGATCACTGGAAAGGCAAATTAATAAGTACCATCCCTGAGCCTTGATATTGTGACGTACTAGCATGAGCAGTGAGGGCGATGATAGGAGTTCGTAAGAGTCCTTTATGCATCTCATACGCTCGTATGAGCTCAGTCGCCTCCAATCCTCCCATGACAGGCATCGATACATCCATCTTAAGGAATGATAATTAACTACTATGTGCCACCGAATAATAAATAACTCACCAAGATAATGTCAAATGGCTTGTTTACTTGTACCCGTGCCTTGAAAGCTTCGACAGCTAAACTTCCATTCTCCGCGATCACAACTGTGTGCCCATACTTCTCCAGGATCTTGGCTGCTAATTTCTGGTTGATTAGATTATCCTCAGCAAGCAGAATGTCATAGACAACATTATGCGGTGCCGAGATAGGTGAGACAGCATTCGGCTCCAGGTCGGAAAAGAGGGCGGAAGCAAGGTCTTGGATTGTGACAAGTCAGCCCCACATCACCAAAGCACATCCTCGTACTACTCACAATTTCGACGTGGCATCGAAGGTACCAATAATGTGATGGGAATGGAGCGCGGGTGTTCATATTCCTTAATATCCTCGATCTATGATCTCCTGCAGCGTACTTTGAAAAATCTGCGATGTGACCGTGAAGAAGTTGCTTCTCTTCGAGACCTCGCTCTCGACCCACATGTTGTCTTGCATGAGGTTGACGAGGTGTTCGGAGATGAAAATTTGGTCCAGACCGGTTCCTCAATCGTTTCGTGTATTCTGCCAGAGGGAAGGTCAGTGGGCCCACCTGTCATTATCATGATGATGTAATAAGTGACTTGGGATTAGTGCTCTCCCACAGAAGTCGGCACTTGCAAAAAACTCGCGTTCTAGCGACTTGAAAACAAAATTCTCGACTCAAATATCATTATCTCTCTGATACAACTGATAACGAGGTTGAACGACCCCAATTGAAGCAGAATTGAGTGAGATAATTCAAAGTGTCACCTGCCGATGTGTGCCGTGACGGAGTTTCAATATTCACTCTGGCTGTCGAGCTCGCTCCGGAAGTACTAGTCACCTGTGATCTTATGGTGAGTCTATTCTTTATTTACGACCTTGATAAGCCTTTTTTTCGCGGTCACTGCGAATATCCTCAGCTGAGTGACACGCTGTCAAAAGTTTTACCCACTACTGACTTGGATTTCTAGTTCATCAACTCAACGGGCTTGTTCAGTTCCATCCGATTTCAAAGTGACGTCGATGACAAGTTAACTACTACTCAGCATCCCCGGTGAGTCAGTTAATCCAATCTCAAGTGACTCTGATTCCCTAGCTCGCACTGGAAAACTCACCATGGCAACCATAGTCCGCGACACTCAAATCTGAGTTCGCATGCCAGCTAGTCAAATGTCTGGTTGGCATCAAAACTATTGACCGTCCGACTAAGCCTGAGTGTCTGGACGTTTTGACACATCGTCCGTTGTGACGTTCTGGGATGTGTAGTGTCGTTTCTGTGAGGATGATGATTCGCATTGTGTCATGACGAGTCTGTGCTAATGAAACCATCTTTGAACTTGTCAACCTCTACATATGAATTTCTCCTCATTCCCCTATGTTAATCGTTACTGACCTATTGATAATAGAAGACCGCAACTCAGCCTAATTCCTCTTCTTTTTTTAGGTAGGCGCTGGGCGAGCAGGTCTGGTAGCAGCGCTGTCACGACCCGAACCCTCGCAAGAGACAGCGTGGTGCTAGAATACGGGTGCATTATACATTTCAATTCTTGTTCTATACCCCCGGTCTCATTAAACGCACGATCAAGCTACGCGCCCTCGGAGTCTTCAACTTTTGAACGTTCGAGAAGTCAACGATCTGGGGAAACGTGCTCATATTATCCGTTCATACAGCCCAATCCATGCAACATTCGATGAGGGAATCTTCGATGCATTCGTGGGCCGAGGCGTCTATTTCCCAAGCAGCTTTGTTTTTTTCTTCTCGAGCACCTTCCTAAGACGTTAAAGTAGTTCCTTGATGTGGTTCTTCGATGCCACCTAGAGAAGTTCTCATACACTACGGTCGAGATGGGTATCGAATTGCATTCAGTGTCACATTATGTCCGACGGACGAATTTTTTCCATCTTTGGGTAGTGACCTAGATCCTACCAAGGTCATTCAGAGCGAGGCTTATCGTCAAGAGCACATCATTGATACCCACGAAGGTTGCCTTTGACACTCCGGTCTGGGTGAGCGAGTCCAGGTGCTTTCGTCATTTTTGTCTATTGATGCGGGTTGCTTAGGGCCAAAATCCGCACGGCAAACATGTTCAGCGAGGGTCGAGTGTTTGTTGTGGGTGGCATGCACTTCTGCTGTTCAATGTCGGTGCTTATGGAAATCGTCATAGATGCCTGTTCAGTGTGTCTATTTTTGAGTGCTTTCTTGGAAAACTGTTATTGCAATATCCAGCGTCTACAATTTAACTGGTGACCTACTTGCTCGTTTCTCTACGAACAGTGACTCAGTGTATCAGATGCCGTGAGTCTTACAATGTAGCGTGTACGACACAACTGACCGGACTGTATACCAGTTCGATATAGGATGGGAACTCATCACCAAGTCTCTTATTGAGGCATCTAGCGCTGTGTCTCCCTGTCATCTCCGAGATGCCCGAGATGACCACTGGGATTCTCAACCCGGCAATTACAACAAAGACTAGAGCCTTGACCATCGACGAAATCCCGTCCTTTCATGCTCTTTATCACTGATGAAGGGTGTTATCCGTAAGCTGGTAAACACTGTCGACTTGCGGATGACACCCTTTCGTTTGAGATCATCGCAGATCTAACCTCAAACGAAAGGGTGCATCATACCCCCTATCCTCATGTTCATATAATGTCATCAGGCGGGCAGGAAATACAGTCTTCACCCAGTCGCTGAGTCCCGCGATCGAAAATGCTTGGTACATGGTGACATCTGATTGCTATCGTCATATCATTTCGTTACAAAGGCTTTTGTACACTGTATCTTCACTATCTTTTTTCATTTACTTTTGTAAATAAGCACAGGGTATCTTGACGCTGGACAATGCAGCAAGAATCTGTCCTGAGATCCAGGACTGTGCAGAGCATGAGAATGGCGGTAGACAAACTCAAAGAAAATTGTTTGCGACTGAGCTTGGGCGGTAAAGATGCAGATAAAACGAGATAGTGGTTTTCGAGGTTAGATTGTTGAACAGTTGGACTTCGACGAATCGACGATGTAGTGTTATAGGTACCTGTGCATTTCGAGTCACTAATGCGGCATACCTTTTCGACATATCGTTTCTCCATATTGTTATCCGGCTGGTCGCCATATAGAGCTCTGCTGAACGCAAAGGGCTGCACAGCATGAGGGACACAATTGACACCGAGCAACCACCGGCAGACGAATCTCCTCGGTCCAAAGAAGAAACCTAACCGTCAATCAATCGCTCATACCCTCGCACCGAGGATCTAGTAAGTCACTCACTCAGGACTAGAAAATACACTCATTATTGTGCCTCTATTCAAACTTCGTAAGGACCCAGGCATACCTTCCCAGGTCTTGAATTCAAACCGAATGAGTTTAATTACCAGTGTGTACGACGTGGAGGAAGGACACTGTCACGGTGTTGTGACATTTTTTTCAATATTCTAACCTCTTGCAAGACGGTGACCAACAAAACGAACTTTGTATGTATAAAGGACGCAAGGGAACGAACATTTGTTGAGACTAATCGAATAACCCCACCCTTTGAATCATCATCACAGCATTCTGACCAAGATGTCGATATGAGGTGGGGCGATGTTACTGACTGATTGTCGGGGTACACCTACTATAACAGGCAGCCAGAACATGCGTGTGTTGGACCCAGCTTAACCAGGAGCCAGTAGTCGGTCAGCGGACAGCTACGCTCGATCCATTTGAAATTCGAGGCAACACGCAGAACGACTATATTCCGACAGCAACTGCCAACGATATTGAACGATACGAATCCGGCAGAATAAAAGCCAGCACGTTAGACCTGACCAACGATTTGTCAACGATATGGTGCCCAACTGTTAGAGTTTGGTTATCCGGTGGCGCAGAGGTTACCGGTGCCCGGCCCGGGTACCCACCCCGACTGGCGCAGAACAACTAGGATTCCAAGCACATCCATTCGCCAACACCGCGACTAGTACTCAATCTCCTTTCAACATTTTACAACTTGGCCCTTTCACTGTGCTCGCCAATACCGTCCATGTATTGATCATACATCCCAACCTTGCCATCGGCTTTCAGCAGCGCATATCGTTCTTTCGTTTTGCGGGATTCACCCCGGACATTCACCAACTTGACGACAACATCAAAGCGCACAACAACGTTGGGAGAGATGGGCATAAACGGGGCAGTTTGAGTAGTATTCTTGCATGAGTCGTAAGTGTGCTCTGCTCCATATCTCGATTCATATCCCATAAGTGACCTTCTTGAATGCAGTAACACCTACGTCCCGATACAATCACCCGTACTTCCCTTTGGCAGACAACAGTTCATTTTATCAGTTATCAACATAGAAGGCTTACATATTTGATAAATTACTGTCTCTAAGAGAAGTTACAGTCTAAAGGTGCTCGTAAGTGTCGAAATAACTAAGGTGGTTTACAATGAAGCTTGTATTTATTCGTAAGTATGTCAAACATGATTGTGCCCTCCATAACATGACTCCCAAGATAATCCGTGAGCCATATGGCTGAGATCAAGTGGAAGGCTGAGCGGAGGAACAACCCACTGCATCCTTGGCGGACACCACAGGGGATCGTAGTTTGGCGGGACCCAAAACAAAAGCCTGTTCTCCGGTCCAACCACAGCCCATCTGTCATGTTCCCGAATCCTCACCGGGGGTTCCGATCTGTCTTGTGTTGGAGTGGCGATTTCATCGAGAAGCGTGGCAGTATCAACAAGAGCGTGTCCCGGGTGCAGGGAAAAACGTATGAGGTGTTCTAAGTCATGGTTTCGAATAGATCGTGTGTCGTGTGCATGGTTATGAGATCCAGACATGATGTCGATTTCATCTGGCGAAACTGCAACGGAACTGACGCCTGCCGAACATCTTGAAGTGGCTGCAGCGTCTTGCCAGCCTCGACATCCCATAACCGTATGATCCTGTCATATGACAGCGACATGATGCGCCTGCCATCGAGCGAGAATGCTAACAGAAGCGGATAGGCATCTTCATGTCCCTCAAGAGGTGGACTGGAGTAGGCTCGCCAGGTCTCGGCATCCCATAACCGAATGGTCTTCATCTTGCCGACCCTGATACGATGCGCCTGCCATCGGGCGAGAATGCGACAGAGTAGACATGCCACTCTCATGTCCCTCAAGAGGTGGCTGGAGTGGCTTGCCAGTCTCGGCATCCCATAACCGAATGGTCTTATCTTGCGACCCTGATACGATGCGCCTGCCATCGGGCGAGAATGCGACAGAATAGACATGGCCATTATGTCCCTCAAGAGGTGGCTGGAGTGGCTTGCCAGTCTCGGCATCCCATAACCGAATGGTCTTATCTTGCGACCCTGATACGATGCGCCTGCCATTGGGCGAGAATGCAACAGAGCAGACACCACTCTCATGCCCCTCGAGAGGTGGCTGGAGTGGCTTGCCAGTCTCGGCATCCCATAACCGAATGGTCTTATCTTGCGACCCTGATACGATGCGCCTGCCATTGGGCGAGAATGCAACAGAGCAGACAGCACTCTCATGTCCCTCAAGAGGTGGGTGGAGCAATTCGCCAGTTTCGATATCCTGCAATAAAATGGTGTTATCGTATAACCTAAACACGATGCGCTTGCCATCCGGCGAGAGTGCAGCAGAGGTGACGTCACCACTGTTCTTATGCGCCTCGACAGGCGGCCGAAGACACTCGCCAGTCTTGGCATCCCAGAAGCAAAAGGTGTTCTCTTGTGATACTGATATGATGTGCTTGCCATCCGGCAAGAATGCGGCATGGGAAATAGTCGTGTGTTGCATGCGAGGTGGCTGCACTGGCTCGCCAGTCGTGGCCTCCCATAATAAAATATTGTCCCATGACCCTGACAGGATACGCTGGCCATCCGGTGAGAATGCAACACAGGTGACGAATGACTGGTGTCCCTGGAGAGGTGGTTGCAGTGGCTTGCCGGTCTCGGTATCCCATAACCGAACAGTATTGTCTTCTGACCCTGACACAATGAGCTTGCCATTTGGAGAGAATGCAATGGATGTGACATCTTGCTCATGTCCCACGAGAGGTGGGCCCAGCGGCTCACCAGTTTCGGCATTCCACAAGCGAATGGTGTTGTTGCTTGACGACGCGATGCGCTTGCCATCCGGCGAGAATGCAACAGAATTGACATAACCAAGTCCCTCCAGAGGTGGCAACAGCAGCTTTCCCGTCTCCACACTCCATAACCGGATCGTCTCGTCCCAAGATCCTGACACGAGGCATGTGCCATCCGGCGAGAATGCAACAGAAGTGATTAAACTCATATGACCCATGAGGGGCGGTCGCAGAGGCTTGCCAGTCTCGGCATCCCATAACCGAATGGTCTTATCTTGTGACCCCGATACGATGTACCTGCCATTGGGCGAGAATGCAACAGAGTTGACAATACCCTCATGTCCCTCCAGAGGTGGCTGCAACGGTTTGCCAGTCTCGGCATCCCACAGCAGAATAGTCTTATCCCGCGACCCCGACACGATGCGCCTGCTATCTGGCGAGAATGCAACAGAAATGACATCATGCGTATGCCCTATGAGAGGAAGTCGAAGATGCTCGCCAGTCTCAGCATCCCACACCTGGATAGTACCCCCGGGTAACCCCGCAACGATGCGCTTGCCATCCGGAGAGAACGCAGCGCATAGGACAAGAGAATCTGGACGTATCACCTGCTGAATCATTGACCATGACGAATTATGGCCGGAAACAATTCGCAGTACTGAAGGAAATGCATTTGCGAACTTCGTGAAGATGCGTGACTCCTTTGGTGAAAATGGCAGCGCAGATAGATACAGATGGGGGGTGCTGAAGGAAATGGGAAGGCCGAACATGCGAATGAATCTATGGGCATCTGTAGCGTCGTCCGAGATATCTTTGCATTCTGTGGGGTGGGGCTGGTTCACGTCAGAACAACTGTGTAGAAAATAAGGGCTCTGATACGAACCTTGACCCACTCGATTACAGATGACAGTGAGTCAGCCGTTGTGTTGATGGTCTTGAGCAAACTGAGCACTTCCAACCAGAATAGTAACCGTTCGTGATTGAAGAATGTTCGAACCACACCAGCGAGGTGCAAGTTAAAAGCTGCTTTTCGTAGATGATTGGTCCAGAATCGACAGGAATAGGACAGCTCCGGGGTGATGTGCCGCTCGACTCGTTCATGCAAGTCGGAGATTTCGGAATTAGGAAGGTAAGAACTTGGCAGTTTGCATATGTTGAATCGTAGGGTGTGCTCCATGACTGCGAGGGACGCAAATGCAAGGTCCTTCTGAATGTGAGATGTGTCGACGAAGAACTCGTCACTTCGTTGTTTATCTGTGAGAAAATCGGGAAAGGATGCATGAAGTGGACGGACGACGGAAGAAAGATTGGTGGTGCCGCTCAGAAGAGCACCCATGGGCTTTACGATCGCAGTAACGATGTCCAAGTTGTCCTCGGGAAAATATTGCCTCATCAAGCGCAATGAAGCAAGGGGGAGTGGTTCCAGCGTTCCTAGTACTTGTGCCATCACCGAACAAAAACGAGCAAGACGTTTCTGGCGCTGCGGCTGGTTTGGTCGAAATATTGATTCCAAAGTGAATTTGTACATCTGGTCGAGAAGGGGAACGTGATCGTCTTTCTTGTGACTGATGATAGCTTCGAAACGTTCGAGGGGAGTTAAACCAGCGTCATTGTCTGCTTTGATATATGCGCATGCTAGACGCGACCACTCAAATAGTCCACCAGATTCGCGCGTGAGGGATGTTAAAAGCTCGTCTCCGTGTACGCCATCCACGCACAAGAGTTCATTGGTGACATAGCGCAGAATGTCACGTTCAGTTGTTGTAGGATAAAATACTATCCATAGACTTTTGAAACATATGCTTGACGCCGTTTAACGCGTTGTGGATGTCCGGTAGAGGTCGTGATGTAACAAGAAACCGGAAGTTGGAAGGAAGCTTGTTTATATGGGACTCCTCGTCTCCTGACTTGCCAGCCAGGATTTGGAGGAGATGTCGTCGTGTGGCATCGTCACCACTCTCATCCAATGCATCGATGACAATCAAAGTAGGTCCCACCATCGCCCACGACAACTTTGACGCAGGCTTCACGATCAACTCTTTCCACTGCTGCATGACGTCCGGGGTATTTGTGAGTGAGTTGTCGTGACGGACAATATCTGCTAGCGCGTGTCGCATCTGCTCATCACGGTCAGCAAGACCACGTGCGATTGTGGTGAAAACTTTTTCATGGCGTCCTTGCGCTGCTCGGTCGAAGCAATAACATGATCCCAAGCGCCCAAGCTCTCGGAAACGGTCTGCAATCGTATGCGCGATGGACGATTTGCCTGTGCCAGCATTTCCGTGCAGCCAGAAGACGCGAGAAACATCATCTTCAGTGTTGTTGATCCAAGTCGTGATCTCATCTAGAATTTCCTCTCGGGTTCCCTGGCAAACACTTCTTTCTCGTGTCCAACCCTGCTCCTTCCGCACATTTCATTCCGCTCAGGTCTGCGCCTTCGACTAAAGTGTGGGTGTTAAAAACCGTCGAGAGTTGACAGCATATCAATGAAGCACTTACTCAACTCCTGGATGCCTTCCAACATCCGGTGCACGACCACCACCGTGTCCCGCGCTGCCCTATTCCGAAACTGTTGCATGAGGTCCTCAAATACGGTGTTATATCCCTTTACTGTATCATCAGTTGCCGATACGACATTTCTGCCGAGCCTGATCCCTGCAAAATAAGATTGTGAGTTTAATGAGGACCGCACTTCGCTGTTTGACTCACAAAAATTCTTGCTCTTGGAATAATCGCGAAGGAAATAAGAACACTCGAGCGTTTGCTGACATATCCGCACGACAACGGCTTTTCATTGATGTGAGAGCCGCCAGGTCATTCTCTGTGAAGAAACGTGTACACCTCATCCATCTTTGAGAGGAGTTGGCTGATCGAGTCGTCGCGAGTAGCTTGCGACGTTATTGTCTGTCAGAAAGGTATGTCAATCAAACGTGCATCAAAAATATCAGGTGTGGATAGATACCTTGGACACAACCGACAGGACACCCCATGCTGCCTTGGCGTATGGATGAATCTGCACTGCAAGGTAATTGACGTCGTCGCTGCCTGATGAAATTCCATACCTCTGCTATGGTATCAACAAGGGAATTAAACTTGGAAATTTTTGCGAGAAACGGGGTGATGTTGTTCGACTGCAGGCAATTGGGTCTCCTGCATCATTGACGCCCGACGCCACAGCTTGCACGGGTCCGAACACGGATTTCTAAACCAGAAACGGCCTCTTTCGCATCTTGCGGGCTTCATTTGCCTTGTTCAAATCGGGTTTGTCAGTGGTTGCAGAGTCCTAATCACAACATATTCTCTGTCATGAACAGCACGAAGAACAATTTTATGGGACGTACATTTGATTCGGCACCATGGGCCATCTGACCTTTGTGTGTCGACTGGTCTGTTGAGGGAAGCTTGTCGGACTGTTGTCGAGCATGTTGATCTGAGGTAGGATCCTGCGCGGAGATTGATCGGGTAAGTGCAAGGTGTTGCGCAGGACCGTTCACTCACGCTATGACTGTCATCGTACGGGGGGTCTTCGAGTGATGTACTAGGATGGTTAGAGCTTGTGTTCGGAAGCTCGTCGACTACCTCTTCTGATACCATGAGCTGCGCAGAATCCTGCTTCGGATATCTGTTAATGCAATACACATTCACTGAAGACATTGCCCACCTGTCTTACATCTTCCGAGGGAGAAACGAGCTGGGAGGAGTTAGGGCGTCTAGCAGGTCGAGGGAAAAGATCTTTGGCCTTGCTGCGAAGTGAGGCGAAACTTCCTCTGTGGGATTGACTAGGTGGCGGTGGAATATCAGAGGACTATAGAGATATCAGATTATATACGAAGACGAAGAATAGAGATAAACGAACCTGATGGGCTTCTGGATGAGTTTTGCTAAAAAATGTGAAACGCTTCTTGCGGTGGGGATTATCTTGGGCCATGGCCCGTTTCTCAATTGGCAATATGATAGCCTACATGGGTCAGATAAACTTGGGACCAAAGTGCTTGTGGTTTGGCTGGTGCATACCTCTAGTTATGATGTGGTACAGTTCCAGAAATTCAAAGAAATCGGAAAGCAGTCGATACACCTGTGGGTTCTACACAAACCCCGTCATTTAAGCAGGCCGATAGTCATGTAAAGGAGCTGCATACCTCTACTATGATGATGCAACAATTGAGAGAGGTGGAGAGCCGTACGGGATGTCGAGTTCAAGAGGGTCCAGGTGGGCGTTCGAGGTTAAAAAACACTCATGCCTGCGGGCTGCGGCATGTTTGTGGCGTGTGTAGAAGTTGATATGTGCACGGTCATATAAGTATTAGCGCTAGCGCTCATGCTATTCTGCCGCAGAATTGGGAGGGCGAAAACTACCAGTGTTGCCTATCTTAATTTGCGATTGAATGCATAGACTGTGTATGTGCACTGCCAATCACATCCAATTCATCACGGTCTGAGACTACTATCAATTCGGGATTCTCAGACTCAAGCATATTTCAAGTCCAGTGCAAGGTGACGAGCAGTCTTTCTATCATGTCCTGTATCATGGACGGTGAGTTCCCTCGTTCGTACAATTGCTGAATGCAACTCACATCTTTCCTCTAGCCAACCAGGACTCTCGTTCAAAGTCTACCATGCTGGATGAAATTGACGTGCAGTTGAAGGAGATTGTTCACTCGAAATGTGAAGCTGAATGACATGCATGTCATCGTACAGAATCACAACTCTAGTGAGTGTTGAGGCCTCATAGCAGTTCGGCCAATACCCAACCATATTCAACGCAGGCAACCCCGTAACCATTGCCGGCAATACTAACAACGTCCGACATCCCCGACTGGACCTACGCTGAATTCGGGCTCCAATTCACTACGGATTCGCTAAGACGGTGTGCGTGTGGTACTAGAAATGTCGTGGCTTAAGGGGGCTTAATGGGATTGAGGCGGCGAGGGTTTCGTGGGATGCTAGGAGGGATTGGTTTAAGAAGCCGGGAAAAAAACGCCAATCGATTGATGGTAACATGCGAGCACCGACGCTTTGAATGTTGCTGTTGTGTGGACGGCGTGTGGGATGCATGACGTGAGCCAGAAAGATGTTTTCGTAGTGTTCGGGCTGGAAAGCGCCTTGTTCGTCCCATTCCGTATGTAGTATTACTTCACACCGACTGGAGGGTTATATTCGCCCATCCTTGGGATATATTTTCCTATTTTCCGCGTTTGAGCGAGCCGATGTGTCGGGGTACTCCTGGAAGGCTAGAAAAACCAGAAGTGTTCCAAACATCGAGATTACAGTCATAAAAGCCACGATGTGGCCCTCGTTAATCGCCTAGTTTATTCGATACTGCATTCACAAAGCATCATGATCTTCATTCTTTGAAGGAAAAGACAGTGTGATCACGACCCTCAATCATAGCACTCCTTCACGCCCTCCTGCATGTATCATGTTAATCATTCCGTGCACTAGCGAAAGCGAGCACATCAGCAAACGCGGACTCGGAAGACGATGAGAAAAGACGGACTCACCCACACACTGTGATGCTATCAAAGCAAATCATGATGAACAGGTGGGCACATAGTACCCACCGCCATCATCATACAATCGACAGCAACCTTTGCACGAGCATGGAATCCAGGTCGTGATGTGGCCGTTAGCTCCGCAGAGATACCCGAAATCGTTGTCGTTGTTGAAAGATTGGACGCCCTGTGAGCACCCCGCTTTATAGGTGGATGGTATGTAGTCTAAAATTTGCTCGTAGGCTGAAAAAGTGCTCACCTTGGTAAGGCTTACAGGGTAAATCCGGCCCATCGGATGCGATAGCTATGGCAGCCATTGCTACGACAGGGATGATGACAGTGGTGAGTGAAGTAAATTTCATGGTTGAAACTTGATGGTATCAAGCGCGTTGACCTTTATAATAGGGCTTAGCGGCGTACATCACCGTGGCATGAGTTTATTGAAGGCCTTAAATGATGTGCCAGACACATTCCACGAGTCCTTTTGGTACGATATTTTGACGAGTGTCAGCCTGAGTCTGTGATAATTTATTCATCCAATTCACATTTGCAAGGGATGCTGCAGACGAACTCACATAGGGCGATACTCGAAAAATTGGACAGGGAGAAAATATGCAAGGTTCGGCTTACAAGTTCCGAAGCCGGAAAACGATTGTCCCCCGGAGGAAGCAAAGTTGTTTACATAACTCAGCACTTGTTCCGTTACTCTTAGTTCCAACTTGAAGGACATCGTCAAAAGATATATTCATCGGGATCGAATTCACGCTATCGTCTGGCGTATTCATTCGAGAAACTCCTTTCGACTTCACTAAGGCGAGCGAGGAAATTTCCTTGTGCACTGGAAAGTCCATAGCTTCGCACTGGCACAGCGATTGGGACTGACAACAACTTGAATTGATTATAAGCGCTTTTCAGCTGCGATTTGGATCGCACAGCGAACACACACGCTACCAACTGCTCTCATTCTCCTTTTGCATGTCGTTGGCACCATAATATGTGCACCAGCCTCGCGTTGTTTTTATGCACCAAGCAAACCCCGACACGATGAAACAGTTTCACTTACGAATTTCGAAAAGTCGACTTCCACGATATCGTATCATAAACGGAACGCGTGTTAATAGCATTCATCTGATGATCTATGTACAGCGAGTTAAGCGTCCATGTACAGCATCGCAATTATTAACTGTAGTAATCCACATGCACAACACACAACACACATCCCCACCAAACACTCAACACTCAGGGACGTCCTCCCCCATGATCTTAGCCACCAAATCATTCCCCTCGTGCACAGGCGCCTCATATACAGCAAACGCCGCACGCTTCCCAGCTCCATTCTCCTCGCTCTTCCATCCCTTCTTCCTGTCCGCGAATACAGCCTCACTCCGATCAAGCAACATATTGAGGTCTTCATCTGACAACACCCGTTTCTTACTCTCCACAGACGTATTCGTCACCACGTCGATCTGCTCGCCTTCAAGCTTCAAAAGATCAGCTGCGAGTTCTGTCATTGATTGGGGGTTTGATTGAGGTACCCCTTGTCCGGGGAGCTTGAATTTGCCTGCGATAACACATGAGTGACAAAATGACGGGAGTTGGGGCAGACCAACCCTTGGCTATCACAAGTGCCTCAAGCTTCCTCTTCTCAGTCGCACGATGCATGATCCTTGTTTCGATAGTATGCGCCGTAACGAGTCGAAACACCAAAACGGGTTTCGTCTGACCGATACGATGCGCTCGATCTTGAGCTTGGATATCCATCTGCGGATTCCAGTCTTGATCATAAAATATCACCGTATCAGCTGCTGTTAAATTGATGCCTAGGCCGCCTGCGCGAGTGCTAAGGAGGAACAACTTCGGAGCGTCGCGAGAGCTGCCTCCTTGCTGAAACTTGTTCATCTGTTCGCGGCGGTCCATAGGTGCTGTTGACCCGTCGATACGACAGATAGACCAGCCTTTTAGTTCGGTAGCCCAGTCCTGTAATAAGGGATTGAGTACAATGACAGATGAAAAAAGACGGACGGACCTCAAGGATATCTAACATAGTAGTAAATTGACTGAATAACAAAACTTTGTGTTTCCTGCGGAACAGTTCCTCTAGTAAACGATCGAGGATCATCATCTTTCCGCTGGCGTTTACCAACTGCTCGTCAAGCACGAGCTCCTGAGTGCCTGGGACGACAGGCCAGTGGAACAAAAACGGGTGGGAGCAGACTTTGCGTAGCTGCATAACAACATTCTGAAGCTTCATGTTGTTGATCTGTTTCCCTAGATCCAACGGTCAGTTGAATAGAAGCCAAGAAAACACCAGACACCAACGAGTCGCAAGTTGCTGATGTTGTTTCGCCATCTCAGAGACGTCCTCCTCTAGCTCCTTAACCGTGGAGCCTCCACCGTCCTCGAGCATCTCAAAGTACTCGTCGTCGTTGCCATCAGCATCGTATCGTGTCTTTTTCGGCTTCCGGAGCTTCATTGGCGCATCCAAGTCGATCTCGACAACCTTCTCGACGGCTGCTTCTTTGGAAATGCCAAGAAGAAAGTTTCGTAACGACCCGTCAAGGATGTTGTCGTACAAATTGCGTTGACCTATGCTAAGCGGGGCGTACAGAACATATTCCTTCTTGGGTGGAAGGAGGCCTTCGACGTCCGCCTTAAGTCGTCGAAGGAGGAAAGGCTTCAAGATACCATGAAGGGTGCCAATCAACTGAGACGATTGGTCTGCAGAGAGGCGAGATTGCATGGTTCCGAGGTTGAACCTGGATTAGCCATTAGCTAAAATTCCGATACCGAGCAAAACAAACACGGACCATTCCTGGAATGTATCCAGGTCGTCAAAAATATCAGGTAGTATAAAATTTAATAATGACCACAACTCTGCCAAATTATTCTGTAGAACATGAGCAAGAACGATGTTGGCATACTGAACAGAACTTACGTGTAATGGTGTTCCCGTCAGAATCATCCGACCTGCGCTCGGATATTTCTTGATCTCCTGCATGAGCTTGCAGTCAAGATTTTTCAATCTATGCCCCTCATCTACAACGATATAGCCCCAATTATAAGTGGAAAGGTATATACGGTCCTTGAGAATCATTTCGTAGGTGGTGACAACAACAGGGAAAGAGGCACGGGTCTGTGGAGGGAGGGTATCGCTAGTAGTGGGTATACGGGTGTCCTCGACATACGAGGTATCTTCGTCGTCTTCATCTGCCTGTAATCTATCCTCGTCGGTGTCTGTCTTGCGTCTCTTAGCAGGTCTGCCTTTTGTTTTGCGCTTCGGCGGAGGAGCTTTACGGGCAGGAGCTTTCTTGCCCTTGCCCTTGTTATTGCGTTGCGTCTTGACCATAACCTCTTCATCGTCTGCTTCTTGAGTGTCCGGTGCTCGCATGATAGTCCGGCGAATATTAGCACGCTCAGCTGGCGTGCCATGATACATGCAGACGGGTATCTAAGGATAGTCGATACCAGAAAGAAGATATAGACGGGTAAGAGACTTACAGTAGGCGCAAATTTCTGAAATTCCTCTATCCAATTATGAAGGACGCTCAAGGGGCAGACGATAAGGAAAGGTTGGTAATGACCGAGGCCGCGCAGGTGTGCATTGAATGCAATCGTTTGCAGGGTCTGAGTACATCTGTCAAATATTATCCAAAAGAAAAAGAAAAAAGTTAGATTACCTTGCCTAAACCCATCTCATCCGCTACACCATACTTTAAGAAAATGGAACGCGACGATTAGAGGTCGGGGGCTTACCAAGGATACCAGAAACGCCGTTTTTATCTAAACTAACCATCCATTCTACTCCTTCCAATTGGTAATCCTTTAACTTCGCCCCTGTGACTAATGCAGGTTGAGGGAACTTTGGTCGCTGCCCGTTCTCCCCCTCAACTACAAGAGGTTCCTGAATCTGTGGTTTCACAGGAGGCGCCCCCTCCTCATCTGACTCATCTATGCGTGAGCGTTTCTTTCCACGCCTTGGAAGACGCCTTCTCGAAGACTGTGGTTTTGAGGGTGCAGCGGCTTGCATGGCGGCTCGGAGTGCACATGCACGCTTTTCCTTGTCCATTTGCGCTCCTAAAAGTTTGGAGTACGTGAAAGACTTTTCGAGAAGGCGTTCGAGGCGAGAGAAGCGTTCCCGAAATTCCTACGTGAAATGTGTCAGGACACGTTCAAATGAACGATATGGAACTTTACCTCGTCTTCTATTGTTTCTAACACCTCTGAGGACTGTCCCACAAAATTCTTAGTACGGAAAACAGTGTATTGGGTTCTGGTTCTGACCCACCTCGCGTGTGCTCTTGTGTGCTCTGCCTAACCGTTTTTCTTCACTGGGGGGAGGCGATGAGCCAGCTGTACTTGCTGGAGCCGATGACATTGCAAACAGTATGGGTGACGACGAAGATGGACTCGAAGACATCGTCGACTGCTGAATAATGGGAAGGTGAACGATGAACGGTGAATAATTCTCTTGAATCCAATGTTGGACCGCGACGAGTATTAATTGTTGTGGTCTCGGATTACATTATCAACGCGACACAACCGGCCCTAAAGCAGTTCGCGAAGCGAGTTACATGGTAACTTAGGCACTGGCACAACACTGGCAGGCCCAGCTCATTGAGCTCAGTGGATGGAATATCCTCAGATCTTCGGAAGTTCAACGCTCGTTACTTATACCGCTCAACATAGTTAGCCTTTCCCGTCCCTCTTGCTTGGCATCGCGGCCGAAGCGGGCAACACAAGAACGATGTAGACAATACGGCCAAGAACCCAACCCTTTGCCTAATATGCTGTTTCTCCGTACCGGCGAGTGCGTTGCGAGTGTTAGGAAAATGTCTTCGGATGTGCACAAGGCTCGCAAGGTATGTGTGATCGTTGGTGCTGTAAGAAGCAGTATGTGGCCTTGTCCTCCTTCGAGTCATTTGTCCCACATCACAAGCAACCTTGAACAGGTAATGAATCCGAATCTTGCTAACATCAATATATCTAATGAAAATCATCATTAAGGTGTCGGGTAGCTCTAGTCCTCCGTCATTGGAGTTAGTGTCTTCTGATCCGAGTTCTTTTCGAAACTATTAGCTCACAAGGTGCAACTGTCGCACCTTCCTCATCTTTGCTGTCTCAGGGCCATTCTCATCATGAAATCCCTCCAACTTTGTCTGTTCCGACGTCTCCTCGAATCGAACTTCCGGGCGGAATCGATCCTCCTCCAGAAATTATAGGCCCGCAAAATACAACTGTCTCGCTTTCCTCGTCTTTACTGCTTCAAGACCACTCCTATCTTCGAATGTCTGCTGCTTCATCTTCTATTTCAGTCATATATTCTCCTCCAAGGAGCAATTTCCTATGCTCAATAACTTTGCCGTATCTGAACTCGAAGCCATGGAAATTGCCGCGCGTTGGTAGCATAGTATAAGCAGTCCCTCCGCTCTCTGGTTTCGGCATGAATTTGTTCTAAAACTATTTTCAGGCATCGAAAGCGTTCCAACCTGGAACCAAGAGTAGACCCCGGTAGTGCCCAGCATGCTTCGCGGTTGTAGGTCAACAGTTACTGGCTTCACCTCGTCTTGTCCGACATGACTTGCAAGAGCTCATCAGGTAACGGGATCGCGATACACAGTATAAATAGCTTCATTACTAATTAGGTAGCGCAGGCGTCACGGTACGAATTCACATGAATCTGTCATTTCCATACGCAGGTATCATATGCACATAACAGACTAAGTAGGGCATGGCTGGGCAACAATCTGCAAGAACTTCGACCTCAAAACTAGAACCTCCGCTTCTTGTCGTGCTTGGGTTGTTATTAACAGCGGCTGGATTGCTTGGCGTGTTGTTTCCAATGCCGCGAGCCTCTCCTGTTCCACCCTTTGCATGGCTTCCATTATCCTGGTCTTCATCGCCTCGTGGTCTTCATCCTCTTGCTTCTTTTTCTGGTCTTCTTGTTCGAGATTTCTCCTTTCAATGCTCCTTTTGGCCTTATCCTCGTTCAATACTTTGAGCCTACCCCCAAGGATGTATCCGTATCCTGGTGTGCCTTGACGTTTACAGTGTCTACTGGCTATCTTGGTCGTTCCGGTCTTGGATTCCACCCGCTTGAGAAATGTGGTGCAGAACCAGTAGCATTGCCGTCGAAACAGGGAGTAATACCATGAACGGTCCTCAACCTGTTTGAAGATCTGGCAGGCTACGAGAAAGCTGAGTCTTTTCAGGTCAGGCGCGCAAGATTTAGACTGGGTAGGTGGTCGTAATCATCTGCCCTAAAATTCTCCCGAAGTCTACTGATGGTGTCATCGCTAGGAGAGACCAAGTGGTCTGGCCTCAACGGAGGCGACTCGGACTCTTTTTGCTCATCAGGCTTTCGTCTGGATGGTCTACGTTCTGCACGCAAGCGAAAGAGCGGACGATTAGTGCCGCAATCGAAGACATCAAGAATGATGAATTCGTGTCCTGTAAATTCAAGATTGTGTTACGCGTTACATACCAGGTGAATAGGATACTTACTCACTAGGTCCCTTTCTTTATAATGATCCATGTAGACAACCCAGTATTTCTCATTGTTTGGGCGATTTCGCAACATCTGCGCATAGAATGGGTAATGGAAGTCGCTCTTGAAAATTCGGGTCTGTCAAGAGTAGTATACTGGCCATTTCCCTAGTCCAGACTCAGGAGCAACAGCGGGTTACCGGACAGAGCGAGTTTGGGAACTGCCAACGTACTATTCCGTTATACATCCGCGTCCGAATCACAGAATCAGAGCTTCCCCTAGGCTGTACACTATTTCGGCATGTTTGTATACTGCTGTATGTAATTTGTTAAAAGGGTGCTCCCCTATGCCCAGCTGCCTCTATCCCCCTATCGGAAGAAGCCTCGTGTGGTGCAATACTTAATAGGTGAGCCACTAGTACGATCATGCGACCGCCGACTACCCGCGCGCTAACTTTTATTATCCAGATTCCAGAAAGCAAGACGCCGTAGGTTGGCGGGTCGCCCACCAGGGTGACCCTAGTTCACCATCAGTATCGGCTGCGATCGTAAAATATGTAATTTGTGATTGAAAAGTCCCTCGAGTATGTGGCCTTCACTCGAGACCCTTAAGGCAGTACTACCATCCCTTAGTCAGGCCATTCCTATCACTACTGTGGATCTAGAGGTTGTGATAACTGGTAAGTTCATATATGCCTTCAGTTCGCATGTTCTAGATTGCTTATCCGTAGACTATGTGATTCTGCCCATGCAAAATTGCCAGCCACAACCATTCAGGCTGATGGACCTACCGGGCTTGAGCTTCCATCTATGAGTCAACATCTCAAACATCTCAAAGTAATTTCATCGATTGGTTTATTGTTCTGCCTTGCGTGCATCCTGATTGGAGACGAAGGTAGGCATAAATTTGTCATTGATCCTGGCAGCAGGCGAAGTAGACAAAATATTGTCAATGGTGCGTATTGCGGTGAGACTATCCTAGAATATCGATTGCAAGGTTGAGAGACGCTTAAGGATGTGGCAAAGATTCAGAGCTGCGGTGGGAATTAGGGAGCAACATTGTGCGTCGTCATCTGCATAGCTCGTACTCTCCTTCGAAATCTAATTTGCATGACCCCAATATTAATCCATAGCAATGGTCACCTGTTTCTACAACCTCTCAAACTCAAGCTTAGTGGACCACAAGTAAGATTAGGCACAGTCGGCCATTTCGGATAAATTCAAACGTCTACATTGCCCGAGTAGTGCGAGATTTATCTACTCGTTGGCTCTGAACTAGGTTTTGCGCCATCAATCATGATACTAAAGCAAAGGCACAGATATGACTCACTGCCGCTCGGGCTGCTAGCTGATCATCAGAGTGGCAGCGAGGACCACCCTAAGACGCGCAGGTGAGTTATGTGATTTTGGTTGCACAACGACTCAAATCTGCTCATACTCACGCCAAGGTTTGCACAAAATGAGCCTGGGGGACAACGACCGCAAAGTTCATTCTTGTCCGCAGATGCATTAACGAGCATAGACGCTGTCAAAGCAACAACAACGATGAGGAGAGAGAAATGCATTTTTTGTGCGAGGTGATATAAAATCTTCTGGTGATGAAGAAACACTATAGGACGACTCGGACGGCCAGATTTTATATTTTGCATGTACCTGTTGGCAAGATTCTTATCGCTGCGAGATGGCAGAAATTTCTGCCAGCGCAGGGGTGCGTCAAATCAATTACAACCTGACCCTATTGTGACGTTATTGATAATTGCATACAGCCTGAGGCTTCTCTGTGTAAATACTGATGCCGGCGCTGAAAAGCAGTTTCGCGGTGAAAAATTCAAGCACAGTTCGATGATAAAATCAAAAAGGTTTGACCGCAGCGAATGGTTGGCAAAATGACCTATCACAAGAGTTTGAGTAGGAGTACTCGATATCAAAGATGGTTGTGACATCCAGCGATCTTTTGGCTCACTGCCAACACGGTCGAGGCGGAAGGCAATGCGTGTATCGGACTCGGACTACTCCCATTACATTATTGTGCCTGATGAAGCAGCTATCATCATCACACATCAGCATGAGGTTCATGTTTCGAAAGGTTTACGGACTCGACAGCATAAGCTATCATAGTTTTTCCAAGGGGTACCCCGACACATCAGCTCGCTCAAATGCTCCAGCGCGAGGAAAATAGGAAACATGTTTTCAACGATAAGCGATGAATATATGTATACAACATTGCTGTCAGTATGAAGTAATCCTATAGGACTGGGGCGAACACGCAAGGTACTTTCCAGCCTGAACACTACGACACAACGGCAACATTCAGATCCTTCACGTCATTATTCGTGCCTACATATTGCCATCAGTCAGCTGGGTTTTGCCCTAGCTTTTTAAACCAATCCCTTCCAGCCTCCCATGAAACCCTCGCCGCCTCAACTCCATCAAGCGGATGCGTCTCTCCCTTAAACCACAACATCTCTACTCGCCTCTCCCTGCCCTTGAGCGCATGATAAAACCTCAACCCCTGCGCTGGTACCGCACGCAAGTCGTCTTCTCCAATCAACAACAATACAGGCGCGCGTACATTATCGACGTGCGCGATAGGCGATGCCTCGAACAGTTTTTGGAATGTGGCCGGCTTCATAAGCGAGCCCGGGGTAAATTGGAGCCCAAATTCAGCGTAAGCCCAGTCGGGAATGTCGGACGCTGCTACTAATTCGCCGGCACTAATTACGGGGTTGCGCATCACTGCTGCATTGAATAGGGTTGGGTATTGGCCGATCACTGTATGTCAGTGTCAGCGTGGAAAAGAGTTGTTTTTGTTTTTGAAATAGAGTCTTACGGTGTGCGGCGAGGAAACCGCCGTGGCTTCCACCTTGAATAACTTGTCGTCCATGCTCTGAGATACCGAGCCGGATGAGTTCGTTGACGCTCTCTACGACGTCTTGTACGTCCATTGTTCCACAGTGCCCGAGAAGCTTTTGGATGTATCTTTCCCCGAATCCCATGGAGCCGGTATAGTTGGGAAGGGAGATGGTATCTGCGAGCATGCTTGCTGTAAGCGGTCAGTAGCCACGAAGTTACGAAGACTTACATCCTTCTAAGGCTAGTGCAGCAGTAGCTGGGTAGAATGATGTTGTGATTGATGCATGTGGTCCTCCGTGTGGCATGGTAACGCAGATGGGTTTCGGGCCAGGTCTCGTAGAAGCTTTATTTGATTGAATTACAATAGTCTCTGTTGGAGGACGTGCACCGATGGGTATGATCGATGCAGTAAGATCACGGAGTGCATTTTCAGCTAGAAGGCGTGATTAGACTTGGCAAGAATCTAAATTGACTTGAACGTACTTGTGAAAGACATGATTGGCCTATCCAGGACTTTCCAATTAAGGTTCTCGTGTTCATCAAAGTATCCCAGTAATACTTCAGGTGGAGTAGTAGGCGTACTCCTTGAACAGATGAAGCGCGTCTTGCCGTCTGTAGTATGTAAGTCCCAACTATACAAAGGTTCACCATCTTGCACTTTGCTCTCGTCTGAAATCGCTCCTGATTCTGTATCAATGAAGAGGATCGTCGCACGAGAGCGCCATAAGGAGTGGAGCACGATGTATGTGCGGCCTGCACGACGCAAAAACGGGCTGGAGGGCATGTTATAATTGGGATATAGGCCTGGAAAGTCATTTTCTGGGGTAGGTTCCATCACGGCATCCACGAGGACCTTGTTGGTACCCGTGGTTAGATCGCGAGATTCCAGAGAAACGCAAGATGCGTGGGGACCGCCGACGGGATTTGAGAACCAGAAGAGTTTAATAGGTTTCTGACTGTCATCGTATAATACACGAGGTGAACGACAAGACCGTTCTGACGGAGTCAGCTTCAATGAGTTGCACGATATTTTAGTGCCAAAGGGTGTCCCTAGCACGGTTGCTGACTCAGGAAGTTTAATCTCCCATATGCCCATGGGACGATTGAAGCACCATTTAACCCCCAGTAGTCGTCCGTCTTTGGTGTGTTCGTGTCCACTGGCGTAGATAACATTTTCCGTCGCAAAAGTAGCTTGACCAAACAGGACAGGTGTTTGCGCAGGCTGTGCCGGCGAAAGGGCAACCAGCAACATGTCCTGCTTAGTAGCCTTGGCGAAGGCTGTGGACCTTACCCAGCGGAATAGAAAAATGGTCGATCTTTTCTTCGCGCGAGATGGTTCACCAAAGTGCGGGGTGTATATAAATTTGGGGTAAGGATCATCCGAAGCATTATCGTCGCTGTTGATGTTTGCTTCGGCGGTATATAGAAGGGATGTTTCGGATGGGGAGAAGGAGAGAGACGATGTGAAATCTGACATCCGATTTTCAAGTATTTCGAGACATTAGAGGTTTATCAAACTCACCATCTGTATGGAAAGCATCGTGGTACTTTGTGACATCCAAGGAAGCCTCCATCTGAGTACCAGCCCAGATTTCGACGAAACGTTTCGTACTTGTGCCATTAGCAACCTCTCGGAGGATCGCCTGACGAGACTGGGAAGGAGATGTTGCAGATGCCTTAACTTCAGAGGAATTGTGGGAGGTTGTCTGATGATCGGAAGTGATGCCCCCGGGGAAAGTCTTAGTGAGGGATCGCATGATATTACGCTGATGGTCGCGAACGGAGTAAGTGACGCGTGCAACTGTGCGGGTATCTATCATCGATCTCTGATTATGTTGATAAACGCACCATCGCCACCAACGAAATCAGCAGACACAGGAAGGGGTAACTCTGCTAATTCGGTATAAAACGTTGATGTACCAGTGTGCTGAAGTAAGGACATGTCAGTAGTGATACTTCTATGACTTTTATGTTTCAAAAATGACCCCTTGGATAAGGTGAGAGTGTGAGGATGAGAGACGTGCTTAGCACGTGTCCATTGCCAGCTGAAGAACTTCAAATTGGTTGAAAACAAGTTGACACGGTTGAATAGGCGGTAAGGAGACATGAACATGGTGCCACGACATGCACTATAGCTAAATGCACTCCAGAAATCTAGAGACACGCCTGCTTATTACACCGCACTCAAGAACTAAGTTGAAACGAAGACGAGGAGTCTCGGAAGAGAACAAGATACCACCGGAAAATGCCGCAAGACAGCAGATCTTTTCTTTTACTTATGTAAGACTTTCCGTCTTAGAACGTTCGACGATCAACGTTCAACTTCCATGTAGATTTTGCAGTTTGACTGGGCTTAGCAGACTTTTCTCGTCCCCACTCTCAGCATCAAATAAATCTTTCTTTTGCTTGCTCATTCAAATCTATCCATCGCTCGTAATTTGAATTCTCTCATCGGGAGGAGCAAAAAAAACATCACTGGGAGATCATCCACTATTCTCACCGGTGACCGCTCGGCGTTCGCAGCTCGGGTGCTCAAGCATTATACGATTGTACACAACTGCAAGCCTACCCAGAGCATCTTAGCACTACGCCCTTCTCAATCTGAGTCATACAAGGACGGATATATCGCCCCTCGGTACAGGCGGGGTCTGGAAACGCGTCTCACCACCCGGGTCAAAGATGCCGGCTTCAGATATGCATAAAGAGTTGGTGCTACTAGAACCAGTAAGTGGCTGCTGTTTCTCGATCTCTCATTCGTTCTAATATTATGGCTAACGACTTAGTTTAGGACATGTTGCAGAGGCACTTGTGTACGTCTGAGTGCATCGTCCCTTATACTGGGAGACCAGATAGGAATTATATTTCGTGCAGTTCAGGCGGCATTCGTATACACTGTGGTAGTCCAATACAGGGAGTCTCGCATATACACACGATTTGTCGATCGCATAGTTTTGACACCCTAGGCGCCCTCTAAGTATGTGCAAGAAGCGCCTGCTATTTCGGCTCTTCGGCTGTGATCCCTACCGGTGCCTAACCTTTTCTATGTACTGCTATCTGATTGCCTTTGCATAAAGCTGATCTACGTTCGTTCGATTATTTACTAGGGCGCCCAGATCCTTATCGGCCCAGCCAACGACCCCATGGAGCCATCCCTATCCCCAATCAGATCGCTCAGAGGACACACTCATTGGATAGCGAAAGTGGTGTTCTCAAAACACAGGAATAACCTCAAAGTTATAAGCACATCCTACGACAAGACTGTTCGAATTTGGGATGTGGAAACAGGGAACGAGGAAAACTCGTTAGATGGGCATGCTAGTAGGACTAATGGACTGGCTGTATCAACGGATGGGGGCAGAATTGTGAGTGGGGGGCAAGATGGCAAGATCATCATATGGGACGGAGATACGAAGGAGATCATCAGATGTCTGTCGCATTGTGACGCGGAAGACCGGGTCATTTGCATAGGGTTCTCACCGGACGAGAAAAGACTCGCCTCCGCATCAGATGACGGTACGCTAAGGATCTGGGACCCGGATACAGGAGAACTTGTGCTCGACCTTGATGATCACCAAGGTAGACTATGGACAATGGCTTATTCACCCAATGGAACCAAGATTGCAAGTGGGTCGGATGATTGCACGGTTCGCATTTGGAATATAACGACCGGCAAGTGGCAAAGTCGGCCACTCATCCACGACAAGCCAGTGTTTTCGATAGTCTGGTCTCTAGACAGTCGTTGTCTCATTTCTGCCTGTAGTGATGGCCAGATCTACTTTTGGAATACATCTACTGGTGTCCAGCTCGGATCTCCACTGCGTGCACATTTCGACTACATCAACTTGTTGGCCATCTCCCCTGACGGTGAGCTGATAGCTAGTGCATCTTCGGATCACACTGCACGACTGTGGAGCACCTCCACACGCAAACCTTTTGGCCGTGTGCTCCAGCATGCCGAGGAAGTAAACGCAGTAGCCTTCTCGCCAGATGGTCAGCTTATCGCTACAGGTGGTGATGAAAACATAATATTTCTGTGGGATATATCGCAGGAGACCATCATTATGACGAATGTCGTGGCGCCCTCGTTCGTTTCCCCAACATTCAACATCACGAACTACATCGACCAGGTAATGAAATTGCGTCTTTACGGTAGCATATCTGATGCACGTTTTATTCAAGGTGTCAACGAGCTCCGATTCTACACTAGTAGCAGAAGAGGTACCGAATGGAGCTGAGTTGCCGTCAGAAACTGTGGGCTCGCGTAATGCTGCTACCTCACCCTCTTCATCTCTACCCCCTCAAGGTCATCATATCACTTCTGCAGTCCGCACCTCTCCTCCCATCGAGCTTCCGGATGGAATCCAAGTTCCTCCAGAAACTATCAACTCGCGTGATGCAGTATCATCCCCTTCCCCATCCTTTCACCCTCAAGGGTCCTCCCAACCTCAAATACCTCTTACTTCAGCTTCCACCCCGGTTCTAGCCTCACGTCCAATGCCGTTTTGGAAGCGTTTTCCTACGTTCAACAGGTCTGCGGCGTCTGTAGACTCCCAGCGGTGGAGATTTCCGCGTATTGGTAACATCATGTACGCAACTCCTATGCTTCAAGAGCATGTACTGAATTTAATTCCTAGGCAGCGCAAGCATCGGGATGCGGGACCTGATGATCCCCAGAACTAGTAGGCTTATTGTTCATGTCCTCACTTATAGTTGTCACCCCTCGCTGTATCGTATCGTCGATTCCTACCCAGTTGAATTAGCACAATCACTGCTACTGGCCATCTGTTCACGATTACGGATCAGGTATAGCATTTAATGCAAGTTCCTCAGTGTTTTACTTCGAACGTCCAGCGTGGCAGAGCGATCCAAGTTAATGTAAAGCACATAACTACTCCAGGTACACAGTATGGACGTCTTGTCGATCAAAAAGATGTGCTTGTTCGATCAGCATGGACCTGATCTAGCTAGTAACATTAAATAACAATTAAAGAAGTGCAGTGTCTATCTTGTGCTGGCCAAAATTACTGGCCTGTCAGCGCGGACTCAACACTCACTCTCATCGATTGCGCTGTTCATTCCGGTATCATCATGATGACCATTGCCATAAATATCCATCACAATATTCTTCCGGACTTCAATCGGTGGCTAAAGCATGCGACTTGAGCCCCAGACGATCACAAGAAAGGAAAAGGTTGAGAGGCACAAACCAGATACGACGACACTTGCTGTGATGGTTTGAACGTTGAAAAGCGAGGCATCTGGGAACTTGCAACCCCTTCCACAGTAATAGGAATAGTCTGCCCGGTCATTCCGAGCCTTTTGCGGTTGTTTAACCTGGTGGACGCTTTCAGCCTGTGCACAGAGAATGTTGCTCGAATTACGACAACGCACGATGCCAAAAGTGAAATCGCATAGACTTTGTAGATCGTTAGCTAGGAGTCAAGAATGGCGACTGAATTGGACAAACGTTTGCTCTGGACTTGGACAAACCCAATGAACGCAAGATTGTTTGGCAGACCGAGAAACTGATCAAAGTCAGTTTGTGAGACGAGCATCTGCTTTTACGTCTACTTACCATGATGACCACCAGAACTGCACAAAACCTATAAAAATAAGTCACCAAGTCACAGGGGTTTGGCAGTAAGCTTACGACGTGATAGCACCAGTATTGATGCTATACAATAGGAGGCAGTTGAGAACATTGTCAGTTCTAAAGGTAACAAGGTTAGTTTGACGTAGAGTTGGGCCAACTGATATCCTGCCTTTTCATCCCAGTGCGACGTTTTCGAAGGTAAATACATAGCGTAAACGCAATCGCACTATCGACCACTGCTGAGAGCACCCATCCAGCCACCATAGTTGGCTGGCAACATGTCAAGACCGACAAACATGCATGTAATTGTTGAGGTACATACATAGACGTGTTCTCTGAAGATCTTCCATTTAGGATAAAAGAAACTGTTAAAACTACAGTCAGTGATCAGACCATCTAACACAGGTGATACGTGCCTCAAGGAGCAGTTTGCGAGCCCGAATCCTGCCAAAAATCAATGGCAGCTCGATCATATAATTGAAGGTCGTACCGCAGCGAATGGTTGCAAAGATGAGCTATCACAAGGACGTAAGCATGAATTCTGCTGTTATAGATATGTAACATACAAAGCAAACAGCAATCCAGCGTTTTTGCGAAACTGCCTATGCAATTGAGTGGAGGAGGCAAATGCGTGCATCAGCTTACTCACGTTGCAGTACTCGCCAGATGAAGCAACTGATATTGCACATCAATACGAACTTCAAACCTTTATAATATTTGAAAAGACTGACAGATTCGCAGCGTAAGCGATGATGAACTGTTATCGTTTAACTAGGACAAACATCAGGCAAATGCAAAGTGACTTACACCGATAATATATGAAACCTGGCGGAATGTGGCGAGATCAGCATTCAATTGTTTGTCTGTACTAGCTACTTACGGGCATGCCCCTGTGATGAGGACTGAATGAAGCAGAATAGAAGTATGACAAAAATTGACGCACCATACTGCATATTCTAAGCTTGTCGTATCTCCGAAATGCATGATGAGATAGAACTCGACGGCGTATATTGTTAATGCTGTATGAGCGGTCTCGAGAATCCTGAAGAGTCAGATGTAGCTCGTGATGACACGCGAACAGAACGATGTTTAGCATACCAGATGAATGCTACCTGTGACAACGTCAGATAAACCGTCATATGGATTCGTCTGATAGATTCACCAAAAACTTCAGAATCTTCTTGTCATGCTCGTATACTTGCCAGTAATGAAAGGTCTGCATGCAGATGACTCCATACAGTAACATGGTAGCGAGGGCACCACAAAGCGGTCCTTGCATGATTGACATCGCAATCGACGGCATATTAGAAGCGAGGTCAAGGCAAGAGCCTGAAGCCACGACTGTTTTATTCATTTATCTACTGCATGCGAGGGAAACTCTCTCGGTGAAAATACGGATCGTAGTTAGTGATACTGGTATGGCGATGCTAACCAACTCACTTGGCGTGATGTTGGTAGGAAAACCCAGCGTCGAATAGCCAGTAGAAAGACAGCGACGTTCTGTGCGATCACAGGATCTTTGAGGGTCAGGATATACAGGTACCCCAGATTTGAAATATCATTCAAGCTCATTTCCAATATAAAGACCACTCACAAACTGGCTTCAGGTCCAGGAGTAGATAATTAGGCGTCTTTTCCAATTTCAAACGCCCTAAAAACATGTGCAAGGCGCAGCTTACATCGCGAACTTTGATGTACGGTAGAGGCACTAGTTAAAGTTAGTCAGCTGAGTCTTACACGCCGAGCTCAGTTTCAACTTCAGCTGGGTTTCTTTTAGACTTGGCCGTATTTCCCGGTACCGCCCGTGGAAGTAATGTTTCTACTGTAGCAAGTCCATTCGAACAAGCCTTACACTAGTGTGGAAGAACGAATGACAAGACTGGCTATGCAAAACATAGTTGAGCATCTTTTGCATTAACCTCGCGTGTACCCATCCGAAGGCTAATCTCAATCTGATTCCAGACTCATATCCAAACTCCTTGCACAATACATTATCCCCTGCGCTTCCCTAACTTCTCCTTTCTCGGTCCCCTTCTCCTGAAGTCCCCATCACCCATCTATTGCATTGGCGCAACGACACGTCCTGTGCACTCTTCCTCGCCCACCGCCGCCGTGCCACTTTGAAAAAACGCACAACAAGTGTGATTCAGTACGGTCTGACCCAGCAGATCAGCATGACGTGTGCGCGCAGGGTGACTATCGGTGTACAGCTGCAGCGATGCATGCGGATGGGTGAACTAATCTCGAGTCCCATTCCTCTCACTCGTGAAGTGTAAACGATCTTTCTCGTCATCGCTGCTCTCGTACGGAACGCTCATCAGCTCGGAACTTGAATTCTCTAACCGGGAAATTTGAAGGTCAAACCCCTTCTCGCCAGACGGCCAGCTCGTCGCCACCGGGGACGTGCAAATACAATCTTTTTGTGGGATATATCACAGGAATCCACCATTGTGACAAATGCGGTGTTGCCCTCGTTCGTTTCTCCAGCGTCCAACATCACGAGTTACATCGACCAGGTGCCGAATTTACGTCTTATCTATTGAACTGTATATCTGATACAAGTTTTATTCAAGCCGTCAGTAAGCTCTGATTCTCTTGCAGCCTCTACACCAGCATCAGATGTGCTACTGGATAGAACCGAGTTGTCATCAGAGACTGTAGGCTCGCACTGTACTGCTATCCCTGCTCCCTCGAAGTCACTCCCATCATGAAGTCCCTTCTCCGGTCCGCATCTCTCCTCTAGTCGAGCTTCCGGATGAAATTCAGGTTCCTCCAGGAACCGTCAACTCGCGTGATGCTGCACTGATGCAGCTCCGTCCCCTTCCCCATCTTTTCCCCCTCAAGGCTCCTTCCATCCTCAAATACCTCTTGCCTCAGCTTCCACTCCGGTCCTCGCCTCACCTCCAAAGTCGGTTTGGAAGCGATTTCCTATGCTCAATAGGTCTGCAGCGCCTGCAGACTCCAAGCGGTGGAATTTTCCACATATTGGTAACATTATGTGCGCCACTCTTCGCTCTCTGTTGAAGTATGAACGTTTCTGAATTTGATCCTAGGCAGCGGAAGCGTCGGAATGTGGACCCCCCAAGTAGGTCCTGATGATGCCTAGCATCAACAGGCCTATATGTCCGCTTTCCATGTATTCTCTGGTATTGTCTTAGTAGACTCTTACTAGTAGCTGTCACCCTTGCTCCTCGTTTTATTGCGTTGTCTTTCCTCTACCTATGCAGTCCAGCTGTAACTACTGTGTCATTGTCAAACTGCTGTTCGCCGTGCGTTCGCGGTCGCGGATGTCCACATACATTCTAGTAGACGCAGACAGAAGGAAAGAAGTATGTAGTAAGTAATATGTAAACTCGAACGCGGTGGCTGCCTTGGCGCAGATCCTACGCTGAGTCAACAACATCTATGTTTGGACTCGTCTTGAGAGACACTTCAGAGCGATGCTTTTGGGATAGTCCAGGGACACTCTCGTACACCTTCCACACGATACTCTTTTTGGTGTTTATGACTCTCGGAGATGCGGTGCGCGAAAATCTTGCGGTTATCAGGCCAAGATCAAGAGATAGACTTATGATATGATCAGATTGAGATTGATAACTGCGCTACATGAATATCAAGCTGTCTACTAGTTGTCTGAGATCACCGATAGTGAATGGTACAGCTCTTTGTCTGCGAAATTATTCAAGAAATAGTCATCAAACACCTCCAGCGAGTTCCCAGAATTCACGTCCTTGCCCAATGGCCCTTGATAGACGGGTATGATGTCCACTGCATGCGTAACGTCTGTGAGAGCGATTATGGACCCACGTCTGATCACTCTGTCCGACTGCGAAGAGAGTCGAGTATAAGACCGTCTGACCATCCACATGCCCGTAGATGGTTCAGGGCCAGGCACGATGAAGTCAAAGTGTTGGATGTATACCAGCACCTGAGACAAACGCTCAGGAAGCTGCGCACGGGAACCTCTGGGGAGGGTTGGTTGGAATATGGCTTGTACTTGAGCAACATAAGACCCTGTAGAGCAATATCAGGTGTCAGGGAGTGTCATCACCAGTCAATTTAGCAATACACACCATCATTACCACCGTCGCCCGTCTGGTTAAATAACATGGCGTCACAGTTCCCTCTAGGAAAATTAGCGGAAAGTGGCTCAGCATGATTCTGCAAGTGTGAAATGTGGAATGTAACTGAATCCGAAATTTGGACCATGTATTGAATGATATGTGGTCAGAGAGTGTACAGCCATTGCGAGTCACGTAGAGGTGTAAAGCGTGTGCAAAATCAGGGAGGTTGTATGATGACTGCAGCTGAGACACATTGATGCGGCTGCGGTCTGCTTTTATGGTCACGTTAAAGGCGATATGTGCGTTGTCTGATAAAATACCCTTCAAGAAGTGATTTCGAACAGGGTGCAGTGTAACAATGGTCGCGGCGCTGGGCTCGAAACCAGGCAATCCAACACCTATGTTCATACCATTCCCCGACCTCCCTTGACCTTCTGAAGGCCGCGCGCACTTGTCCGAACCTTCCGCAGGCAGTTCTCGTGTTCCGAGACCCGTCCGAACCTCACAAGTTACCATACCATGTCCTATCCTCGTCCTTTTGACTTCGCTGGTGCGTTTTCCTTTATTCTAACTATATGTTGACTACGTCTTAGTGCTACATGGATAACAATCCCATCGGCATCCTGTCGGGAGCCTCGGAATACATATAAGCAGTACACATTGCGGCTTATTACATAGGTTCGGACTTGCTTATCTCGCTACTAATTTCGCCTACGGATTCTGGCCTCTCACGGAAGTAAGATATAATCTTGCTCACTGGCTACTGATAGGACACTTCACTTCCCGTACTTCGAGTAGTAATTAGTAGAGTCACCTCAGTATAATCGTAAACTGTGCTATCGATCCTTGTTCATTCGGAACGATTGTCTGGCTAGACCACTGCCAATTTCGCACTTCGTTTATTCTCGAGTCCCAATAGATTAGCATTGTTCCGACCTTCGGACGTTGCACAAAGTCTTATACTGTTATTCGACGCACCGACATACTGACACATCGACACACTGACATATATAGACCTTTGGACAGCCTTCGCAAGCCTCGGAAGGCATTGTGCTACTTCGGACAACACTTTTGCAGCCTTGGATGACCTTCGGTCGCATTGGACAAGTTTCTCGGTACTTTGGAAGTAGTCTCGGAACTATGGACGAGCATTAAAGAGGTTTTCTTCCAATATCTTGTCTACTCTCTAACTGTATAAGACTTCCCTTGCATTATCAAGGTAGTTCTTAGGTTGTCTCTTGGGACGAAGCATACTCGCATCTCTCAGGACTAGGGACTCACATTCAGTAGAGCCCAGCCCAGATCTACTCTTTACAGTGGTGCTTGTAGACGTAGCTGGGGGGCTGGGTTTGCATTGGAGACCCAAGCAAGAGTGGGATCCGTCTCTGTGCTAGCGATCTCTTCATCCTCCATGATGACGGCATTGATGAGAGGGTCCTGGCCAGGCATAGACGAGGACGAGGATAGCAGTGTATAAAGATCAAACAGCCGGATAGCCTCCTCGCGATCAAGGATGCGAGCGATCTGCAAGACAAAGTCTCTCTGACGACTTGTGCGTTCAAATGGGTGTTTGCAGTGTGTGATCAAAAGACGTTCTGAAACGTCTGCTGTCCACTGCATGAGTGTACCAACATGGAAGATTGCACGAGTGAAACTTTGCATGAGCTCGAGTTTCGGAATGAAGAAGTCGTCCTTAGCACCACCCTTTCCCTGTTGTGCCTCTGCATCAAGGATGGCCTGTTTATTATTATGGAAGTCCCAAAGTGCCTGAGTCATGGAAGCGATGCTGGATTCAGTATGAAGGGGATTTTGAGCAAGGTAGATGAAGTCAATCATTGCCCGCACAGCGCGGATGAAGCCAGGACTTGCCATACCCCAGAGTGTCGGCACAATCGTGCGTTGAATATCTTGGTGCTCCCGTCCTGTCATTTGGTTGACATGAGAGACACCCCTAGAGAAATGGTGTATACCAGTGCACTTGTGGTGACTCTTGAACCATACATCAAGTTTGTGACCCATGATCTGCTTGATCCATTTAAGAACATGGTCGAAAAAGAATTTGTGCAGCATGTGAAGAATCTCTGGCTGTCAGGAATGTTGCAGGATTAGAGTGCCTCCAGTTTCTCCAGTACGGCAAGTGCACCCCACTAAGATGAAGTTTTTTGGCCTCTCTAACGAATACAATGAGATTCCATGGGTCAACGTGGCTACAAAGCTGCTGGATAAGCATGTAGGTATCTGATCCGTTCCATAGAGGATGTGGCGTCTCATCGCCAAACTCTTTGTGGGTTGCTGTGGTGACGGGAGATGAGTTTTTCATAATGCATGCGATCATCAATTGTTCGGGGAGATCAGCAATATGGCTGATGAGAGGGGTGAAACAGTAACACATTCTGGCTGAGGGATCAACCATATACTCGCCAACACGAGCCATGACCTTCAAATTAGAACATACGAGATCCATGCACTTATGCCACAGATGCATACAGAGTAGAGTTTGAAAGTCAGAGTTGACAACAAAAGTGGGTGTTGGCATGAACACAGTACATCGCCACACATGCAACGTAGCCTTCATGTGGACATCGGCCTGGATATTTCCGATCGTTAGAAATAATGGGTGCATCTCAAGGCCACCCATATGCCTTGTGACTGGAGTTTTGTCAGAGGCAAGGACGATCAGAACAATAGTCGCTCCTTCCGGTAGTTGATCCTATGTGCAAGTGTCAATCACTCAAGTAAATCTGAACCAAAGCACAACTACTTACCTGAATCTTCCATGCATCATCTGATGTCCAGAATTCTCCAAATTGGTGTTCTTGTCCTTGATAGATATAGTGAGGGTCATAGCACATATGTTTTGCATAAACCGGGTTTGCGAAAAGCTGCTTCATAACCTCCAATGTGTCCCTCCAAATGAGGTGAATTGGTTGTTCGCTTTCATAGCCCTTGAGCTTAAGTTTCATGCACTGCCATTTTGGCCCACGGCCAGGAAGCTGCTGCATATAGAAGAACAACTTGTCTTTTGACTTGAATTGCAGCTGTTCCCTTGTCTTGAACTGAAGTAGAACGTCAATCAAGTATTTACTTGATGATAATTAGATGTACCCAGTCTAACTTGAGAAATTTGTCAATCTGCATCTGGGAAAAGTTTTTGACAAGGAATTTTGCAAGCGACCATTCACCCAGCCCATCAAAAGGGTACCATACATTAGTCTCTCTGGCTTGCTGAAGAGGGTGGTCTTGCATTTTTTGAAAGATATTTTGTGGAGGCGGTTGATCTGGAAGCAGGTAATGGTAGCCAGAGGTGGGGTGATACTTTGCTGATAAGTCTGTCTGCTCTGGTGGTCACTGTAGAGCCTGCGGTACTGGCAGAAGTGATCCATTAGTGAGGTTCTCTGGCCAGCATGAGTCTGCACTATTAAGATGCTCTATGACCTCCTCAGACGATTGGTATTGTTTCTTGCAGTTAGGACACAGGGCGATAGCAATGTCAAAGGGTGAACTGGAGAAAGATATCGGTGAGTCATGTATTACCACATAGTACTACTCACTTTTCAGTAAACTCTGCAAAATCAGAGTTGGCTTCCTCACGCTGAAAACCAGAGTTGTATGGATCGTAGGGCTGAGGATACGCCATAGAGTGACTAGAGGTACTGCCAGCGCAACACTTTGCGCAACACTCGAAAAGCACCAAGTCCTTGAAACTCCGACTGTCAATTGGCTTGCTGTCCAACACACCGCCAGACTTACAGTATCAGCTATGTATCCCCCACAGTCTCTGGTCTTGAATTCATTGAGTGACGAAACCCCACCAACCAGTCTGTTGCATAGCGGAAAGTGTAGTCCAATTCTCCAGAAGGTCGATTATGCCGAAGCTTTCACTCGTGTCTACCATGATAGCCCCCAAAGCTCTTCTCCACCCAGCAGCCTTCATGCCTTGTCATCCCCAGGTACTCATTATATTGTCTCAAATATCAGAAAATACTCACTTTGAATCTTAGCGGCATCTGTCACTTCCTTTAGGTACCATGACTTTGGACATGGTGATGTCAGTCCACCTACTGCAAAAAGGCGGGGTGGAATGCGTCATTCAAAACAGATCTCACTGTCCAGCTACCACCCTTATGTCCGGAAACCCCCCCCCCCCCCCCCACTCCGCAGGCTGAGCACAAGATGACTAGGGTAATGGGCAGATTGACTGGCGATGTTAATTCAGACCTCAACAATGATGCAGTATGTTACTATATCTTACATTCTGACTTCAAGTGAAATGTCATCATGTCTCTAGACTTGCAAAATATTCTCTCAGGGCTTGCAGCGGTTGTCGTCTGAAGGTATTCACCATGTTGCTTATTACAAGGAAGCAGAGCTTGAGCACCACCGGCATCTTTCAATGGCTTTGGCCTGGGAGGCAGAGAAACTCTCAAGGCTCAAACATTTTATCGATTTTGAACAACAGGAGTGGGAGGAACAAACCACTCGGGCATTTGAGGAGGCAGCGCTCTTTGCACATATGGTGACTGATCGTGACGCAGAGTGTGCCTCTCAGGATCTGGAGTCCATCACTTCAATCCAACAGGAAGAGGCGACAGGGGGTCAAGCAGTTGAATGATGAGCTCAATGAGCTCGATATATTCCTTCCTTCAGATGTTCCAGCTTCAGACCTCAACACTGCTGACACACACTCCATCGGAGGTCCTTGCGATTTTGATCAATCATTTGTCGGAGATTGCCATGATGATGAGCTGGCATCAGGACCGAAGTGAATCAGAGTGGAGGTCTATTTTTATTAACCAATATGAAGGTGAGCTTCGTTCTTTTATATGGCAGTCGCGCACTTATTTATTGGTAAAGTGTAGTGTGCAAGATGTGATTGGATATTGCAAGGTGGTATTTAAGCAGACTTATTTTCCTATGTTTGTCCATTTCGTGTGTTGACATCTTTATTTGTAGTTTGTATAACTACGATTACCATTGAATGTAGCACTTTGTGAACCTTTTTTTTTGCCTTACGAAGATGTTCTTACACACACTGATTATCGATTGATCGTTGTTCCTGCACTTGACCGTGATGTCTGCAAGCCAAAATGCGCCCCCTAGAGCTCATCGAAGAGTTGTGCGGGTGAGTACCCTGGAATGTCTCTGTTACTAGTAGTGTACTGACTCATATAACAGGATGTTCCCATTGTTCGACAACCAGGACTTAATGTCGCAGGTCAGTCATCGGCAAACCAGCTTGGCTGTGCATCGGAGATACCAGAGTCGATGAATGCACCTGAACTACCCCCTCGCATCTATCCTCCCCCCACTTTCTCGCATGATAACTACACCTCTATTCCACCCAATTTCCAGGGCAACATCCCTTTACCAAGGGCATCCCGTTTTACTGGGATGGCCCCCCGCGCTGCGGGGCCTGATCGGGTTCAACGGTCATTTGCACCTGCAGGTGATGTTGCATCTCGATACCGTATGGTATACACATATTTGCCTCTTTGTGGTGCAGAAAAATCTCGTCAAGAATTTACCGATGGCGTTGTTTTTGTAAGTCTTGTTTTATATAAGTCTGAATTGTAGTTAATCATATATTAGAGAGATGAGACTATGGGAGTACAAAAGTCTACAACACGACAATACAAGCTTCCACCTGTTAGACCCCCAAGGGAGTTGCTCGTGTCAGATCCAGAGCCGACGCCACTTGCTACCACCACTCCCCCCTCTGCATCATCAACTGTTGCAAGAGCTACACGTGCTACTGTGGGACCTTTGGTCAATGAAAGGGACTCAAAAACCGTTGTGAAGGATGCTAAGAACTATGTGGTTGTAGAAACACTGAATAAGTGTGCTTTCCATGATTCATCTAGTCGAATGACTGTCATAGGACGTTGTAGAAAGCTGATTTCTGCTGGGCTCAGCAGAAATTGTACTACCTAGACAACAAATATTTAGGTAGATCTTTAGCACGACCTAGTCTGCTATACTTGCAGAGCAAGTGCGTTCGATCCTATAGGGGTAGCTGTTTGGTATTAGTTTTGATAGTTAGTTATCAATAGTAGGAAGATAATCCGAAGCTAAGAACTACTTGTCCGAAGGGAAACTGTCGGGTCCGAAAATATCGGAGTTGGGTCGGGCGTCGGACTGTTGGGAATGTGTCGGATGATAAAGGAATGTGTTGGAAGTGTGTCGGATTGTCAGTCAAATGAATGTCAGATGTGTCGGAATGTTTTGGAGAAAAAGAGCGGATAGATATTTCACAATACAATAAAGTACTACTAATATCCAATGACTTCCATCCTACTACTGAGTAGGGAAAAGTAAGTAATGCAATAGGTAGGAAGTACTAGATATTAAATAGTGACTATGTAGAAATTCGGACTGCTATAGGCGAGAGTAGTAGCGATATTTCGGGTCCGAAATCCTATGTAATAGGACATGTGGTACTGCGGACCATGAGAAAACATGTAATAACGCTGTATACAATGCTTAGCAAGTCAAAAGGAGTAAATGCGCACCTAGTGGGGATAGATGCGACTGGACAGGACATAGGGAGGACTGGTGCGATGCGCGGGAATGTCGGGTCAGGATCGGACATGCGTTGGACTGTCGGAAAGTGCGTCGGGTCGGGATTGGACTGTCAGACTCGGGTTGGGGTAGTTGGAAGTGCGTCGGACAAATACTGTTTGACATCAGTATCAAAATAGCTGGTTCCGAGCCCAGCACCGTGACCATCATTACAATGTGCACTTACTGATGCGTGTTCGCTCATTATCACCGAAGGTGAGTTCTTTGTGCTACAGCTAGGGTACTATCAGGTGCTAACGGGATAACTATTAGATAGCTTGAGAAAACTATGGGTCGAGGAAAATCTATCTGCACTATACAAGACCGTCATTACGCCGATGTATACGATACTCAATCACTTCAAGCAATCTGCGCAAGACCTCATCGAAATTTTATACAGCCTCCAACTATCCATTTGGACCGAGTGGACGGCCCAGATTAACCACACTAAATCAACTGTCACATTTCTGATTTGCGATGACAGTCTCAATTATATATTTGGCAATTCAGTTAAGGTATGTAGTACTATGTTGCGAGTGCCATTGTTTGGAGGATGACAAGTTCATTGATAGCTAGACGATGGTCGAGACTTTCGCTTCCCATTTGAACACAACGCAATTATTCAAATTGCATTGTGTGCTGCTTTTCGCGATGGCTATGATAGATTCATTGATTCAGACAGTAGTCTCGACAACATCATGGCATTGTCTGTGATGGCTGCATGTTGCAGCCTGCACGAGTTCTCGACCGGCGTATTCAAACAAATTGACTTCAGTTATGCTACTTTTCACAGAATGTATGAGAGACTGATGAATTTCATTCGTGATAACATTAGGACCTCTCCAATGTTGCTATCTAGGTGGAAATCATTATACCAACTTCTTCGTAGTAGATCTCGTTGATGCAGTTGTAGATTATCGCAGTTGTAGTAGTAGATTATCGCGGTTGTATTAACAAGTTATCTTCGCCACAATGCTTCCACCAATCGGAGGACTGCGCTACTGAAGTCGTAAGCGTTCGTAAGTGTCCGTAACGCGCGTAAGTTAAGCGTTCATTTCGTCGTTTTGCAGATGAATGAACATACCAAAGTACGGCTACTAATTAAAAATGGGACCCACGAAACGATGGCCCTACAGGCACATCACACTCACATCAATCCAAGACAGGTACAAACACCCATCCAAACGCCCTAACCTCATTCCCCTTCGTTCCCAAATACCTCTCCGTCTCATACAGCCAATTCACACTCCCGACAATACAATCCCGCAACCCCCTTACATACCGCCTTGTATCGTCATTCATCACAGCACACGCAGCAAACTGGCGCTCGGTAGCCAAGAACGCATCCGCGCTCTGCTTCACGAGCGTGCCCACGTACGCAAGCGCACTCCCGATCGAACAATTCCGGTCTTTCATCAGAACGGTGACGATGTTGAGTCGTGAGTTTGGAGTCATGCCTTTTGCGCATGAGATCGCGTCCTAGAACAGAAGTTAATACCAAGACTATAAATATATTGTTTCATGCAAGCACGCACCTCAGACCATGCTATAAGATCACAAGCCTGGTCTGTCAACTGCTTCAATGACGGATGCGAAGACGCCTGTTCCGGGAGGTCCAATCCCCCCGCGTACTCAATCAGGTGAAACACCATCCTCAAACCCGACGCGTTTCTTCGTAGATCGACATATGTCTCCAGATCCGGGATACACGTCGAATCCAGCAAATGAAGACGCCGCCTTGCATCGCGATACTCGCGTATGTATCTGTGAAAATGCATGTACCACGCTGGGCTTCTGTACGCGATGCGACCGAGTTGAGCGGATATCCTTTGTACGCGTTATGAGTCAGCGAAATCAAAGACATTTAATTCATTGCATCGTTACGGGCACTCACAGATCAAACGCCTCATTTTCATTAGCACAATCATCCCCCCGCTCCTGCTCATACACCAACAAGCTCAAAAAATCCACCGTCAACCTCAACTGCGCCAGATCTGCAGCAGGATAACACAAAGAAGCCCACAACCCAACCTTTATCCCTTTCCACTCCAACTTCAACCCTACATCACCCAACCACGCCTCACTCGCTCGAGATACAGACCTACAATGCCGGTTTACGCGTAGTTCAAAGGGGGTGCATGAAGAGAGGAGGTCGGGAAGTTGGATGCTTATGACTGTGTGCGGACAGGGTCTGGGGGTTGATGATGAGGAGTCGGACATCGAGTCTCATTCGCGTCGTGGGTCCTTGTTAAATGACGGGGCTGAGCACAAGCCTGAGGAGATGTGACGCTGATTTTTCAGGCGCGACGGGCACGGGATACAACGTAATGATCCGACATGAGCGCTTGCTTATATTAGGCGGACAATAAGATGAAGTACGGTGTTCGTTAGCCGGCATCCATGGCCATGAGTTTGAGGCAGGTTACTAGCAATAAAACGGGACGTGTGAGGGAAAAATTCTTGTTTTTTTCGTACGAGACAGCTGACTTACACACAGTATGTCCCAGGATTTATGTAACCACGTCAAAGCCATCACGATCGACAAAGTGCACGTGATAACACACGTGTTCGCGGTAAACGTTCTCCATGACTTCCCTGAGTACCAAATCCTGTACGATTAACACGTTCTGATTTGATCGATTTATCCCCCCAAGTATCAGTGAGTGCTTTTTTAAAAAATACGATTTTTGTCTATCCAACATAATGAACATTGTGATGCATCGAGTGCTTGTTATATTAAAAACGGTACGCGACTAGAGCCGTTGATCTGATCATCTAAGGAACTCTAACATACTCCCAAATCATTTCCAGTCATGCGGTAACATGGTCGGTTTGCACTGGGTTTGAAATTTGAAGCTTCAAGTCCGGATTGTTTAGGTCGATTTTGAGGCTGCACTACGTTCTTCCAACACCATCCGCTATGAAATTCTGTCAGGCGCAACCAATCTGCCAAAAGCAATTGAATTTCCCACCTATTTTCAAGATATAGAAGCAGGCACCATCGACCTCAGAGTAATTCAGAGTCCCCTTTGCAACGGTTTTATCACTTCACATAAATCATGCATTTCAAATCCTCCGTCGTCGTTGCTGCTTTGACAGTATGTATGTCTGTCATTTCACAGATTGATGGGACCAGTGGATGCAATGTCCAATACTGGCCCTGCACAGTGGACACTGATTGCTGTAGCTCTCATTGTAATTTGAGACGAGTGAGTACTAGTATTTTTCTTTGCATCTGAGATTCAATCCCGTTGCTCGCCTTGCACCTTGCAATCTCAATCATAGCTTTCTACCAACCAATTATTGTGTGGTCATTAGATTGCTCACCGATGGGTTGGCAGCTTGTCAGTGACAATGAGCATATCTAGACAGTGAGTCGTGTTTCTGCTTTCGCATTGATGCTGTGGTTGATGGCACAATACGTAGTTCGTCGCTGACCTGTTCAATCATCAATGTGATTGTTGTTCCTGGAGTATGGACAAATTCCTTGCTTCATGAGCGATGACGGTACCTTTGAATTATTTGATCACTCAATATCGACCAACTTGAAGAGATGCGAGGAACAATTTGAGATTTGTGCTGCATCATTTACTGGCAGGGCTTGAGTACTTGAGTGTTCAATTATTGCCAAAGTCTGCATTGTGTGCATAGCGGCCGTAGCAGTTGAGGTGTGAATTTCGACCACTGCTAATGAGCACGTCAAAGGTCATCTTCAATGTCTGGCATCCAACGTCGACTCTTGGACTCACCACTACCAACATCGGCATTGACGCAGTTGATATGTGTTGTTCATCCCTTGACACTAAATGCTTATCGTATCTAGCCCCTTGTTGCACGTATCCCCGAGTGCCTCAGGACTAGACTGGTGACCAGCCCCTCTATGAGGCAAGTCCTCGATATTCTCCTGAACGAAAAGAAAGGAATGAGAGTGGCCCTCAAATACATAGCGAGCACAGGCAGAATGGAGCGGATCTTCGGAGATGTCACACCCCCAAAGGACGAGGAAGAAAGAGGAAGTTAAGACGAGGAAGACCAAAACCCACCCCCAATCATCACACCTTAAGACAGTGCATACATCCTCGCGCAAGCCGGGACCACTGAGAAGACAAGGAGAAAACAACGGATCAACAATTATATAGCACATATCTGTATGTAGTGTCCACTAGGGTGCCAACGACGATTCGACGTGTGCGCTGTTCGACACAGTAACCTCGTTCCATCCCTTCATGTATATTTATTCTGCTTTCCATATACAAACTACTACTAGTACTTGAAGGATGCCGACCCCTTCGACAGTTCTCAATGAGAACTTCAATCAATCCATCAGCAAAATCACTGATTCCCTTTTTGTACTTAAATGACTTAATAAGCACAAATAAGCAAAAATCAGCAGGCAACTTATTCAGACAAGTCAATCTCTGATTTTCGTCTTAATCTCACTTATCCCTCTGGTAGTAAGACAAAAAAGTGTGCATTGCGATCAAACAGTAAAATCAGTAAGGAAATATAAGGCAGCAAAATAACTCGAATCTATTAGTGATAGTACTGAGGATCCAGAAAACAGATAGGAAAAATGTGGGAGTCTGTTATTGGCATCAGCGGGAAAGAAAAAAAACACTACAGCTGAGGTTGTGTCAAAGCGCATAGGGTAGTATTCTATTTAAAAAAACAAAGTCAGCAGTGATAACACTAAGTGGGGAGTGAAAAACTTCACAAATGAGGGTGCGCTCATCAACGCTCTGAGTCTCCTCAATATCTTCATCTGAGGCATCTCCCCTTGCAGACTTCTTCATGAACCTTTGTGCACATGGAATGATAATTATTTTGAGTCCTCATTCCTGTTGCTGATCGACTTCATGTATGCTTCCATCTCGTCGTGCCAGTTAGCGAAGGAAAATTTGTAACATCCACTTGACATCTTGCCCATTGCCTTGTTGCGTTTTGCCAGAAGCTTGACAGAAAACTTGCCAGTGGCCATAGATGCGAGAACTTCATTGACATTGATGATGCTGTCTTTGGCAAACTTGAGGGCACGTTCAAGCTGGAAACAATCAGAAAAGAAACATGGTTTTAAAAAAAACTCACGGCAATGACGCAGAGCACAATAACACCATCCATACCTTTGCCCAAAGTGAGCTCGTTGGTATTCAATGCGGGTATGTTGGCATGGTCAACAATGGCACTGAGGTGAGTGGACGCGATCATTTGCAGTACAAATGCGGACAGGTAGGCTGTCTCCCGCGATATGTTATCTGGGTCTTCATAAATGAATGCACAATCCTCCAAGAGTTGCTTGGCAACAAGGTCATTTGGTGCATCTTTGATGTGAGAGCAGAAATCGACGACGGTCACAAGTGCTGTTGAGCCGATGTTGCTCCTCCACTCTGAGAGCCACTGTTGCATCTAAAAATGTGTATGAAAGACACAACAAAAAAATAACAATAACTATAAACTTACCACTGCGAATACAGCACCATTTGGATTCACCTTGTACTTGACATCAGGGTAGACCACATCAAAGATCTCCTGCAGTGTGTCTGCCATCAGAGACTCGGAAATTTCCCATGGATTAGCTTGACTTCCAGCCCAGAGAAGTGCCATAGACAAGAAGACCTTCACCCACTTTGAGTCGGCAGGTACTGGGAGATCATTGTTGCGATATTGACCGTGCAGCTTAACAACCTCCTTTGCAGTAGCCTTCTGTGAGACCTGTGGGACTTGGGTGCTGAGAGGAGGTACAACATCATCATAATAACCTGCTGGGACTTGGGTTGAGGGCAGAGGCACAAGATCACTGCAGCTGGTAACCTCAGAGCTTTCTTTCTTCAACTTTTTGGATGGTGGAGGGGTAGCACTCTGAGATACAATAGTAGATGTCTGAAATACACATGCTGAATCAGATCATCACACAAGACAAAAAAATCCATGTACTGATGTAGTTTTGCGAGAAACATGGCCCTTCTCAATGGCGGGAATTGATCTAATCTTGGGCAAGAGACTTTCCTGTAAATCATCAGCTGAAAAGTCAGTATCATCAGTGGCCTCAGACATGGTCTCATCAACAAAATCCCCGTCATCATCAGCCTTACACTTGATACTACCAGGCTGAGCAGAAAATGTTATCTGCTCAGGCTCAGAGTCACTCTCGCTGGTGGGAACAATTAAAGTAGACTTCTGAAATTGAACTGAGTCCTTGAACTGAATTGCCGATGGGAAGGATGACTTACTTTAATTGCCTGTTTCCCTTTCTTCCTAGGCAGTACAGCTGGACGCTGTTCAAGAGCCTCAGGGTCATCAAGACTATCAGTCGCTGACCATGAGGACATCATTAGACTCAGGTGTGCTAATCAATTGCTTCTGATTGATGTGTGCAGGTTTGGCCTTGGAACTGGTCTTGTACTGGTGGTTAATACCGATGAGGGCGGAGTGGTTGCAGTGTGAGAAGCAGAAAAGGTGTTTGATCTGGAGCTTGGTGTAGCAGACTTCGGTTCAGCTGGTATATTGTTAGCCCAGTTGTTGATAAGACCACCGAGTGAGAGTTTTTTAGTTGTACTTGAAACCGCATGATTTATAAAAAAAAAAGAGTTGATTCACTGAGTGAAAACATTGTTTTAATGAAGAGTGTGTTGGACTCACAACAAAGGTGCCTTGTTACCTTTCTTATCATTCAAGGCACGTGCATCAGAATCAACTGTTATCGGTCTTGCAGGCATTCTTGATGGCTTCCTTCAGCAACATTTACTGCCTTCTCTTTCTTTTTCTTTTTCTTCCCACCAACAACTTCAGCTTCTCCGTCGCTCAATAGAGTGTCCTCTGCATCAACACAAGTGGTTTGACCATCTGGTGAGTATTAATATCAGTTTCTATTCTCAATGTGATGTTTATCATACCATCAGTAATATCTGTGCTAGAGGTTGTTTTGCCTTTGGCTACAGGATGAGGACAAGGATGAACAGGCTTTGCTTTGATACCTCCCCGCACTTCGGCTTCAAGAGCCTCCATATCATCCTTGATACCAGCAATCTGTTCAGCGGCCCTTCTGAATACGTGCGCTCTTCTGTTCCAGGCTTTCGTTTGCGTGTGTGTCGTCAGTGACCTTTGAGCTCTTGGTACTTGATTTTCTCTTTGCATTCTGGAGTTGTTCCTCAACTTCAGCCTCTAAAACAGGCCTGCCAGGATGAGCATTGGCATTCGCGGGATGAGTTCAATGGGTGGACACTTCTTGCAAGGCTTTGGGCACCATGGCTGACTATTGAGTTGATGAGAGAAGTAGACGAGGTGGAGCAAATAACTGGGGCGCAAAAAATGCAAGGTACTGGTCCCAGGGATTAACACGCACATTTGCTGACATTTCTCTTACATTCTCGAACTTCCATAGGCAACGGCTCAATTTTCGATGGTACTACCCTGCCTCTAGTCCTAATTAAGTTACTGTCAGAGAAAGGTCCATCATGTTCATGGCAAAAGGGAGGCCAAACATCAAATGGATGACATTGACCAACGACTTGCTGCCACTACTCCCCTCACTGGTTTGCAATGTTTTCCACAGGGTCGTGGATTCAAACAATGGACCAGGGATGACTCTAAGGCACTCATGAAGGTACATTTTTTTTCTGATTGACATAAGATTTGTTGACTGATACATTACTATTCAATGGCATCTAGATATATCTACCTGTGATAGAAGGCCATGTACCGACAGACATCATCTGTACATTTCGTGCATTTTTGGAGTTCTGCTATCTTGTTTGAAGGAATGTCATCACGGAGGACATGATCTCACAAATAGAAGATGCACTACGTCACTTTCACCACTATCGCTCAATATTTCTTCGGTTAGGCATTGTCCCTACATTCTCACTCCCTCATCAGCACTCAATGAAGCACTATCCTGAACTTATCTGTCTATTCGGAGCACCAAATGGTCTATGTTCATCAATGACGGAAAATAAGCATATTAAAGCTGTGAAGCAACCATGGCGTCGGTCAAACAGATACAATGCACTTGGACAGATGCTTGTGACAAATCAGTGACTTGACAAAATTGCTGCTTTGCATGTAGACTTCACGAAACATGGTATGCTCAATGGTACATGTCTTAGTGATGCTTCAGGTAAGTAAATCAAGACTATGATATCATGCTTCGCTGATTTCAATTAGGTTGTCTCAATACTTCATGCAATGACCCTCCTGCCGAACCTCCTGACACCAGTCCCGATACTGCTGAGGCCAATGATGTTGACGAGGGTGAAATTGATGATGGGCCAACTGAAATCAAGGCCCATGTGCAGCTTGCACAAACATGCCGTGCATATTTTGATCCTTTCACTATATATCACTCACTCATGTTGATATCAGAATGAAAATGTGCCAGAACCATAGCAGTGCTTGCTATCGGCTTTCTATTCCGAACGTACAAAATCTTATTGGTCACTTTCTCTTTGAGCAACTTCACCCTCGTGACCCTCATAACCATGCCACCATCCCACTTGACAGTTTCCCCATCTATGATGGGAGAATCTCTGTGGTTAATTCCGCATCATCAAGATTCTATGCGCCGAGTGACTTAAGTGGGATTGGAGGGATGCGAAGGGAACATATATGATCCTGCCCTAACTGGAGGAATGCACAAGCTCACTATGACTGCATGTTCATAAATGCGCAACCAGACCTTGAAGGAATGTGAGGGCTTCAAATAGCATGCGTGCTATGCTTCTTCTCCTTCAAGTACAAGTTCATCTTGTACAAATGTGCCATTATTCATTGGTTTGATGTCATAGGTGATGCCCCTGATGAAGACACAGGCATGTGGGTAGTTCAGCCATCCTTTGATGGTCACTCTCCAAATATTTCGGTGATACACATTGACGCAATCTATCACGCAGCTCATCTCCTTCCCCTTTACGGTGTTGATTTCATCCCTTGTGCTATTAACTTTTCAAACTCTTTAGATAAATTCCATGCTTTCTATGTCAACAAATTTGCTGACCATCATGCATTTGAAATCACATTTTAATATTATATCACTCAGCTCCCCTCTCCCATATCTCCAACAACATATCCACCAAATTCATACTCCCTTCACTCATCTCTCTCAGCTCCCCTCTCCCATATCTCGAATGACATCTGCCAAATTTGTACTCCCTTCATTCATCTCTCTCAGCTCCCCTCTCCCATATCTCCAATGACACATCTGCCAAATTTGTACTCCCTTCATTCGACCTGCTCAGCTTCCCTCTCCCATATCTCAAACAACACAACCATCTCCTACCAAATTTGTACTCCCTTCATCAACACTGGCAGCATCTCTCCGAAACGCGAAATCCATCCACCTTCTCCAAAAGACCTGCCATATGCCATCCAGACACCTCCTCCAAAAGACCTACCATATGGCACACCTCCTCCAAAAGACCTACCATGCCACACACCTCCTTCAAAAGACCTACTATATGCCAGCTCACACACAAGCTTCACATCCTCCAAGCGCAAACACCCTCTCAGACCCTGCTCTCCCATCTCGCATTCTCCTCCCATCGCACAAACACCTTCTCAGACCCTGCTCTCCCATCTCACATTCTCCTCCCATCTTGCATCCTCCATAGACGCTGCTTGCATGGCTGCCCATGGCTTTATTTCTGCCAACAATGCCCAAGTAGAGGGATGGAAAAAGGTGTGTTTTGTCTCATTTGATGATCTCACTGGATGAGAGCTCACCCATGTCTCAACTGCAGGTAACAGAAGCCATCCACGAGAAGGGCTCTTTCATTTTCCGGTGACTCTGGGTGTTGGGGCACGTGGCACGCCACAGACACATCCGGCCTTTCCATCACAATTCCTCAGCTCCTGCTGCTTTCTCTGCCATCGCCAGCCCCTCTGTGGGTGGTAGTTTGCCTATTCTTGTTCTTGCCAGATAGGATTTGCATTGTGATGGGTCATTCGTCCAACTACCTGGTAGTTATTTTAACCTAGGTCCTGGATTCATACTCGTCAATTAGGTTGCAGAATCTCTTATCGCACTTAATTTACTTTTACATCTTAATAGCAACATTTGTTTGAACAATGTCTGCAAAAAGTGGTACCAGTAAAATAAGTGACATCAGAGCTTTCTTTTTCTACTCAGTGAGACCAGTAATATAAATAAGTCATTTAAGTGCAAAAAGGGACTTGGAGATTTTGCTGATGGCCTCTTTTGACTCTGGTTTTGTCGATGTTACAACATGTCTCCCTGCTGCTGCCATAGCAACTCTGTCATGTCTCTCACCTAACGACCATGTCAAATCTGTCATCAAGATCCTCAGAGAAGGCCACATGTCAATCCTGGACCTTATCCTTTGAGTCCTTGACCCATCACAACCTGACTTTGTGTATTACCGTGACTGGATATACAACCCTTTGAAAGGGGAGAAAAAGAACTCCAGTGGTGGACAGCATGTATCGAGCAAGCTGGAGCAAATGTTCGACCATCTGTTTGTGGACACATGGGGTTGAGCCTGCATGCTAGAGTGGTTTCATCCTCACAGCAGTCGCCTACATATCCCTCACTGTCAGCAATGAGATGGACACAGTAAAGGAGGCTCTCCATGGGACACTCAATTCTGTGATGCCACAGTTCCTCCTAACATGGGACCTCAGCACCACTATACAAGACAAGGTCGTATGGAAGGCACCAATCTTACAGCATATCCTCCGCTGTGCTTCTCAGACAGGATGTGCTATCAAAAGGAACAAGATAAAAGATAGCAGTACTGTATGATACACTATGCCTTTTGTATTATTCTGTCTTTTGAATTGATGAATCTTCACTTCTAAAAGGCGTGCAATGTCATCATCACACAACTTGCCTCTCAACACTCACATCACAGTATTTTTCTTATGGTTCCATTCACACTCTTTGTGTGGACAAATGGGGCTTCGAAACAAACAATCGAAGCCCTCTACAAATGTGGTCTATGTATATCCTTCACGTCCCTTCTCACTTTGCTTGAGAAACTTGCTGCGCACTGTGTAGAACATGCGAGACAGGTTGCACGTCAACCACACATGATGTGTTAGGACAACATCAATATCAGCACATCGATATTTGTCAAACAACGCTCTGATGCCCCTGCAAAGGTCCAGTCAGGAACTTTTGCTATCCTCTACGAAGTTCACAATGGGAATCGAGATCACATGCATCTCTCACCAATGTTGAAATGCGCCCTCAATGCTACACCACTAACATTCAACGCAGATGTTTGTCCTACTCTCAATTAGATGTCTTCATTCCTTAGTCAACTTCGCATTCATGTTATCAATATTCTCCTCAAAACCTGCTCCAACTTCAAGAATTATGAATGACCAGATGTCCTACAACATAGCAAGTGTTGAAAAATGCCCGAAGGCTATTGCACAAAGCAATTTCCCTTAATTACCCTCGACAATCGATGAAAGTTCAATTACTGGAAATATTGCTGTCATTAATGATGTCTACATTTGCCAGCTGCAAATGACCCACAACAAACTATCCGACTATGCAATTCCTAGTTTCAATGATCAATCCACCAATGCTCGGATACGAGGAGAAAAAGACACTGCGTGTGAATGATGTGAATTCTTTCACTCATCTTCAGATCATTCAGCTTGGGTTTGGGCTCTTCTATCTCTGCCTTAACCTGGTTTGGGCCCTGTTGCATGTCCATCAAGGATCCATCCATCAAGTTGGCAGTCTCTCGTACTTCTTTGCCTTACTGGATCGAACATGACTCGGCTGTGAACACCCAGACTACCACACCCTTCTGGCTACACTGATGCAGATTCTTCGTGGTATTTATCCTGAATGCATGGCATAATGAATGTGGGCATTCATCACTAGCAGCTTTTTCTTCATCAGAACCCACTGTTGACAAGCTCCTTCAAATTGCTGACAGAATTCTAATAAAACATGCTACGCCTGCTTACGAGTCTTCCAGCAAGAAACAAAATGTGTTCGGCATGGATTCCGAATCAGAGCGACCTACAGACACAGTGCAATGCAACTTACAGCTTCTTGCCCACGACTTGCTCCATGTCTTAGAACTAACTTCTGCTATATCAGCTGGTGACTGGGGATGGATTGAGGACATTCTTGGTAACCTGGCAATAATATTCCGTGGTGCCGGATCAAATAACTATTGCTCTGAGATTCTACATTTTCTATTCAACCTTAAGAAAGTCTGGACGCCAGAATTCGCGTGTGAAATCTTGTTCTTGTTCATTCATTCCAAGTCTGTCTAATGTATCTATCATAGGGACATCATGTGGGACAATGCACTCATCAATCTTACAGGCCTTGAAGGCCACTGTATGCCTGTTGATCTCAACATTGAGCACCACATCAAGTTTTTAAAGGCACAACTTGACTATATTATAAGTATAGATTTAGAGCTAACTAGTACTGCAATATAGCTTTTCTTCTCGACCAAAGGAATATACTCTAAGTGGAATTGTCTTGGCGACATTTCTGCAACTATTGCACTGCTGCAAAACATCAAAGAGCAGGTTGGACATGCCCTTGGCATCACATATCATGGCCTTAATCACGCAACTCCCGACACATCATCTTCAGTCTGGAAAGTTGCGAACAAGCTCAATGAACTCGAGCTTCATGTATTCAGTCCAGATCGCAAAGAGAATGATTCCATCAAGCCTATCATGGATGTGCTTACAGAGGGTGAGCAGAAGCTGAAATCTTCAACATTGGTAACATTCAACAGGAAGGTGCAAGAGATGCTGGCAGGGAATGGGTATGAGCAGGAGGAAGATGAGCTACCAAGAGCCTCATTTGATTTGACTTCTTCAGAGAATGCTAGCTACTAAGGTTGTAGTTCAAGTCTTCTTTGCTGGTCGTGAATGTGACACTGCATTCTGCTTATCAAACTGAGTAATAAGTTCCAGTATCTGCACTCCACAATGCTCCCTCCACTCTGCAGTCTCCTCCAACAGTAAAATAATGGAATCTATAGTCTTCATGTTGTCTGGATGGGTCTTGCTAAGGATTTTGAGGCTGTTGTCATCACATAGCCACGTAATTGGCCAAACAGACTGCAGGGCATGATTGGAGTGCATGTCTGTTCTCCATTTCTTCAACTGTCTCCAATAATGGCTTGCAGAGCTCCTTGTCTTGTAGTTTTGTATGCTTTCATTTTGCTGGCGCAGTTGAGGGCATAGTATGGGCATCTTCCAATGTGTACATCTGACCTAGAAAGTATCAAGACAGGTTGAAATCGCCATCAAGATGTCGATCACAACATTTTGTTGCAACATAATGTAGCGCTTCACTCACAAAGAAATTGTTTGTAGTGTGTCATTGTTGCTGAGCAAATAACTTGGAAAACTTGAAGTTACCTGTAGGTGATTGATCGTCAAGATACTTTGCAAACCAATCCTGAAGGCAGGTTATTGACTATGTGTTATGACTTGGATGGTATCTGTTGATGATGCTCAAACAGAGTGTGTGTCATCAACGATTGAGGACGTCCCTGGGCTAGCCCAAGGTTAGGGGTCTTACTTGGTGAAGCTTCAGCAAGTAAGATTTAACACCTATGTCCAAATTGGGTAGCTTATGTCAAGCGGAGCTCGACAATAAGCATATCTGCCAAGGCTTACGACACCTGAAGGTTAATTGTAAGATCTGCATTAATAGAAGGACAGAAGTCTGACTAGTTAACAAGGGCTTTGCTCATCAACGAAGTCAATGAGTAAAGATCGAGACTAAAGACTTATCCATGATGAGCAGATAAGAGGATAGAATATAGACTGCTGGCTAGGCAGAAGGAATCACTCTTGTTAGGAGTAGGAGGTCAAGAACCAAGTAGATTCAAGTTAAGGAACTAGGTACATGGTAGTGAGTTTATATAGAGGAGAGGAAGTGTATTAGTGGATGATAACTTATACTACCAGAAAGAAAACTGGTCAAAGGGTGATACTAGAAAGGGAAGGCACATTCGAGGTGAGTCATAGGTGAACCGGAACATGCAGATAGAAAATGAGTCAAAGAACAGAAACAGAAAGTGAAACAAGCAGGGGCACAATCATGCAACTGTGGAGCTAAGTATAAGTACAATGTGCAACTGCGCACCGAGTCATAGATCAAGAAAGGAAACAGGGCAAAGGGGATGTGGTGTGCATTGTATCATAGGTTACCATCTGGACAGTAAGGATAAAGGGGACTGTCCACAGGATCAGTCAACGGGTGAAATGGAGCATGGGTATGCTTCGTCAGAGAAAGGGTCCAGCCAAATGTACTGGCTTTGCTGGAGCAACAGGTAGGAGTGAAGGGGAATGCGAGGATGACGAGGATAACAAGAGCAAGGTCGGGGTAAGGGTGTGATGCAAGGGCGGAGATGAGGAGGATAAGGAGAAAAATGGTAGAGGCCCAAGCGTCTAGATGTTCTTGTAACACTGTGCATAACGAAGTGCAGCACATCCAGTTTGGTCCTTCTTCAATGAGTTTTTCTTGAGGATTCCTGTGGTTTGTCTGGATCACTGTCATCATTGTGCTCCTCCGTCAATTTGACCTCTAAAGCCCATGTCTCAACCATTACAAGGTAAAGGCCACACAAGCTTCCATCTCACACAGCACGACCACCTTGCTGCGCAGCTTCTGACATATTCTTTAAGATCCCATACTGTATCACAATCATCACACCCTGGATATTGAGACCCTGATGTGAAGTCAACTTGACTGAAACAAATGAACAATATACAAGAAATTGAATTTTCTTACTGTCGATGCACCAGCTGTAGCGTGGATGATGCAACATGTTCCTGAAGCTAAAGTGAAGTCATCATATGTCTGTTGAAGATACTCAGCAGACATATCACTATGATAGTGTTTTATGATCCCTTGATTTCACAATGGTTTTGGCAGTCGTGAGTCATTGTATGCAGCAGCAGCAGCTTCTTTCTTATTGTCATAAAAAATCAACATCTTTGGAATCATCATGGGAGGTGCATAATTGTCTGGAATGAGGCAGTCAAAGTTGTGAAAGTTACAAAGGCCTCCAATGATGGGAGTTGTTGCATAAGTAATATTTGGGTGATTTGTGGAAAGTGCTAGCGAGATGTGATCTGACAAGAACATGAGCTCACATTGTACAGTTGACAGAATGTGATGGGGGAGAGTTGCTGAGAGTGCTTGAAATGTTATTTCCTTGCAAAGTAGCACATGTAGCTCTCCGAGCTTGCCATATGCAGGCCGAAATGCTTCTTCACCATGATGTGGAAGCCCTGCGGTATAAATATTATGTGCTTCATCAACATGTACATGCTTGATGTGCTGAGTGAAGGTACAATTTTGTCGAAGAAGTCGTGCGAGGCACAGAAGGTGACCGTTGAACATTGATAACTGCTCCGGTGAAACAATGAGATGAGCAAATTTTCCTGTGTGAATAGACTAGTAAAATATTTTGCATTAGCTTCAGTGTGCTGACGACGATGCTGATGTGGCACGCCTGAGCTTTGAATTTACCTCCCAGAGAGATGGATCTGTTGGAGTGTCTTTGTTGATTGTGATTGTAGGTATGCCGTATTTTGTTGATTCAAGAACCTGTAACAGTAGCATAATTCTGCATGTGCAAAAATAAATTCATTATACTCAAGCTAAGTTACCTGGGTGGCCTGGAGGCTTTTGAGTGGTGAAATAGTCATACTAATAGTGCCAGGGCAGAGTAGGATAGGAATTATGATACACAATGTTTTTCCGCTGCCAGTTCCAGCAGTTATAATAGTGTCTTGACCATTCAATGTTGCAAGAACAGCCTCGAGCTGGAATTGCCGTGGAACAATGGTTGTTGCCGTCAACACGTACACAATCAAGCATGCGCATAATGCATGCGTTCGGTCAGAATCACAGAGCGTCTGAAGATAGTCGTTGGGGAGGTGTTCTTTGATGAGTTCATGTGCAAAACAATCCAGTGCATCGAGTGATGCAACATGGATTCCCTGTATCAGTGATTGCTGGTCCATTGATAATTGATTTGCAGGATGAGGACATGTCACATCGCATCAATAGTGAAACCCAGCAGTGACACAAGTACGTACTGGGTTTAGCATCAGGACACGATCAACCATGTTGAACATTGATGACCATCTAGTTGTGCAGTCACGCAGCAGCTGTAATGTTGGGAGTGTGGACTTTCTGTCAGGAAGCTTGCCTCTCCAGTACCCATTTTCATTCCCTTCTTGAATCACAGCCTGAAGACAATGATGACGCTGGCCAGATGCACAACAAGCTGAAACTATCCCTCAACATTGTCCGACTGGGTCTCATTCAAGTGTTTTGACATATGCTTGAAGTGCTGGTTTGTTGGCAGAGTCAGTTGGAGCTGCGAGAAGAGGAACACAAGGGTTCTTCTTTAGTTCTGCAAGGATCACTTGCACTGCAAGGTTAACAACGTGCGGGAAGCACCTGATAGCACTTGGTCAGTGAAAATTTTCAAGCCAGCGTGACAACAGCAACATTCAAACTTGGCTTACCGTAGACAGTTTCCATCATGATCAAAGGGGATTCTTCTTTGCCTGAGCTCACCCTCGATTTCTACCATAAGCATGTTATTGTTGGACACATTGTCCATCATGATCTGACCAAGCTGCATAGATGTAAGTACAAACATAGTTTGAATGTGATGAGGGAGACAACCCATACTGTCACAACCCAATAACGAATTAACGCTGGGCAGAGACTAGGACTCAAACGAAAGTTATCGGACAAGAGGAACGATGAGCAAGTACGTCTTGGATTGCTACAGTTGTAGATACAAGAGGTTTGAACTAAGGAACTATCTACCAAGACATGCTAACTATATACGACTATTGAGACGGAGATTGAAACTGAGTTACAACTACTAGCCAATCATAAAAAGAGAAAGGGAATCGTACCATAGAACATTGTAGAATATTAAAGAAGCATCACGTGACCATATCTTATCTTATCATATCTAATCTAATCTATTCACAATCAAAGAACTCGTCTTCTTCATCAGTCACATCGAAGACACGTGTTGTGGGCGCTAAAGGTATTTCGGGAATGATAGACGCTTTCAGGGTAGGGTTAGGGTTTGACTTAGGCGCTGTGTATTGGCGTTTAGGAAGATTTAGGAAAGAATAATGGTTTGTTAAAGGTACTCGTGACATTACCCCCTCTCTAAGGTGAGTGTCATCACGAACGAATGAAGGTCGGATATTCTTTTCTCTCCATCGTTTGAAATCTTCTGTAAACAGTACTGAGCCTTTGATTCTTCGGTATTTTCCGGCTGCGGCCGTGGGATTCTTTTTATGGAACTCCGCTAAAGGAATTGGAGCGTTCTTCAAATTCTCTTCTGGCTCCCAAGATGATTCTTCCTTCGGGTATCCTTCCCATTTTACTAGGTATTGCAGCTTTCCTTGGAACAATCGGCTATCTAGTACTTCTTCTACAGCAAATTCTTCCCGATCGTCAATCAATTCTGGAGGTGGTCGGTTGGGAGGAGGATGAGGAATTAATCGAGATGCGTGATATGGCGTAAGCAATTCTACATGGAAAACCGGGTGGATCTGATATTTTTTCGGCAATTTCAACTTGTAGTTCACTTCACCAATCTTCTCTAGTATTTCGAAGGGACCTAGATGACGATCTGACAGCTTTTGACTCGGACGACGTTGTTTGAGATTCTTTGCGTCAAGCCAGACCTTGTCTCCTATCTTATACTGAGGTGCTTCTTTTACTCCTTTGTCGTAGAAACACTTCATGCGCTCATTGACCATCTTAAGAGTATTTTTGGCATCATCTCTTGCTTCTTTCATTTGATCAACTCTCTCATCGGCGGCGGGGATTACGGACATGGAGTTTGGATGAATCGTGAAATCTGGGTTATACCCGTAGAGAACTTTGAATGGACTATGACCGGTTACTGTGACTGCATTGTTATGTGAAAACTCTGCTATCAGCAGCCAAGATACCCAATCATTCTGTCTGTATGACGTGAACATGCGCAAATATTGTTCTACTTCTTGGTTTACGCGTTCAGTCTGTCCATCGGTTCTGGGATGATAGGAGGTTGACGCAGACCATTTCATTCCTAATCTTTTTGACATCTGTCCCATGAACTTCGATATGAACTGAGTTCCTCTATCTGAAATCACTTTCTTTGGTGTTCCGTGGTGTTTCCATACGTTTTTCAGAAATAGCTCGGAAATACCCTTCGAGTCTACGTCTTTGGTGGTGGGAATGAAGTGTGCTTGTTTCGAAAATCGATCAACGACTACAAAAATGCTATCACACCCTTCACTCTTCGGCAAATCCACTATCAGGTCACAGGTGATTGTCTGCCAAGGTCCTTCTGGGACTTCATTTGGCTGTAAAGGTCCCGTTGGTCTACTCGGAAGCACTTTCGTTTGTTTGCACCTATCGCAACCATCTACGTAATCGTGGACATACTTCGTCATTGAAGGCCACCAATAGTTTCTGGAAATCAATTCTAAGGTTTTAGCTCGTCCAGGATGTCCAGCCGGTGGAGAGTCGTGAAACAACTCCAATATCTCTCGGCGGATCTCTTTATCATTTGGAACCTAAACTAATCCTCGGAATAACACCAATCCATCCTCCACATTCCACTCTTCGATTCCTCTACGCAATTGAACCGGTGCTGCTTTCAACGTTTCTAACGCTTTAGCGACTTCAGGTTCTCGTTCTGTGCATTTTCGTATTTTTTGGAGTAATTGTTTTTCTCCATGCACCAAAACTTGACCTCCTTTAGCAGCTTTTACGGTAAAGAATTCCGGTTTCAAAAGGATGCGATCTGAGTTATCGTTTTCTACCCCCCCTCTATGGTCTGATCTCCGAGAAAGACGGTCTGCTTTGTCATTAACCACACCAGGCTTGTGTTGGAGTGTAAATTCGTACTCTGCTAGGAAAAGACTCCATCTAGCTTGCCTTCTGGTCAATTTTTGACTCGTCATGAAATATTCTAGGTTCTTATGATCTGTCCATATTTCAACCGGGTGAGGTGCTCCCTGCACATAGTGCCTCCACTCTTCTAACGCTCTGATGATCGCTAATAACTCTTTATCATGAATGTTGTAGTTTCTTTCCGCATCATTCATTGATTTCGAGTAATATGCTACTGGATGCCATAATCCATCTTCCATCAGTTGAGAGAGAACCGCTCCTGTTGCATAATCTGAAGCATCGGTCTCTATTTTCTTTTTCTTCTCAACATCTGGCATGACTAGAACGGGAGCTTCTGTGAAACGTTTCTTAAGTTCATCAAAAGCTTTCTGTTGCTTCTCCGTCCAGTCCCATTTGACATCTTTTCTTAGCAGATCATTCATTGGTCTGGCTATATCTGAGAACCCAAGTATGAATCTTCGATAGAAGTTGGCAAAGCCCATGAATGCTTGGATATCTTTTACGCATTTGGGAACAGGCCATTTTAATACTCCTTCTACTTTCACAGGGTCCATCGACACATTGCCTTCTTCCACGATTAATCCGAGGAATTCGACTTTAGACTGTTCGAAGCTACATTTCTCAGGCTTCAAGAACAGGTCGTTTTCCTTCAACCGTTTCAGGACTTCTCGTACCACCTTTTGGTGCTGCTCCCTATTTCCATTCGTGAAGACCATTATATCATCAATATAGACGACTACTGTTTTGCCATCTATTAGGTCTCTCAGAATTTCATTCATCATAGTTTGGAAGGTTGCAGGCGAGTTCGTAAGTCCAAAATACATTACGGTCAGGTTCGTGGTGACCAAACGGCGTTTTGAAGGCCGCCTTCCACTCATCTCCTTCTTTCATGCGAATATTATTGTACCCCCATCGTACATCCATTTTAGAGTACATCATGGCACCGGTTAAAGCATCAATTAAATCTTGAGATCTCGGTAGCGGATATGCGTTTTTCACCGTTTTCTCATTGAGCTTTCTATAGTCCATCACCGGTCTTAACTTGCCATCTTTTTTGGCCACAAAGAAGAAAGGTGCTGCTACTGGAGATTGTGAATTTCTGATACGTCCCAGTGCAGTCTCGGTTTTCAACCATTCTTTCAATGTATCCATCTCTTTGGGTGACAACGGATAAGGTTTCGCATTTGGCGGAAGATCGCCCTCATCTTTAAGATCTATCGCATGATCCCACTTCTTTCTTTCAGGGAAGCGCTTAGATTCTTCTTCTGAGAATACTCCCAGGTAATCATGAAGCCAATCAGGTACCATCTCTTCTACCGACTGCTTCTTCTTAGTAGCTTCTTCTGCTACCTTCTGCTCCGTGGCAACTGAGGCTTTATAACGAATCCATAGTCTCTCTGGACTCTCTTCGTCTTCTATTTCCTCAACCGTCGCCCTCTTCATCGACATATCTTCTTCATCCTCGTCTTCATCGTCCGTAGGAATCAGATCAGGTACATCATCTATCTTTTTTTGTTCTTTTTTCTTTTCTTTCTTTTTTTGTCTTTTTTCTTTTTTAGTTTCACATTTTACAGGGCATCGAGAAAGTGCAAATCGTCCTGCGTTCCAGTCAATCTCTGGATTATGATATCTCAGCCAATCTATGCCAATAATAACATCATCGCTTCCTAAGTCTGTAACCATGAAGGCTGCTTTCTCTTCATGATCACCAATCTTTAGACCTAGTTCTGCAAAATGAGTCATTGATCCTGCGGCATTTAGCGATCCATCAATATTCCTGACTGAAATAGGTCTTAATAGTTTACGGCATTTCACACTGTTCTTCTCAACAAACTTCTCACTGATAAATAATGTTGATGCACCGCAATCCACAAGTGCTTTTACGTCTGCTTGTCGGTTCTTTCCTTTCAACGTTATCGGAATATAAAAATGCTCAGATTTGGATCTAATATGTACTTCTGATACATCTTGAAACGTAGATAGGATAGAGAAACGATTGTTCGGGTCTAGGTCTGCAGACTTTGACTTCAACCCCTTTAAAAATCCTTGCCTTTGTTAGAAGCGATCCAATCTGTGAACCACTTCGGCGCGGAGTTTTCTTCGACAACAGCAGCCGCTTTGACTTGCGCTTTTGGCGCACCTTTACAGTTTCTCGCTATGTGGCCTTGTTCTCCACAGCGGTAGCAGGTGAAAGCGCCAGGCTTTCCTTGGGGTTTGGGAGATCCCCTCTGCTTGCCAGAGTCCACATCCATAGCGTCACTGTCTTTGCTAGGACCAGCCTGCCTTGAGTTATTGAAGGTTCTTGGGGTTTCCTTGTTAGGGGTCCACCAATTACTCTTCTTCTTTTCAGCGTCTAGCTCCTCGTAGTTACGTCCAATCTGTATGGAGTAATCGATGAGTTTCTTGAGGGTGTCTTTCTCAGACGCTGGGATATGAGCGAGTTGCTCTTTGATCCGGGTTTGTAGACCAGATCGGAATTTGAGGCGGAGGTCGTAGTCGGAGTATTTGGTAAGTGCAGCCTTCTGCTTGAAAGCTGCTGCGTATTCAGGCACTGATGAAGATCCTTGCTTCAGAGTTTCCAACTCTCTGATAGCTTTTCCTTCTCTATCGTCTTGGCCCCACATGGTTTCGAATTCCTTCGTCCAGTCCTCAAAGGATATTAGCTTGGAGTCAAGCTCAATAACATATTTCTGCGCCCATTTAGCAGCAGATCCTTTAAGGAAAGACAGGGCAGTTGTAATCTTCTGCCTGTCTGTGATCAGTGGCCATTGTGACATGTATAGTGCCAACTGAGTCGTGTAGACTTCTATGGAGATCGAATCTTTGTCTCCTGTGAATTCTGTGGGCTTCGACAATTTGACTTGCAAGTGTTCGGGGATTGTGCAAATCTCTCCAGCTTCTTCTTCAATTCCTTCTATCTGTGCGTTTTGGGCTCTAAGTTGAAGCTGTTGAGTTGCATTCTGTGCACTGAGGGTATTGTTGTGGTTGAGGAGTTCTTGTGTCCTCACGTACAGGTCGTGTGTTGCCATGGTAATGGCATTCTGTACGTAGTTGGTGAATTCTACTGGCATAGCTATGCCTTGTGGTTGTGGTCCCTGAGGCCCTTGTTCTTGGGGTTCTTGGGGGTTCTCAGGTCCCATTTCTGTTTCGTTGATTTCAGCCATAGTGCCAGGTGCGTTCTGGAATCCGATTCACTAATGACTTGTTGAAGAGCGAGTCGTAACGGCTCTTCCGGATAGGAAAGATGATGAAAGGGGAGAGGGAAAAAGGATACGTAAATGGAAAGCTAAAGGGGTCCCCAGTACTAACTGGATCAACCTCGTCCTTTAGGGTCAAAGGGTTCTTTAGTCAACCCGACTGACACTTCCCTAATTACTAATTAGAAAGAGGTACATAAAGCTATGCTTTGTTAAGTGGGAAAAACACTGTGTGCTTCGTGTGTGCTACTTCTCAGTCACCGAAAGGGTACAGGTCTAGGACAAGTTATCACTCTTCCAGCCGAAGCTTACAAGTGCGAGTCTCACTAGAATCCCGTATCTAAATCCTCGTGGTAACGATGGTAGGACTATCCGCAGATGCGACAGTTCCACTAGACTTAACGAAAGGTTCTACGTGCGTATGAAGAAAGATGTAGGTATGAAAGCAACTATAGTAACGTTGAGCAGGCAGGGTCTTGGGCCAGCACTCAAAGTTGTAGCGAGACGCCTAATGTCGTCAACACCTCCGTATACTGGCGGCTGCAATGTAAGGCAGGGCCTGGTATAGGACTACTAACTACTAAAGGCTATTCGTGAAAAGCTCAAGCGAGCAAAAGGATGGGTTTCAGAAAAGATGATTCGCGACTGTTTAGGTCGGGCAATGGAAAACGTGTAATGATGATGAGAGATGTGCGAGCGGTGTGCAAAGAGTCGGAGTCTCCTATAGTTCAAACCTAATGTCACAACCCAATAACGAATTAACGCTGGGCAGAGACTAGGACTCAAACGAAAGTTATCGGACAAGAGGAACGATGAGCAAGTACGTCTTGGATTGCTACAGTTGTAGATACAAGAGGTTTGAACTAAGGAACTATCTACCAAGACATGCTAACTATATACGACTATTGAGACGGAGATTGAAACTGAGTTACAACTACTAGCCAATCATAAAAAGAGAAAGGGAATCGTACCATAGAACATTGTAGAATATTAAAGAAGCATCACGTGACCATATCTTATCTTATCATATCTAATCTAATCTATTCACAATCAAAGAACTCGTCTTCTTCATCAGTCACATCGAAGACACGTGTTGTGGGCGCTAAAGGTATTTCGGGAATGATAGACGCTTTCAGGGTAGGGTTAGGGTTTGACTTAGGCGCTGTGTATTGGCGTTTAGGAAGATTTAGGAAAGAATAATGGTTTGTTAAAGGTACTCGTGACACATACCTTGTTGCTGATTTCGAGATCATCAGTGATTTTGAGGAATTCTTGACCAAGGTGTGCGCCAGTATGAGCCCCCTCAATAAAGCAAAATGCTACAAGATGTGATTTGAAAATTAAGGAGTCTTTCCTATCATGAATCATGAAATGTGCTGTTAGTGCCATGAAACTATCCAGGTTCTGATCACTCCAAAGGTCGGTGGTATGAGATATGCGACCAAGAGAATTCTGACAAACATGTCAACATTGTAACACATGAAATTTGTCGTGCCATACCTTTAGATCATCTTTAATTTTGCAATACTCAGTCCGGAACTCGTTGAGAATCATTTCCATCAGCTTCGTGCGGTGTGGGAGGTTCTTGTCCTGTATTTTGCCTTCTCCAAGGTACAAAAGCAGCTCCCAAAATTCAGGACACTCGACAACATTGAAAGACTGGTATTCTGAGTCCATTAAAAGTCAGGTAAGGGTAAGTTGAGTAAAAATGATATACCTGATCATCAACAGCTACCCACTTCATGAGAAGATAGCAGAACATCTCCGTCGTGAATGGTAGGTGTTGAATTTGCTTCCCAAAGTCTTCCGTGCCCTGTTTGAGTCCCATAATTGCACATATTTCCCTATAACATTGTTCATGCTTTCACAGGTGGTTTTGGCAGGTTACTGTCATTCTGTCACCGAGCTTGTAAACTTTCCACTGCGGATTCTCTGCATCGTCACTATACATTGTGAGTGTTTAACCATGATAAATAAAGCAAGTGACGCTCACCCACAGAGTCTACAGGCAACATATGGTGAGTCAGGATTGTTCTTCAATCAGGGCTGATTCTCTGGCATTTTGTCTGGTTTTTTTGGGGAATCCACTGCCCACATAAAATACCAAACATCAGAAGCAGCAACCTTTGTATCATGTGGAGGCCGTTTTGCCTGAGCCACAATATTCACTGTCATGATTGGAGGCTCATCAATTGGTGTGGTGTTGGAGAATAATGTTGATGTGGGCCCAACTCCACACACAGCTGCTGCTGTTGCTGGTGCCATCGTGGCTGTGCTCACACTTGTCTTTGGCCGTTTTCGAGTAGGTGCAGTTCCACTGGCTGTTGTTGCACTTTTTCATTTTTGACCTTTCCTCTCTGTGGTCCCTGTATTGACCACCTCAGCAGTTGTATTCTCAAAGGGCCCAGGTGCATTCATAGCACTCGGCAACACCATATACTGAGGTTGTCCAAGCCCAGCTGTGGGCCCGGGTGTAAGCAAGGGTGAGGGACTTGGAGCATTATGTTGGTACTGAGGTGGTCCCCACATTGTATGGAGCATGTGAACATGCTGTAGAGGCATGCCCTGTATCGTAGTATTGTATGGCCCATTGTATGATGAGTGAGGACCTTGTTCAGTTGGAATTTGTGGCATGGAGTAGTGATGTGAGCCTTGTTCACCATTTGCACTGGGGGCAGGAGCTGTTGGACCAGGTGAAATGTTCTGAAGTGATTGGAAGGATCCACTTGGAGTCTGGAGTGGAGACAATGTACCTTGTTGAGAGTGTTCAGGGCTGAGATGACTCAGAGGAAATGACCATGGGCCAGGATTCTGCTGCAATGACATGGGGTAAAATGTTGCTTGCAGCAATAGCTCTGAGCCACGATGATATTTAAATGTTTTACTTCAATTGAAAATTTCAGTGTCCAGTCAGGGTCTCAATAGCCGAAAGTGACAATCCAGATTCCAAGTTCTTTTGGATGTTGGAGGGGAACTTAGCTGCCAATCTGTGTGCCAATTGCAATGAAGGGATACAACAATAATGACCATTATGATGTAGTACAGGGGATTACAATGTATGGATGTAAACTACATGAACTCGTTTCTAACTCGCGAGTCCAACTCTAGAGATTAGAGGTAGAGCGGGATAGAAATGATCTAACAGGTAAGAATAAGTCTCAGTTTCTGGAAAGAACTCTTATTGACGAAGCGTGTACCTAACAGGTAAGAATAACTACGCTGAGTCAGTTAGGTGTAACAATAACGATAAAGGTATAGACTCACGTCTCAGTTTCTGGAAAGAACTGAGACGCTCGTAACGTTTGGGCGCTGGTATTAATACGGTAAGCGCTCTTGATTATTTTGAAGGTGAAAATTTACTTTGGACCATTTTGGTCCCGACGTCAACAGGTACTCCCTGTTCCTTCCGTCCCCGACCTCCCTCGACCAATGACTTGCGCTCGTACCTGCTACTTGTCATTTCCTACTCGTCATCTCGTGCCTGTCCATCGGGTCTCTCGGTCTTCTTCGACTCTGGCGCTTCGGATGCCAACACTCCCCCTCGAGCGCAAGCTAGTCCCATGAGGGCTCTCAGCTTCGGGTGCCTGGGGCGTGGGAGCGGTTTCGTAAATGCGTCGGCCACATTGTCGTCAGTGGGACAGTAGATCAACTTGAAGGTGCCGGTTTTGATATGGGTACGGACGAAATGATAGCATAAGTCTATGTGTTTTGTCTATGACTGGAACTTGCCGTTTGAAGCTAATGCTATGGCAGCCTGATTGTCACATTGGATGGAGACGGGGACGGTTGGTGGTTCGTAAAGTTCGCCAATGAGCAGATGGAGGTACAGGAGTTCACATACGACGCTGGTGAGTGCAATATATTCTGCTTCTGCGGTCGACAGTGCGATGATGGGTTGCTTTCGGGCGCTCCAGGCAACGGGTCCGCCGTTGAGTAGGACGATGTACCCACTCATGGAATGTCTATGCGCCTGTGACGCCCAATCAGCATCAACATAGGCTTCGAGTCCTCCGTCTGTGGAACCTAAGGTGAGTTCATATTCGCTCGTTCCCTTCAGGTAGCGTAACGCTCGTTTACAGGCTTCCCAGTGCACTCTCCCTGGATTGCGCATGAATTGCGATAGGGTGGCAACTGTGAAGGCGATGTCAGGGCGGGTACTCGTGGCGGCATACATCAACGATCCGATGGCCCGCTGATAGGGTACGTCCTGCATGGCTTTCAGCTCTGCTGCCGTTCCCGGTCCCTGCTCTACTGACAACCTTGCAGCAACTTCCATAGGTGTAATTGCATTCTTAGCGTCGGCTAGGTAGAAGCGGTCGACTATGGTGTCGACGTAGGCTTTCTGGGACAATGTTAAGGTGCGTGTGGTGCGATCTCTCGTTACCTTTAGCCCTAACAACCAGTTCAGCTCTCCTAGGTCCGTTATCTCGAAGAATCGCTTTAGTTCAGCCTTGAAGCGGTGGATATGAGATATATGGTTGGCGGTGATGGCCATGTCATCTACTGACACGGTGATGACAGTATGTTCCTTCGAGGTGCGCCTGTAGTACACTGCTTGGTCCACCTTCGATCAGCTGAATCCCAGTTTTGCGAATGCGCCTGCCAGTTCTTCGGCCCACTCATAACCGGCCTGCTTCAGGCCTGGTAAGCTGCGCCTCAGCCTCAACACCTTCCTCTCCTGCCCCGCCTTCAAGTATCCAGGTGGTGCCCTCATATAAATCTCCTCCTGGACCGTGGCATACAGGTAAGCGCTCTTGATATCCACTTGGTGGATTTCCCAATCGCGCTGAGCGGCCATCGTCAGTACGGTGCGTATGGTGCTCATATTTGTGGTGGGGGCGAATGTGTCGAAGTAGTCAACGCCGTAGTGTTGACGCTGTCCGTTGGCCACGAGGCATGCGCGAAGTTTCAACTTCTCTCCGTCGGGTCCTCGCTTGGTGGCAAGTACGAAGTGGCAAGGGATTATATTGGCTGAGCGTGGTGCGTCCACTATCTCCCACGTACCTAACTTCTCAAGCTGACTGATTTCATAGTCCAGGGCCTCTTGCCATTCAACGCCATCAGGGCCGTTTAGAGCTTGTTGGAGAGTCGGTTCAGGTTGGGCTGCGGCCAATGCAAGGTGAATGTGCGCTTCTTCATCAAGTAGATCTAGCTCTGATGCCTCCAACAGGGAATGATGGGCTACACTTGCTGTCTCCCCCTTATGGAGGGCGGCATAGTACCCTGGTCCTGGCCTGTGCCTCGTGGGTCTTGGCTCTGGAGGGGTAACAGAGTGTTGAGGATCCTCTGGGGTGGCAGGAGGAGGTGACGGGATAGACTGAATGTGAGGTGAGTTATTATTATTACCGTTGTCGTTGTATTCGTCGTTCCGCGTGACGGCTGGCTCCCCCTCGTTCAGGGTATCCTCGGCAATTGGTACATCCATGGGTGCAAAGGTGAGGTTCCTCTCCACTGAAATCCTCCGTTTTGACGGCCAGTACACTCTATAGGCCTTGCTCTCCACATCAACCCCCACAAACAGTGCTTCCTCAGCCCTCGCCTCCAGCTTCCCAGCCTCCATAAGATGGACATACACCCTCGCGCCAAATTCATGGGCCTGTGCGAGGTCGGGCTTCGTCTTCCGGATGAGTTCATATGGGGTGGTGCCGGGGGTGGCTCTAGAAGGTAAGCGGTTCTTCAACCAGGTCGCGTAGCTGACGGCCTCTGCCCACAGATACTTGGGCAAATCCTTGGCGAGCAGCATTGCTCTCGCATGCTCCACCAACGTGCAGTTGAGCCGTTCGGCAACGCCGTTCTGCTGCGGTGAGTCGTGCACAGTCAGCTGGCGCTCAACGCCTTGCTGATGGAGGTAGGTGTCGAACTCGGCACTAAGGTACTCTCCCCCTCGGTCCGAACGGAGTACGCGGATGGCGGCCGTTGGTGCCTGCCTGGTGACCCAGGCCCCATAGGCCTTGAAGGCGGTAAGTGCTTCGCTCTTATGTTTCAGGAAGTACAGGCGAGTCTGACGGCTGAAATCATCAGTAAAACTGATGTAATATAGGCTGCCGCCTATGCTAGCAGTCTGCGCCGGGCCCCACAAGTCTGAGTGGACCACTTCGCCATAGGCCGGCGCGCGCGTCTTGGTCTCGTCGGGAAAAGGTTTCCTGGTGGATTTGGCCTTGGTGCACGCCTCACAGAAGGTAGGTTTCGAACTCTCGTCAAGCGTTATGCCTGTGACTACTCCTTTCCTGACAGCCTCCGCTGCTGCACTCTGGGACACGTGCCCTAGTATACGATGCAGTTCATCGACGGTAAGTTTGCCTTTTGCTACGTTGGCATGATGCTGATGTGTATTTTGGGCAGCTGCAACACTATAAAGTCCCTCAACCTGCGGGATCTTGGCGATCACCCGGCGGTTGGGTCCTTGCGATAGGACCTTGCACATTCGTCCCTCGAACAGTACGGCCATGCCGGCCTCAGCGATCCGGTGAGTTGATATGAGCGTGAAGGCCATTTTAGGTGCGTATAATGCATTTCTTAGGGTGACCTTCGTTCGTTTCTCACCAAGTGGTAGTTCTAGCTCCACATCGCCCCTCCCTGTAGCATTAAGTGTGGACCCATCTGTGGTGTGTATCTCCTGCGGGGAGATTGGGGTGAAATTACTGAATTTGGCTCTATCAGGGCAGAAATGGGACGTCGCCCCTGAATCCACGATGGCGCCGCGTCTTTTGGGAGGTACGTTGAGGTCTTTCGCTACGCTGGCGAGATCCGCCGTGACGAACGCGTACTGATCCTGCGTTTCAGCCTCTGCAGCCGTATTGGCTGTCTCTTTTTGCCCCTTTCGCCTCTGCTGGTTGGGACCTTGTCCTTCCTTGCCGCCACCCTTCCTCCAGCAGTCTGTCTTGTAATGCCCCTTTCTGTCGCAATTGAAGCATGTGACGTCCGGATCAGCTTTGGAGCTCGAGGACGAAGCCTTCCTGCCCTTTCCCTTGGTCTCTTTGGCAGATAGTGCCGAGTCCTTGGACTTCTTGGAGGGGCGGCGCTCTGTGAGTAGGCGGTGCTCATACTCCTCGGTGACAATACTGATCTAGTGCTGCCGCAGTCCAGGTCCAGGACCTAGGTTCGAACCCGAACCTTTGCGGACCGGACCCATGGTTCAGTCACAGGTCCAGAATTTCTCTTGGACCGAACCCCTTGGTAGGTTCGAGGTTCGGTGTGTCGTCGATATATCGGACCGGTTCTAGACGCATCCGGACTGGTTCGAACCCATCATTGTTGCTGACTTCGACTTACGATTTTCGCTGAAGTCGAAGCCTCATGTTTTGGGTGAGGCTTTCAATTTAAGTATCGTCCTTGCCCTCCTGTTCACCGTCTTCTCCTACTTCTCCTGCATTCCAGTAGCAACGAGATTGCAAGGCAATCTCTCAGCGACTTTGGTAATGCAACACACTCAGGCACCAGTAAGTTCGCAACAAGTCTACTGCCTGTCCTAATTAACTTATGATGTGATTTATTTCAGAACATACCTACAGTTGTGATTCACCATACTGATTATCTGCCATGGGTTCTCATTCTGGTGTTTCACGGTGCGCAACAGTTTTCAATCTAGTTTTAAACATATTCACTTGGTACCTAGGTTTGACATTTATCCCTCCTGCCGCTATGTCCTCTGCACGTCGCGCAGACGGTTCGTTGAAAGACGCCAGCGAGATAGAGTGGTACAATGATGCCGAAGACGACTCTCCAATGGTTCCTCCCTCTGCTCCTACACACAACGGCACTCTCAATATGTTCATACGTCGTTCTGGTCGAGCTGTCAAACCCACCGAGAAGATCCACGAGACTCTGACTGCCAGCAGTACCTCAGCCAAGCGCTCAGCCCTAGAACCTCCTCAGGATGTCCCTGCACCCAAACGAGTGTCCGTTGGTGACAACAATGATGACGAAGATGCACCCGCACTTGAAGACGTTACGGATAATGAGGAAGAAGATGCCGAGAATGCCGAGAATGAAGAAGCTTATCAACAGACGAAGAAGCTCGGCGACCAGGATCGCGAAGACCGCAAATCCCTCGAGAAAGATGAACACAGCACTGACCTGACCACAGTCTTTACCTTTGAGAAAGGTCGCATCAACCCCCACACCCAGGACCGTGAAAATGGGTGGTGGTGTGAGGTATGCAAGGCCAATAACGTCCCGCTACACCAGTGCTTTTTTAAAGGTGGTATCTCGACTCGACGCACTCACATTGCTCGCCATCCCAAGTGCCACTACCCAGTCTATCGCAACCGCTGCAAAGAACAGGGTATCAAGATGCACAATTGTGCCATACCTCATACGCGAATTTCAAACTTTCGGCACAAGAATGGACAGAGCTGGAGTTGATGCACGCTGTTCTCCAGGTATGTTCTCTCTGTCTGTCACATCCGATTATGCTTACTATGTGCCACGCAACAAGGAACCTGCAGAGGCTCAGCAAAGTTTCTCAGCGACTCGTGAACCTACTGTGTGGCGAACGATCCCGGTACTCGAATATCTTCAAGAGACACTGCAAAACATGGCTGGCTCATCAAAATTCAGCAGCTTCTCAACAGCCATTGAAGCTGGCGTTGAGAATCTCCGCAAGTGGTATGGCAAAACTGACGACACCGACGTATATTTTATCTGCCTTGGTATGTTATTTTTTTTAATGCTTCCGAACGACGTTAACCTGTACTGACGCTGTGTAGCACTTGACCCCAACTACAAGGTCGCCTACACCAAAGACAAATGGGACCCTCTTTATTTTGCCGAGGGCATGCGATGCTTCGAGAGAGTTGTAAGTCACTACTGGTCTCTGTGGATTTTACAGATACTGATTTTGTGTAGTTTGATATGTATCATTGTAGCATGTCCACGCAGGCTGTTGCAGAGCCATCTGTTGCTCAGGTGCCTCCATCGCTTGCTCGTCAAGGCTCTTATGGCCATAATTGGATGCGAAGCTCCATCAAATCACGTATCGCAAACGACGCAGCCACACGAAGGCCTCGTCAAGAGCTCGAGGACTATCTAGCTGCACCGCTTGAGGACATTAACAATGTAGTGGCTTGGTGGGGGGTATGTCTCATTATTTTGTTTGTTACTCATAAACTAATACATTGTAAAAAAATCAAGCACTATTCTATCCAATACCCGACCATCTCACGTATTGCCAAGGATTATCTTGCCATCCAGGGATCCGCTGTTGCGTCTGAGCGGGCATTTTCAAGTGGCGGAATTACCGGAACGACACGTCGCAGCTGTTTGCTGCCAACAATGTTTGAGGCTCTTCAATTACTGAAGAGTGCATATCAACAAGGCCATATCTCTGCGACAGCCCAGGCTGAGTTTGCCGCTCCTTATGATAACCGCGTCATTGTGAACGAGGAGTAGTCTCATGTAGCGTAGAAATTTGTCATTTTTTTTTTGATTTTTTGCAAATTGATATAAAGGGTTTGAGGGTTCGAACGCTTTCCGAACTCGAACCGAACCCTTCCGAACGCGTTCACAGGGGTCCGGTCCATGGTTCAGCCTCCTTCCCCGAACCTGACCAATGGTCAGGTTCGGGGTTCGCAAATATAGGGCCATGAACTGGACCAAACCGGACTTCGGCAGCACTATACTGATCAGTTCATAGGACGTCAGCAGGGTCTTTACAATTTTTGCTGCGGCATTAATGGACGAGAGGAGGGGGCGATACAATTCAGGAAGGGAGCCAAGTATGATGGCATGGAAGTCGGTATCGAGGATGGCTGCGCCCATGCCAGCCAGCAACTCCCGCAAACGTAGGAGTTCTGCGAAGTGGGCTTTGACGTCACCTGATTCTTCACACCTTGTTTCCTGCAGGCGTCTGCGCAGGTCAATCTGCACAAGTTCTGTTTTGCCTTCGTGGATCTGGCAGATCTCTGCCCAGACTTCACACGCAGCCTCGAACTTCTGGACCCTCAACAGGAGGCGATCCGATATTGTGCAGAATATCTGCTGTTTTACTAGTGAGTTCTTTTGGAGATACTCATCAAGTTTCTTATCCAGCTCGTCAATCTCGTTTTGAGTGGGTGTCGAACCGTCCGCCTTCAGTGGCTGGCCCGTCTTCTCGTCAAGGAGGAAGGGTATCGGCTCGACTGCACGACCGTCCGCATATCGCATCAAACCTCGAGCGCCTATCGCCGTCATTGTTCTTTCCTTGTAGGTGATCCAATTTGTGCCGTCTTCGGCTAACTTTGGGACATTGAACAGAGTCGACGTGGTACTGGGGAGCATATTATTGTTGGTCATGGCAGGGCTCATAACCTCTAGAGATTAGAGGTAGAGCGGGATAGAAATGATCTAACAGGTAAGAATAAGTCTCAGTTTCTGGAAAGAACTCTTATTGACGAAGCGTGTACCTAACAGGTAAGAATAACTACGCTGAGTCAGTTAGGTGTAACAATAACGATAAAGGTATAGACTCACGTCTCAGTTTCTGGAAAGAACTGAGACGCTCGTAACGTTTGGGCGCTGGTATTAATACGGTAAGCGCTCTTGATTATTTTGAAGGTGAAAATTTACTTTGGACCATTTTGGTCCCGACGTCAACAGGTACTCCCTGTTCCTTCCGTCCCCGACCTCCCTCGACCAATGACTTGCGCTCGTACCTGCTACTTGTCATTTCCTACTCGTCATCTCGTGCCTGTCCATCGGGTCTCTCGGTCTTCTTCGACTCTGGCGCTTCGGATGCCAACACCAACGAGTTGTAACTCGATTTAGTTCGGAAGGTTCGAGTTGAAACGAATTGGGTCATTTTCGAGCCGAGCCGAGTTTAGCTCGAGTTGACCTCACCTCGACAACAACACTACGTATGACGCATGCATTTATGCCTCATAACACTTGGTTGATTTCAAAATACCTAATCAGGTAATGTCATGTGCTGTGACATTTGGACATGCCGTCTCATTGACATTCAAGTTAGACGGGCTGGTCACCAGTCTAGTTTTGCACACCTCTTGCACCATCCACTATGAAATTCTGTCATGCGCAACCAATCTGCCAAAAACGATCGCATTTCCCACTATTTTCAAGATATAGAAGCAGGCACCATCGACCTCAGAGTAATTCAGAGTCCCCTTTGCAACGGTTTTATCACTTCGCATAAATCATGCATTTCAAGTCCTCCGTCGTCGTTGCTGCTTTGGCAGTATGTATGTCTATTATTTCACAGATTGATGGGACCAGTGGATGCAATACCGAATACCAGCCCTGCACAGTGAACACTGATTGCTGTAGCTCTCACTGTAATTTGAGACGAGTAAGTACTAGTATTTTTCTTTGCATCTGAGATTCAATCCCGTTGCTCGCCTTGCGCCTTGTAATCTCAATCATAGCTTCCTAACAACCAATTATTGTGTGGTATTTAGATTGCTCACCGATGGGTTGGCAGCTTGTCAGTGACAATGAGCATATCTAGACAGTGAGTCGTGTTTCTGCTTTCGCATTGATGCTGTGGTTGATGGCACAATACGTAGTTCGTCGCTGACCTGTTCAATCATCAATGTGATTGTTGTTCCTGGAGTATGGACAAATTCCTTGCTTCGTGAGCGATGACGGTACCTTTGAATTAATTTGATCACTCAAAATCGACCAACTTGAAGAGATGCGAGGAACGATTTGAGATTTGTGCTGCATCATTTATTGGCAGGGCTTGAGTACTTGAGTGTTCAATTATTGCCAAAGTCTGCATTATGTGCATAGCGGCCGTAGCAGTCAAGGTGGGAATTTTGACCACTGCTAATGAGCACGTCAAAGGTCATTTTTCAATGTCTGGCATCCAACGTCGACTCTTAGACTCACCACTACCAACATCGGCATCGACGCGGTTGATGTGTGTTGTTCATCACTCGACACTAAATGCTTATCGTATCTAGCCCCTTGTTGCACGTATTCCCGAGTGCCTCAGGATCTGCGGGAGAATTAAAGGTCGATGCACCATGGCACACCGTGAACTTGGCAAGAACTGTGGGTGCTTCAAGTGGATGGCCGATATTACCGCACACGAATTGAGCAGCCTTGGACGGCACAGTTTGTGAGTGACTTTAGCTGCTGTTATCGTGGACTCGTGTTGACATAATTCAAAAGCGCCGCGGCCAGTAGCACCATTCTTTCCTTCTGCGCTCTCCCACATTTGTCGTGGACTCTGAAGCATAACCCCTAAGTCAGCACACGGCATTTGACGTTAATGCTGTGTTGAATTAGGTTGGCCTCACGCCGGCTTCCTGCCAACACATCGACAACTATTCCTAGTCCAGTTGTATTTAAAGTCTGCAAGTTTCGCTGTGCTAAAGTCTGTCCGCGATCAGAGTTGCTCGTTGTCAGCGTGTTCCTGCCAAATTCGAACAGTCTCGTCCGAGTCGCCGGACGTGCTTATGACTTCAAGTTCATTCCTTTGTTTTGAGAACAACGGTCTGCTCGACCAATCAGCATGACCTCTGAACGATTGAGCGGAAACTATAGGGATGGCTCAAAATCATCGCTGGCAAAGCGCAAACTGAGGGCAGATCAAATCGATGTATAAATAGACCGTAACCTTGCGTCTATATATGAAAAATTGGAAATCGGTAGGGATCAGAGGCGAACCCGAACCGAAGGAAGATGCTCGTTGCAGCCTTGGGGATCAAAGAGATGCGACTATGCGCACGTAGCAGACTTCCGAGTCAGCGCGTAACCACAGCCTCGCAGCTCCGAATAATCCCCATGTCTTCGAAGTTTCATGTATATCCGAACACAATACCTCCGACCTGGCTCACGGGAGATATGTTGCCCCGAACGGTCTGCGGTATTTGTTACGCCCATATCGTGCCGCGAGGCGTACAACTTGTGGCACTGGAAAATTAAGAAATATCGAAAGCGGAATCTGTGTGTACAGATTAGCAATACGATCCTCGCCTGAAGTTGTAGTGCCTTTGACGGATCCTCGACGTCACAAAGCTCCAAGTTGTCGATTGGTGATGGCCACCTAGTAAAACGTATTATTTTCGTCACAAAGACTTATGTAAACGAACTCCATGTGTTCGACTTTTCTGAGTATGCGCAAGCACTTCCCTGTGGACAATAGACAGTCGTGGATATCGATGAACCTGCACCGGTCTTTGAGCTCCAAGTTTGATGAGCTCCACAGAGCTTCTGACTGTCATGTACATAATTGGGCAAGTCTTTTACTTGAACGCGGGCAGATCAGTGCACTGATTAATAAGAAGAGAAGGTGACTCACTATGAATGCACAACGTAAGATGCGGCATGCCATTGTACCAAAAAAAACTAAAAATGAAGCAGCCCGTTAACTCCTCTGCATTATCAAAGAGAGGATAAAATGAAAGAGCGTTGGCCAACAACACGATGATGCGGCCCTTGAGGTTGACCCTTTACGATATCAGTTGAGAAGACGTAGATAGCCCTTTTTCCCGTGATCGCGTTCTCCGATGACCGAACCAATGTCCAAATGACCATTTCCTTAACTTTAAGATTTGACTGGTATGAAGAGCTGGACCGAGTTACATTTGCCAGCTCCTCTCCAGATTCAAAACTTCAAAAGCGTCCTCCCTTGACCGATCATCTTATCGCCTCTCACACACTCAGTTTTGGATTCTGTACAAGGTCAACGCGCGGAGATTCTAAACAGCAGATGTGAACACCCACACGGCCCGCTCGCATGTAGTCTGTAACAAGCCAGTACGCCATACCGCGACCCTTGGATATAAGAAAAACTTAGGATGCGAACAGCACTAGCCTGATTGCTAAACGGGCCCCGCGACTATCAGTCTGAGTCATAATGGTGCCGAACAAGAAAAGAGAAGACACGAAGAGAAAATACCCGACTTACTAGTACTGGTTCCATCATGATGATCCTTCGATGCGAGCCGACCTCGTGTGACGTGGAAGGCAACTACTCAATTGAGATATTGATTCTGTGACTAGTTGAACCGCCCTGCGTAAGTTGTATGGTGAACAACGCATTTAAGGGTTAGTCGGTGTGAGTGGTGCCTGAGAAATGGTCTTGGTTGTTTCACCTATTAATGGTCGAGTCTCGACGTCGATCATGGTCGCACCCATGACTATAGCTAGAAGCTAGAACCCATAATCGTCATAGGTCCAGCCGTGCCCTCCCCCTCGAGCCCTTGCGCATAAAAATCAAATACGAAACGACACAACTATAAACATACCACCTTGAGCTGCCTACGACAACAGAGAGCGGTCCCTAATGCCATAGCAGATGATCATATTTCATGGCGAAAAGAAACATTTCCAACTTCACCAAGGAACCAAAAGTATCTGAAGACGGACCGTGATATCTTGATATCTGTTGCTTGTATCCATGTTCGAGGGGGCTGAATCTGAATCCATCAGGTTCCATTCCACGTACAACCTGTCTATTAGACAAGCCAGGAATGATAGACTCCGCGGTCGGACCGAAGAAGGTTTGAATGAAGAAGAAAAACGACAATTGTAGGAAATTAAGAGTCTCGGAAGTTGCCGCAGAGCCTAGGCTGCGAAACAAATGGCTCGATGGATGGCTGATATCGATGAGAGGGACACTTGTATATCACGACACACGCATCAGACATGTCGCGCCATCCAACATCCCATCCTGGGATTATATATTAAAAATCAGGGATATACTGGCGGCCTGGGAGGACATTAACATCAACAAGCTATTATTATAAGCGAGTCGACTAGAGTAGCGTACTTACTACCTCGGAATATAAGCGCTAAACCGCGGGAGAATCCAGAATCCAATATAACATGACGCGGGGGATTGAAGACCAAATTTTAGAAACTAGCCCCAGCTTGGCGAGCTTCAGGTCAGATAAGAATAAATATGTAGTGCTGGACTTTAGACTGCGCATCGGAGTCCCAGCCGCGGGTATTTTATAATCTCAAAATATCTCGCTGCACCATATACGCCAGGTCATTTTCCAACCCCCAGACTTTTGATTATCGCGTTGGGATCTACTCTAGAAAGTTGCAGGAATTGTCTTGCCATGGGACAAACCACGCGAGGATTCCTCCGAAAAAATACGTGCTATACGTACTACTATGGAGTACTGCGGATCAGGAATCGCGTAGACATGGGTATTTGGTTGTCCTTTATATAGCGATTGATATGAATATTAATGTTGGATATTTAGGTGATCAGATTCAGAACGGTACGCACGGACGCGCGTTCGCATCCGTGGCGCAGCGCCGTGTAGATTTTCTCGTAAGAAATGAGCAGTGGCGGCTGCAAATCCACAAAAGACGTCAAGCGGGAGTGCCACAAACTGGGGGATCTGCGTTGCGAGTCTGATCGTTACGGAATACGAGGGGCGAGGACGTCGAGAAGGAGAAGTAAACGGGAGAACTCGTCGTTGGGTAAGATCCATGCAGGTTCTTATCCATTAGTGCGTTCGAATCCGAACTGTCGGTGGAAGTGTCAAACTAGGAGCATGAGTGAGTCACTTGGTGGATAATGATACCATTTTGGGCGACTGGGCTTTCCACACTGATGAGTTGTGCCTAGGCCACCCGACAACTGGACTATATGAATAAGGACTAGAGTAGAAGTAGAGTGGTGATTATAAACGCACATTAATATTGTTAGGTGATGGGTAGAAGAAGTGACGGGCGAGGGAATAAGAAGGCGAACATGAGCTAGAGTCTAGACAATAATGCGAAGAACCATGATAGGTATCATCGATAGCGCTTCCAGGTACGCGCAAATGGATTGTTGGTAGAGATGGGTTAGCTCAAAAGACGCGTTTGCCGACTCGGAAGTCCGAGTGTGACAGGATGTGGGGCAAGATATTGATATTCCAAAGAAGTGCCCGACACGGAGTGCGTGGGGACGCGGAAATGAAGGTTAATGAGGCGTGACCTACCGAGGGGCTTATCTGGCCGTGTAGGGTCGGTCAAGGTGTAAAGTGTTCCATAGTTGGCTTGAAGTGTCGTGGAAGAAGGGTGGCGTAGACGATCGCGTATGTTAACGATAGCACGGCGCAACAAGTGTCATGATGCCGAATTGACGCGAAGACGGCGTATGACATTCAAGTTGGTGGCGACGTGGCACAGTCAATCGAGGATCGCACGAGACCAGAATATACATGAAGCGAGAACGAGGATGTATGATCTGATTATGATGCGCGCACGGGAAACCATGCAAGTATTTAAGATGAGCGCACCAGGAGCGGGGATGGACGGCGAACACGAGAACGATTCCCCCGAAACAGTAGGGAGCGGTGCTAAAGAAGAAGTGGTTGGTAAGGCACAAGGAGTCACCATGTGGTACTCAGGAAAATTTAAGGATGCTGGCAGGCAAAATGACGAAAGGAGGATGTATCTCGGGAGAGGTTGGACATGACGGATCAAACTTTGAGCGGAAGGACGCGATAGTACTACGGCAAAGAGCGAATTCGAGTTGAAGGAATATGTTTTGTTGCACAGATTCTCGAGTGAATTGAGCACCGGGATACAGAGGCTGACCGGTTAGTAATCGATGACCGGTTCCGCGGAAACAAAATAGGATGAAGGAGTTGTGATTGGGTGGCGGTACACTATCGAGCACTTACGGGAGTTGTATGTGTTAAATAAGGCGCAGCCATGTGTTTAGTTTTCCACTTCCTTGTCGACATCGTCTCGTCCTCATTCGAAGCAGTAAAGCCATACAATGCGTGTGCTGCAACTCGTTTGCTGAACCATCCATAACGATCACGACGCAACTCTCTGATCATACCCGGTGATTCGCAGAACCCGGGGAACTTTGATAGAACAAACGACCACCTAGTAGGAGAGCCCAGGAAGCTCACCTATCGACGACGACGGCAACGATTAAGGGAGGGTTCATCTTAATCCATACCACGACCAAGACACGAACGATACAGAAATCTGATCTCTAATAATCTAACACAAGCTTAATTCAGTCGGCATGTCTAACCACCGGACACCAGCTCACGTCGATCAATCCCTTTCCGCAAACCCTTCCTCCGGATGTAAGCCCCATCCACTATACTAGCTATCGACCTTTATTCAATTTCACTTTCTCATAGCGAGCGAACAACCACTACAAGATAACCAGCCCCACTCTCAAGGACATTCTTCTGCTTCTTTCCACCAATCCACTTCCGTACCACCAACTACAACTGACCAGCAGTGGTTTCCACCATCTCAGCAGATGATCGTCACCAACTCCTCCTTCTACGACCCTACTCAATCTTCAGGCTTTACAGCCCAGCAATCTTCTATGAATGTCTGGAATACCCAATTCACAGGTCCCGGTGGCGAATACTTTCCCCGACAAAACCCGACATACCAGCAGCCGTATGCCTTTGAAGGAGCAGGGTCCACTCAATATTCATTCGTTCAAGACCAGGTTCAAGTTCAAGAGCAACAGCAGCATTCACAACAGCCCCGCGTTATACCCACTCCACGGCGCTCGGCACGTGGTGGTTCCCGGACTTCTGGGTATTATAGGCAGAGGGGCGCTGAAAGCCAGGTCAGTAATTGGAATCCCCTTATCACGTGATCGATGCGACTCTCGACGTGCTCTTGGAGTTTCCCTTGACTTTTCCATTTATTAATCCCCTTTATCTTCACTTTCTTCATTCCATATTTCTCTTGTCTTTCTCCTTCATCTCTCTGATGTACCCTTTCCAGCAACATGCAGGCCAATACTCACAAGTCCCTCCTTCCGTACCTCCAAATCCTCCGTCAACCCAACCTCCACCTCCTCAGCCCTCTCAACAGCCAACGGGCCAATCCCTTGCTGCACAGCGTACAACCGAATTAATCGCAGGTCAATTCCCACCAGTACAAGCCGATCAGCAGCACCCAGCTCAGCAGCCCCAGCCCCATTTCTCTCCCCCTCCTACCCAGTCCCAATTCCAGATTCAACAAACCCAGTTCCCGCCTACCCCACAGTTTTCCCAGAGTCAGTTTTCGCAACCCCATCATCCTCATGTCTCATCGCAATCGCACACACGTCCTCACGTTCCAACGCAATCGCACACTCATGTCCCATCCCAATCCCAATCGCATGCCCATCCTCATGTTCAGTCCCATACCCAATCTCAACCTCAACTTCACGCCCCTCCAAATCCACCCCGACAATCTCAACACTATTCGGGGCCGTCAGATCCGTATTACCTTCAGAGCGATATGTATTATGCGATCAATACGCAAGGGAATCAGAGTGCACCCAGTCTTGTGAGTCTCTTTCTGCTTCTTTTGGTCTTGAATTTTTTGCATGGTGGCGTACGTAAACATGCATCAATTATTGCCCCTATGCATTGTTCTTTTTCGGGGCTCCGTGTCTTGTTCGCTTCCATTGTTTTCCGGCCTAGCCGGTTCTTTTTTTCATTCTTTCTTTCTTCAGACACGGTTGGACAGCATGGCTAGATACATGCACCAGCCTTTGTGCCTCGTTACCTTTTTTTCTGCAGTTCAACGGCATACGAGGGCGTGTATATATGCGCCCATGTTCGCTTCACGCTTCTCTCATTTTCATCTTGTCTTGAATGGCACTGATCATGATCATTTCATGCCATCCTCCCACTATTCTACTCCCTCGCACCATCCGACACGCAACGTTCTCACTTCCTCGATCATGCACGACTTGTTATCAACGTTTGAAAAACTGACTGATTGACAGCACTCGCACACGCAGAGCACGACCACTCTTGTGGGTATCTTTAACGCTTTGTATTTAAACGCCCTGGCAGGGATGACATTTCTTTCCCTACGCCTGTGTCAGAGGCGCATACATGCATATATGCGCCCACATAGGGATAAATTCCCTTTTTGATACTTCGTGCCCCATTTTCTTTTTTTATTCTGCGGCACTGGTCTGTTTGCTATGTGTGCCAGTATGAGATGCTATCTGCTTCTATTATACTCTGCTCCTTATTTTCATCTTCGATCTTGAATCACGCTGACGATCAATCATTTCACGCTACCCTCCTGCTCTCTTCCGCGGAACCATCTAACACGGGACATCCTTATCAATTTCCTGGATCACACCCGACTTGCGATCACTCTTTGATTGACAGCACGCACACTCAACGTCTCCACACTCGCCTTTTGCGACGTTTGGGCCTCATACGCCACCTGTAAATTCGCAAACGCCTTCTAGTGATAGTGGTGAGTGTATTTTTTCCTTTTGGGTTATTTTGTTGTTGTGTTCTTTTCGTTTGTTCTTTTTTGCTCGTTGTTTTCATTTTTGTCTCTCGCTTTCTTCGTCCACTCGGATTCTCCTTCGGCTTTCGTGATCAATTCTGCATGCATCGAGTCACGGAAGCTTGCGGACACGAACACGTGATGCCATGCTTATTTTGATGCGCGCTACTCAGGCACGTGGACGGAGCTCTTCACTCCTTGCTGTTAAGAAGCCTCTATCTATCAGTTATCTCACACCGAGGAACGGATAAATTTCTCTCGATCATCAGTCATCTCATAGTTTGGCGCGGCCTCCTTGCGCCCGAACACGTGATACAATGTTTATTGGCTGCGTACTGCTCATACACGACGCTCTTGACAAATTGTCATTGAGAGCTCATGTTATATCTAATCGAAGGAACGGAGAACGTTCTTTCAACGTGGGTTTCAATACTTGGGGTTATGCTATGTTACGTTGTCGGACTTCGTCAGCCCCTTCGGGATATAATGGGTGCTTGCCTATCTTGTTTGCGTACGACATGGGATGAAGTGCGAGTTATATTGATCTATGCATCTTGTATGTGGTTGCGCTGACGACGTTAGCCACCTCGTGGCAAATTAGCTCTCCGGCACAGTTGGCTCCCGAAAATCATCTTTGTACCTCGATATTGTTGCTACATTCTGTTTCTTCTATTGCTCCATACTGACGCTTATCTTTTCTTGCTCCACCTTCGACAGGTCCCTTGCTTGGACTCCCGCGCTCACACGACTCCGTCTCTCCGGCCTCGTACGCAAGCCACCCTACGTCCTCCTCATTCGACGATTCATCTTCGGGACATCCAGTATCGTCTGTGAGCTCGAGTAACGTGCACATGGCTTCACATGGCATGGGACATGCTGCAACTTCGTCGATCTCTACTGTCACTCCTGGATCGCCCCCAATCGTCGCAGCGCCACAGCAACAACAACAGCAGCAGCAGCGTGTGCAGATACGCCAGCGCCCGATTGTGCCGATAACTCCAGCAACTGCAACGGCTCAGGCAGGTCCTGCACGGCCTCCAATCGTACCAAAACCACCCGCTCCTCGCCCCGCAACAAACCGAAGGGCTCGGGCTCCAAAACGACCAAGGCCATCGACATCCCAAGGTGGCGAGGTGGGGGTGGGGACAGTGACGATGACAGTGATGATGACGATGTGGTGGAATGGGCTGGACCATCTGTGCCTCCACAAGGCGCGGCTACAGGGATGGGTCAACGCAAGTGAGTGACATCGTACACTTGTTGGACCGGGAATAGTGTGCTGATTAAGTTTTGTACGTTTTCTTCATTTCTGCTTCTTCGCCTGCTTTTCGGGATCGTGTTTGAACCTCGTGGTAACTAAACTCATCTGTGTTGGCGCAACAACCCTGTTTGACACCATACCTGCTCGATACTGCTGGCTTCGATGGCGACCGCTCTGGTTATGTCAATCACTGGCTCCCATATCAACAAACTCGATTAATATTGCACGGTGTTGCTGCAGCCATAACAAACGCACTAACCTGGACTTGTGTATGACCTTGATGGCACGCATGATCTTGTATGCTGGATGGAAATTTGCTCGCTGCGCTCCATCCTTATGTTCTGGTTCTGATTGCGGTATCGTCTTTCTTTGTCACACAATTTCAGCTGATGTCGCGTTACCTGCATATTGACACCTGTCAATTGCGTCAAAACTGCACAAACATTATTGGTCTGTGATTGTGACGATATCTTTTTCTTCTCATTCCCGTCTGCAATGCGCGCTGGCCGGACATGCTTTTACTTGTGCACCTCCATATTTGTTTGTTCTTCCTCATTCTGATACCTTTTTCATTGGTGTTCTCACCTTTGGTGCGGATGGCTATGTTTTGTATTGATAATATTCATCTTTTTTCTCCATTCCAACTTCCGACTGCGTTTTATCACATTTTTATTTCACTTGGCGCAACGTTTGGTTTGGCTTATTTGTGATCGATTGCGGATACCTCTACTGCTAAAACTTTTATACAACCTGCTTCAATTGACATGCAACCCGAACCGGTTATCTCTGCCGATCTTCTACTCCCGACTCCGGCTATCTTTCCGGTTCGGGCACATTTGTTACCGACACTCTTACACTGCCGACTCGACATCTGGCTGTCTTCACTTGCTCTAATTCTGTGTCATGCTTCTTGATTTCTGATTCTACCGGCTTGGCAAACCCCGTCCTGCGACTCGGCTATATCCACGTTCTATACTCCATGCGAACGTTCTACACACTATACCCACGTTCTACACGCCTTCGTCGCCTTGCTTTCTCGCCTGCCTGTACGGTGTCTTTGGACTTGATGCCTCGTGAAAATACACGCACCGACAATGATGATGATTTTGCTTGCCTAATCGACTTGCTTCCCGTCCGGCGCTCTGCATGTTCCATCTTTTCGGCTCCGCGATACTTCACCCCACTAACTACTGCTACGTATTTTCTACCTCATTCATTGATTTCTGACTTTGCGCTCTCACGAATGTCACTGCAGAACTGGAGCATGTACACATTGCAAACGTCTGAAGGTACGTTATCGATCTTGTTACACTTCCATTCCGTGTATTATGGTGTTATGATTGATTGCTTACCAAATTCTTCGTCTCCTATCTATCATGAATTGATCCTTACAATCAACGACACGATTTATGTCGTCACATCTCCGGCCTACCTTTGCTCCGAACATGCCTTGGTGTCTCGCCTGCCTCGACGGAAACTCGTGCCCTCACTTTCGGACCTCCTTATGGACCACCGCTTCTCCTTTCTGGGGCTGTTACGCGTCCTTCACATGGCATCATTGTTGCTGCCACAACTGAAATTTGTTTAACCTCCGGTGATGGCTCGTAATTCTCCATACCTGCGGACTTCCATCCACATCTTCTGATATTACAAATGTTCGCTGCTCGGTCCCTGTCCTCCACTCGGCACGACGCGAATGTATGAATATACCCCGCAAATTTGTGCGCCGTGTTGCCGGCGCCTGAATCCTTTGATTATCGGAATCTGATCTCCCGAAATGGACCATACTCCTGATGTCATGTGATTGCGACTGACTTCATTTGAATGATCCGCACATATTCATTCGATCTGTTACATCGGTTTGTATTCGTCTCCGGTTGACACTGCAGATGAAATGCGACTTTCCGGATGGAGCTAGTACTTGCAAGCGTTGCGCAACCGGAGGGCACCCTTGCATCGTAGAAGGTCGTAAACCTAGGACCGCGCCAAAGTACGTCTTTAACCCGTTCTCTTGATTTCAAAGCGACAACCATCCTTCATTTATGTCGTAACTTCTCGTTCTTCATTTGGAACCGGCGCATTCTTTTGTACCGATTGTATTTTGCCCATCTCGGCATTGGCTGGCATTTCTGCTAAGTCAACGGGGATATGACAGCCCTGAACTCTAAGGTGGAGATCTGGGCCGGCCTCGAGAAATCTTTCAATCTTCATTTTTGGTTATCTCGAATCGTCAATTTCTTCACACTTTCCGTTTCCGTTTTCGTTTCCGCTATTCTCTATTCGTCATTCATGCTGCGAACTCAGCACAAATCGTGCCAGTCTTGCATCCGGGTTGTGTATCATCGCATTCTCCTGTTTCCTATTTAAACCTAGTTGCTTTTTGGATGTCAGTCATCCCCCACTGTTGTCTCCTTTGACTGTCCTTTATATGACCCGTTCACGATCTTCATCCTCTTCGTCGTCTTCATCTTCTGATACTATTTCGTCCACGATGTCACAATACTCATATAACCCTCCCCGCGTTAGCAAACGAGAGTACCTCTTGGCTCAGATCCGTCACAAGGATCAGATCATAGAGTCTCTGTTGAAGCAGGTAGGTCTTCCGTCATGCTTCGATACATTCCTTCACTGACATCCTGTATCGAACAGTTGCACAACCCTTACCTTGCGACGCCGCTTTCGGTTGCATCCTATAAAGCAGCTACATCACCATCTGACAATGACAATATCAACATTGTTGATTGGCTTGATCGTCTACAGGCTAGTCTCAAGCAACCAGGAATGGCCTCGCCTACCGATGCCAACTTCCTTCGCAACTTGCGCAACCCTTCTGCAGTTACTGTGGATGATTCCGAGGACGACAATCCCGACGCTGAAGAGGGTCCCGTTGAAGACGATGACGTCGAGAAAGTCAGGAACTCGCTTCCTGATGCTGCTGTGCCTATTGGGCTGCTCGCAAACTTGTCTTTAGACAAGGATAAAGACAAGGGTAAAGGTAGAGGTCGCCAGGGTGGTAACACTGCCGCAGGTGGAGCTAACATGAAACCTGAAGATGACGATGACAATGTGGTAAGTAATGGCTGTTCTTTGTGATGTAAGTCCCGTGTTTATGTCGGTAATTACTTGCAGGGTGTGGCTAATAAGGAGTATTTCTTGCCTGGTGAGATGCATCGTGGAATGATGATACATGCTGTTTCTAATAACTTAGTAGGTCCTGCCTCGAATTTGAATACCCGCAAAACCTTGGTGGAACAGCACACACCGGAAATAGTTCTCCATGGACTCGTGAATAACACTGACGTCGAAAAGCTTTTTGATATGTACGTTCATACAGTTCTTTCCTTTCCTTCTGCTGACGCATGTCCGTCGACGCAGATTCTGGAAGCAAATCAATGTAGGTTTATGCTTTCAAAGTTGGGAGAAGCTGCGACTTAACTATCTTACAGCCATTTGTTGGCCTCCTCGATCCCACGTTACACACATCCCAATCCATCTTCCAAAGATGCCCCTTCTTATTCACCGTTAGTACGTAATCGTTCTCTCCACATGTTCTGATAAACGCTTGACTTGAGATTACAGTCTGCGCTATTTCTTCGCGTTATTACAAGGAAAAGTCTGAGATCTATCCTGTTGCTATGCATTTTGCGAAGCACTCTGCGGCTAACGCGCTCATCGACGGCTGGAAATCTGTTGAGCTATGTCAAGCTTACATTCTCATGAGCATTTATGCTGTCCCAGCTCGCAAGTGGGAAGAAGACAGAAGCTGGTTATACACAGGACTTGCGGCGCGGTATGCCAATACAAACTCTTTCCATTTCTAGAGCTTATCATTGTCACTGTAGGATTGCTACAGACTTGAATTTGCATCAGGTCTCTACGACAGAGCCACAGACGGAACGCCAGGAGCGAGAGATGTTGAATCGCACTCGCGTATGGATGATATGTTTTAATATCGATAGATCGACTGCTACGCAGTTTGGCAAGCCCTCGACGATTAAGGAGGATTATATCACTCGTCATTCTGCGGACTGGTACAGGCAATCCCGTTTCAGAGACAAAGTGTGTTCCGACATATCGTCTTGCTTTGCGGTGCTGATCAGTTACGCTGAAGTTTGACATCCACCTCTGCGCTTATTCAACGCTTCTTCGCATCGTGGGCCGGTTCCATGACGATATCTTCTCAGACCCCAACTCGCCAACCGGTTTAAACAAGGTTTGCGCCCTTCATTGACGTCTACTTTGTTACTGAACTAGCCTTGCAGGGCATCAACTTCCTTCAGGTTACGTTAGAACACGATCGTCATCTTACAAACTATTTTGAGGAATGGACCAGGCGCTTTAGTCAAGAATCTGACCCTGCAGGTACGATTTCATTCTATATGGTCAAACACGTACTCATTTCTGTGCCTTAGATCCTGGAAGCGTATTCCGCTGCACTCTGCTACCCTTGTAAGTTCTGTGTTTCAATCTCCTGCGAGACCAGCTGATGTGCCTCTAGCTTGGTCAGCTATTCACGTCTTGTTATGTACTCTTTCGGATTTCAACATGCCTTCCAACGAGGCATGGAGGCGAGTGACAACGTCTTTCTTGACAAGGTCAGTACAGTCATGGCTCTATAATCCCAAGCTATCTTACCGAACTTTATGCAGTGTTTCGACTCCGCAAAGGTGGTCATTAAGCAGATGATCGAGGTGCTGGCACCTAGTGGTCTCATGCGTGCTGCCCCTGATGGTGAGATACTATTCTAATCGGCGACGCTCTTGGTCTCATGATATTCCAAGGCCACTTTGTGTTTGCGTCTTTCGCCTCTGCATTCATGCTCAAGGTGAAAGATTACATATCCGATGTGGCGCCGTTCTTACCTTATTACTTAGCTGCTGCGTCCTGAATTTGCTCAGCTGTTGACCCGTCAGATGGAGGATGAGATCTTCGAACTCATTGGCCGCTTGATTACGACACTTCAAGATGTTGCCATTGATGAACGTCACACACCACGCTTATATGCTCGGTTCCTCGCCAGCCTCCTTACGAGGCATAGAAAAGGTGGAGGCGCCGTTGGTGGGCGTCTTCAACATCTTCCACCTCAAAGCCAAGTTTCTCGTCAGCCTGAACCTCGTGGCTTCGCTCCACAATCTTCGTTGTCATCTTCAGGAACAAGATACTCGGGTGGACTAGCGCCAGGCATGTCGCAGCAAGGATGCGACAATGATTCCATGCAGATGACTCTCAACCGAGGCACTTCAAGCTCTTCATCGCAGGCATCCTCGCCTCCTTCCGCGACTCCCGCCATATATTCTGAGGCGGCTTACTCTCGCACTCAGTCGAATCATGGAGCTGTAGGTGAGGATATGGATGTTGGGATGGCAGATGTGCTCTCGGAGAGCGGGACATTGGCAGCTATGCATGCACTCAATGATGCCTGGTGGAGTAACATGATGATGCCAGGGCATGTTCCATATGCGTTTCTCTCTGCGGCGTAACTGATCGATTTCACAGGTTTTCCTGGCCAGAAGGACCACACTTAAACGGCGTCGCAGAAGCTTACAACCACGGGATACCAGGCATCCACCCAGGCTTTGGGGGATATACACCCGAACCACAACTAGCGATGTAGCTTTTTCGTCCATAAGACATTTGGTGATATAACATCCAAGGCTCGGAAAATTTTCTTCCATGATTGGGTGTTCTTTGGTTTCATAAAGCGCTACTGTATCCATGATCTTGCTTGTACACTGTATACTTAGACATTCATGTTTTCTGTTTCAAAATCTTACACACCTAGACGACATCACATCTCAATCTCTTGACTCGAAGCTTTGGAATATTATCCACAAGTTTTGCTTTGGGGTTATTCGTCGCCCTTGATGCGTTCTTGAATGTTCAAGCTAACACAACTAATGCCCAATATCGCTTTTTTTTCTTCTCGTTAAGGCTAATACATTCGGTTTAGTACGAAGTATGCCAAGTCGAGTTGTATATATAAACATTTGTCCATTGGCTGGCCATCACATAGGAACGTTTAACCATACGATGTTTGGTGCCCTGACCATCAGCCTGAGCTTGAAACCAATTTCGCTTGCCGGTTTGAGTCAGACGCTCGCCACAAGCTAAAAAGCGCATCACGGAACTAAAGTAGCTCTTACAAATGAAGGGCTTGGGCTAGGAACGGGGTAATAGTCAGGAAAGTGTATGTAGAACAGTAAAATAAGAGAGCTCCCCTTGGACCAAAAGGCTGAGGGAGATACTTTGACGGGGAGAGGGATTAATACGCTGATTGAGACGAATAATCAAAGGTAAACGTGTATGAGGCGTGGAACGGAGGCGATCGCGTATGTAAAAGAAAAGGATGAATACGTACGAGAGTGACGCTGAGAATCATATCTTTACGCCAGCACCTCAATCACATCATTCCTCTGCCGATGGTAGTATTATCCTCTTGCTCGCCTCTGGGCCCTGACACGGCACCGAGGCCCCGAAATGTGAACTTGGGTGAAGGAAGGAACCTTCATATCTGATAAATTCGAAATTAATTCTGCTCTAGACGCGTGAGGCAGGAACGTTGTGGGTAACTCCCCCTCGAACAATATCTTCTCTTTCGCCATCCATCCTAGGCCCTCCCGGTGCTGCACAGCTAATTGGTCAGAGTCTATGATACGCATACCCCATTTGCATCTGGGTCAGAAACCCAGTCGTGTCGACAACAGGGAATGCCTGCATTTCAGGTTGTTCAATTCTCGCTCACGTAGCGTCTATTAGGTCTCGGGGTTAAATCGATGGATGCATCCACTCGAGTCTGCATTTAGAACTAGAGGCGACCCTGGAAGCCAATCACGCTCGACCTTTTGTTACGGGGTTTTTGGCAGTATTG